CTTTTCGCAACAATCTATTTTGCAAAAAGTTTTGAAACAAGGTTTCTTCGTCGAATTAGAAACAGAGTAAAACTTCTAAAATTCATCACTAGTACAGATGAATATTTGTTTCTCTCTCTTTGGATCATAATAGAAATAAGAATTAAAGAAAACTTTATTAAAGAATTTTTTTTAGCTGTTTTGAAAAACTTCAAAACCTTAGAAAAATCCCTGCGAAAGCAAAAGCCTAAAAATATGGGAATATTGAAACGATTGAAATATTGAAAAATATGGGAGGATCGATTGAAACGTGATCATATTTTAATCAGGGCCACGGCTACTCTTTTTCTTTGGTTGGCATCCATTTACTTTTACAATCCTTTGTTCGCGCAGTGAAAAGCCCCTTTGTTTCTAGTTTTATAAAACAGTGATGCCCTCGGTAATTTTTTGCCTGAAAGCCTAATATTAATTAGAACTTATAAAGTATTTTAATTAGAATTTTATAGAATTGATTAATTAAAAACTTCATGGTTGCTTCTAAATGTCACAAATATGTCAAGGCTACTTGCAAAACCGAATTAAGAGAAATGTTTTATTCATAATGTCCTAAAAGTCCGCTGTTTAAACAATGATAAATAAAATAAATGTCGGATGTTTAAGAAGCAAGACGTTCAGATATCTATTCTTTTGCTTATTTTAGATAGGGGTTTGAGATATGAAACTTCGGCGTTCAAATAATTGCCATTTGAGATGACATCCTTCAATTTGTATCTGACATGATTCGAGGAATTTCGTTGAGATTTTATTGAAAAATAGAAAAGTACAGAAGATTCTGATTTGTTCGATTAATCAAATTAATTGTTAAAACCTTCTTCGTAAGCAATAAAACGATTTTATTTGGTTTGATTTGAGCAGTCTTAAGGAAAAGGGCATCGCAGACAAGCTGCCATTTTGTAGTCAAGCACATATCACCTAGCAACATTGTATCATGTATCCAGGGGCTAGCCTCGTTAAAGTCTATTTTAAAATCTAATCGAGATCAAAGAATAGTTCTCAGTAAGGTTTTAAATTGAAGGAATTGAAGTATTTCCTTAAGATTTCATCAGAATTTTTAGCCTAATATAAATGATATTCAAAATCATCGGAAACAAGTTGTTTAAAGAAATGGCTTTAATTTTCTTTCTTAAAAAAAGATCCAAATTAGACAATGCAAGTCGTCTCTTCAGGAACGCACTTTTAAAAAAAGTACAGCGATTTTTCACATTTGTGGACGTGGTTTTTTCCTATTTTTGAAGTTTGATTTTGCAAACAATCTTTTTTCCTTGTATATGACATTAATCTGTTGCTAAAAAGAATCTTTTATATACGAATACAAATTTCACATTGGACAATATGTAGAAAAGAATGGATCAATGTCAAATGAAGTTAAAAATGTTAGTATAAAATGATTTATTCCTTCAGAATTCTCTTGATCCTGTGCTGCAAAGACAAAGGCTACTCAAAACATTCGGAAATTTGGCGAAAAATGCAGGTATGAAAGCATTTTCTTATGTCTTTCATTTGAATTCTGTATTAATAATTACTTTCAAGGAAATTTTAATTTCATCTGTAATAATCAATAAGCTTTTTTTTCTTTTCTGTTTTTAATCTATGTATGCTTCATTTATAGAATAACATATAATTGACAAAGAAATTCAATCTGTCATTTTTATATCAATTTTCTTTCAAAATGATAAGATTTGTAAATGTCTAAATGCGATGAACTGAACATTGCTTTTCATTTCCCGACACTCTTCTAGCAAGCAAGTGAATAAAAAAGATCTTTTCTATAAAGATATTCAAGTGCATTGTCGACTTATTTATCCATCGAAAACAGACTTTTAAACCTTGACATAATGATATCTTCCTAGATCTTCTGCTGAAGTTCGCCAAAACACTTACCGATATAAGGGACGGCAACAGACAGATCATTCTGAAATTGTTAGATTCCTCGTACAGGCGATCTGCGTTTACAAACGTAAGTTGTTGTCGTAAGAAATGATGCGTCGCACGAATTTTGTATACTTACTTGTAAAGCTGTTTTCAAATGTAAACAATTACCATTTATTGATCCTGTATATAGAGCTGAATATATTCAAGACTTCTCTACTTTACTATGGGCTGAAAAGCCAAAGCCGACAATCTGGAAGTATTTCGTCAGCAATTCGTCCTTAATTGGTACATGGTACAAAATTTGGTACAAAACTTGATATGAAGAAACGTATTGTTTTATTTTGTAGTTTAAATAACGAAATAACAAAGATTTGTGCCTTCGTAAATGTCTGCTTTTGGTAATATCATTATACTGCCTTTCTGGTTGAACAATTTAAGAATTATTATTTTGGTTAGAAAATATCGACTGCTAGTCCGTAACAATATGTATACTTTTGTCAATGATACATAAACTTGGCAGCAACTAACTGTCTCAATTTCATGTATAGTATATCGTAGTATTTTGTTTTTTCAATTCATCAATGCTTGCTTTTAGTTGAAAACTCTTGCCAATGACTGCGTGAAGGATCTCATCGATGCCAATGCCTTGGTAAGAAATAAAACCTTTTTGTCAGAAATCTTGAAACAAAATTTTGTGTCTAAATGATAGGCTCCACATCGATTAATTTCACGATCGTAATTTGTAGCAATATAGATCCATGGATATCAACTTCCCCCTTTCTGTACCCGGTGGTATCATATCTGCTACAAAACTCCTTTATCCAAAATGCTGGATCGATAACAAAATGAAAAACAAGCAAATTGGGAAGGTTTGTTTACTTATCAGGTAGAAAATGTCTCGGGTCCAATTTAATCATACAGAAGGAATTTTAATCATACAATCATACAATGTCAATTGCATTAAAATGCCTCTGATCTTAACTCTGTCCTTTTCATCTTACACCTCAACCATTCTAAGCGAATTCCGATAGAATCTTGAAACAGAAAACTACGCTTGGATAATTCAAGCAATTTTTTGAAAAATATTTGTTTTCCAAGTATTTTGATGTTTTCACATAACTCATAGAGACTCAAAGCTTCTGAAGAATCCGTTATCAAAACATATGCACATGATTGAAGAATTGAAAAAAGTGTCTGTCCTAACAAATAATTTCTTTCCTTAGGTTGATGATGATAATGCATGTACCATGCTAGAAAATATTGGTCAAATGCTTAAAGAGACGGTACAATCGTTGGACCTTATGCTGTACACCATTGAAAATCTAGCAAAGGTTAGTTCACATGGAGTTCTTTGCCTGTAAACCTCTCCATCGGTTAAAAATCGCTTCATTATCAATTATGCCAAAATGTATTCGACGTCGTCACTTTCAAACTGTATTGCCTGTATAAATATCTTTAAAATTCTCACCAACAGAATCCGACGTGCTACACGCCTCTTAGCAACGAGATCAAACTTCTTCTGGACCTCTCAACTATTGATGCAGAAGAGAACATAAGATCTTTCGAACGAATGAAGAAAGAGCTTTGTGATCATCTGCAAATCTGCAGTTTGAGTGGAGACGAAGAATTTGATGTTGCAATGCAGTATGGTGAGGGACTTTTCAAGATTTTTCCTTTCAAGTTTGATCGTCTTTTAGCTGTGGACCAACCCGTCGACCCGTCTTTTCAAGCTCCATATCTGGAGACTGGAATCAAGGGGGTCAAACGTAAAAGAGAAGACGAGGTTGCCACAAATGTTTTGACAAATCTTTTCACAGGCAGAGACAACACAACAGGTAATGTTGAGGAGAGTTCCAATAAAAAATTGAAACAAGATAATTTAAAAGAATTTGAGACTTTTGCAATTGAAAATAACAATACAGGCAATAATTTAGATCGGAATAATTACGTAAGAGCTTGGCTGGAAAACAAATCAAACTTATTTTTCGGACTCGAAACGCCAAAATTCCAAACAGTTTTCGAAAAATCCAAAGTTTCAGCTTTAATAACTCAAAACAGCGCAGAAAAATGCACAGAGAAAGCAAAAGAATTGGGCAAAATCTTTGAGCCGAGAGTTTTTGAAACTAGCTCTTTTAAAACAGCAGAAAATCTTAAAGCATTAAGTACAGAACAAAAACACGACGTTATAGTTGCTAAGGAAAAGCAAGTCAGAAACGAGGCTGCCCCTAAAAGCTGCGAACGTCAAAATGTAGGTATCTTAAAAAATAATTCCACATATCGAATTTCAAAGAAATGCCTCAGCAAAGGTAGTCCAGTTAAGTTAAGGCGGCAGAAAGAATCTTGCATCTATAAAGCCCCTTCGTCAAGTTTGTATGTAGCAAATGCCTCACAAAAATATCAAAAATCTCCACTAAATTCTGAACTTTTTGGCTCTATGCAAAGCCAGGCAAATAAGAATATTTCAAAGAATTCCCAACCCTTTGCAGCTTCACCGAAAGCTGGGAAGCGAAAAATTTCAAAAACAAGGGCAATTCAAAAATGTCAAGATATTGTCAGTGTGCAACATTTTTCAGGGAAAATTTACAAACCAAGTTCCCCCAAAGCAAACTGTACTTCTACAACCGAATTTAGTGTACAAAAACAAGTTCGTTTCAGGGAAACTGCCACTGCTAGCAGACCAGAGTCTTTGAAAATGATATTTTTTAAAACAGAGAGTGGCAACTGGGCAATAAAAAATAAACCCGTTGAGGATGAAATTAAGAAAGTAGGAAATGCTGAAAATGCAGAAAATAAAACAGAAATAGTAATTGTGAAATATGATAGTGTATTGAGGGATGAAGAGGCAGATAAAAGAGCTAAAAATCGTTTGGAAGTTTTACAAAGAGTAAAAGGAGCTTTAGTAAGGGATAGGTCAAAAATGAAAGATAAAAGAGTTTCTTCGCAAAACAGGAATTTTCATAGAATAAGAAAACAGGTCTCAAACCTCTTCGAAATGAAAGCACGCTTCATAAGTAGGAATTAAAAATCTTGATCCTAGGTACTCGAGATTTAGGAACCAAGTTTCATTGTTGACTGTATATATCTCGTTAGTGTGAAGAGAATGAACTAGGTCATCAACACCTTCCGTTTAGTAAATACTGTATAGGATAATTTTGAAATAGACAGGGAATATATTTAATAATGAACAAGCATTTAGAATAATGGACTGAAATAAGTTATAAAATTTTTATTCTAGGTATATAGTAAAGAAATCAGCTGTAGAAATTTTTTTTGAATGGGTTGTGTTTTTTAACTATTAGATAGGAACTTTTGAATGCTAAATTATTTATGTGATGTAAAGTAAGTCGTTCGCTGTAAATAACGATAAATCGTTATGTAAAGAGCATCAAGCCGTTACTTCATCGTAGGCTTAATCGCATGCGTAGCGCCGTTTTATATTCTATGTTTCCCAGCAATTCAAGTTTAGTAGCAAAGGCAGCTTAAGTATCAATAGTGATCTTCTATTGATAAAAAGAGTTTACTATACTGTAGGGAAATAGTATATGTTATTACTTTGGTCCTATTAATAAAGGACATGCTATACTCAAAGCACATCACGATAAGATTTTCCAATATTAGGTATTTTCTAGGTATTAGGTAAGAGACCTTCTAAATGTTTACTTGCTTCATATAAAGCGGGAAAAAACCCTGGTCACAAAAACTTAAATAAGGCTAAAATTCCTCCAACATCACACACGGTCACAAGAATGGGGTATTTGCACATTGCATGTCGCCAGAAAATTAGGCCTTTTTAGGATAGCTGGAAGTCTTAGATGGCAAAAGAAGTAAAGAGCGGAAACAAAGTGTCTTTCTCTGTTATCTTTGTTTATCATATAACTTTCTATGTAAATTAAAATTAAAGCTCTATTATAGTAATCTATTCGTCGTCGGAGTTACAATATGCGGTAGGTATCCAACAAGTATTTAAAATATGCAGTAGGCATCCAACAAAAAAATAAGTGGTTTGCCTGTCGATGTTAATACACGTTTTGACAGAAACAGATTAAATGGAATTTAAAAGTCTATGGATTTTAGACTTCATTTAGAATTTGGAGCGTAGAAACGAGCAAGGTCCTAATGGTATGCCCTCCTACTGAGGTAAATATATAGTTTTCCTCATGCTTTAGGGCTTGAAATAAACTTTACATTTTACGATTTACAGGAACTCGTGTTAAGTGGATATAAATTGATATAAAACACTTTTGTTATATTTCTTCAATGCAAAAATTTAGCGATCTTCCCTTATAAAGTTTGTTGCATGTCGCAATGCTTTACTTAAAGGTTGGATGTACCGTGGAATGTGCCGTTACAAAAGACTGCATATATAGAATGTTGAAGAACTGAAATTACCGCACGATTTGAGAAGAGATTATGAATGCTTCATGTTTTATCATACGATGGGCACCTATCCCTAACGAACATCTCCCAATAATGGGCACCTATCCCTAACGGACATCTTCTTAAAGAGTGCCTGCTTTTTTTTCTTTTCCCTAAGACCAGGTTTCTCTAAACCTTCAACATTTTTGGGTGTTTGTTCTTCTTCGGAACTTTTTTGTGTGACTTTATTGCAGCAATAAAATTCAACATGTATTTTGCATCGTCCTTCTCCATTTCAAAGTTCTCGCAAATCTTGTTTTCCAGTCTGCGCAATATGAGGTCGTGATTGTCCATTATATCGTTTCGTTTGCTTGGCATTTGCGAAAGATTCTCGCACGATAAATCTTCCTTTAAGAGTTGTTCTTTTTCATCCTCTACAGTCTCGCCCACCTCAATTAGGCGCGTTCGACGGCGGCTTCCAAGGTTGATAACGGCCGCTGTTTCTTTTAGCGACAATGAAAACGCATTCAGCATGTCAGAGGCACGCTGCTCTACATACTCTACGAATTCGTCTCCTCTTGTTTCCTTGTTCCAATCGGCGGAATGATTTATGCCTTCATTTATTATGGAAAGGAATATATTCAGCATGATACACGTTTCAAAGGCGGCAAACAGCACGAAAAATATTGGCCCGAATACTACATTGGCTTCCTGTAGTATGTTGAAAACGGACCCACCAATCAACATCAGGAGCTGTGTCTCCGCAGTTTTGACGTAGCTTGAGAAAAGGGTCGTTTCGTGGAACAACAGATGACCAAGTGCGCCAAAGCCGCAAAAGACCACAAAAAATGGCAGTGCATAGTTGATCAGAGGATTCAAACATAAGCGAAGAGTCTTTTGCAGAACGACAATGGTGGGGAAGAAGGCGAGGAGTTTCAGCATTTTTATGGTGGCTGCAAAACATATAACTGTTATGGAAACAAGCAACGCTTCGTCGGCAACAACGGTGTAGTTGAAGCTGATGAATTTCTCAGGATCTTTGCGAAAGAGTATTAGATTTTTATCGGCCTCATACCAGCTGAATGCCCGTAAAATTAAGGCAGCGAACAACGCAATGGCGATAGTAATCTCAACCCAACTCCAAAACTGCTTCAAGTAATCGCGGCCAATTCTGTACCAAAGCCTGCATTCTTTGTAAATGAAGAAAATCATACACAGCACAAGTATTATTTCACTCGCCATCACAAGCTTTCCAAACGTCCCAACATAGCGATAAAGCTTAAAAACTTTCACGCTAGAGCTTGGTAGCACATTTCCAGTTGGAAGCACCTCCGCGATCACAAAACCAGTCGCAAAAAGATTCAGGTTTGCATTGTAAACGGAAAACTCAAAAAACACTGCTCGTGTAAAAGAGTCGATCCATGTATCCTGCTCGAGTGCCATGGCAGTGGCCCGCGCATAATCGATGTCAGTTGCAAGCGAGGCTACATAGCCTCCTCCGCTATACGTTGCCGTGTGTCCGGTGTATGGAAAACCTCTCAACTCGCTCATGTCATGGTACAACCAGTGCTGCTTGTTTGGCTTTACTCTCCCATTGGGAAGGAGATATTGCGAGTCAATATTGATCTCATTCGGATGAGATATGGATGACGTGGAGGGGATTGTTTTACGGTTGATTTTGAACTTCAACGCTCTTCGTTTTCTAACCAACGTTTTCTCTATAGCCGCATCACTCTCATGATCTCCAGTCTGTTGGTTCATGAGTTCTACATGAACAAAGTCCTTTTGCGAAAGGGAGGAAAACCGTTCGGTGTTTTCTAGCGTATCGACTTCAAATGCTGTTTTGTCTTCAAAAACAAAGGTATCGTCAGCAGAGAAGCTTTCATGTGTGTCCGATCTCTCCTGATCTCTGTCTTCATCCTTGTGCCTTTCACTCCTATATTCGGCTTCTAACTCGAGCGTTTTCTCATGCCTGTTATGTTCCATACTATCTTGATCCCAAAGTGGAAGTATCTTACCAACAGTTTCAAACAAGTATGGTTTGTGCAAGATATCATCAACATTAGGTGCGTTCTTCTCGCCTTTTTCAACCACAGACCTCCTTCGTCTCAAAGAGCTTCCAACTGTTGATTTATTTCCCCAACCAACATCATAGTCACCTTCTTCATTAGCGTCAAAGCTGTATGGTGCATTGCACACGTGCACAATGCCTTTGACATCATTGGGTAATATGCATGTATCTAGGACAAAATAAAGAATAAATTTCTCTAAAAGCATTTCGCATAGATAACAACTGCAGAAATGTGCCTCTAGAAAAATCACTTTTCTTTAGACACAATGCATTTTCTTAAACAACAGGCAGGAGCCTCGATTTTTTTAAAGGAACAGCTTAAACTGTTGTAAAGAAAACATCCAGCCTGTCAACTATGTTTGCCAAAGTATCATGGTAATTTTTGTAAAATGATCAAAAATGTAAAATGATAAAGCAACACATATAATTACAAAATTCGGAGTTGCGAAAGCATATCAACCCGCTTCAACCTGTCTCCGGATGAAGTTTGCCTTATTTGTCTTCCTCAAAATTCTTCTTGTTTCTTTCCATCAAAAGTTCACTGTTCTGCACAAATACCATAATCTAATCATATTGGTACTTATACTTTTAAGTAGACGTATAAAAACAAAATCAATGGATCTTCTCTACTCAGGTAAAGAGGAATCCTTTTCGAAGAAAGTTGTCTCAAAATTTCCCTCTAAGATTTCCACGAATTAGGAAAGTTCAAACAGTTCAAATTTAAGTTGATTCATACAGGCTTGTTTGAAAATCTTAAAAAAAATCTACGCACTTTTTCTGACCCGCACTTGCCGGATTCTTGCCAAGCCAATCCGGTAAGCCTCCTGGTTATTTGTCATTTTGAAATCGCTAAAGTTGTCGCCATTGTACCATTCTTGTGTGTAAATGGCAGGGATAAAGTGGTTCTGCACCCAACTCCAAAGACCAGGAACATCTTTGATCTGAAAAATTATCAGAATATGAAACGCAACATAAAAATAATAAGTAAATAAGCAGCATATAAGAGTTATTATATTCAAGCCAAGTATTACCTGATTTTGAAATATCGATTGCAACTGAATATGGAGTATTTGCTGAAGGTGGTGGCAAAAATTATGACACCTTAAAACATTCAACTAATATTTGGTTTTGATAAAATAATGCCCACCCTAAATAAATTTTGGTCTTCAATTAAAACTAATGCTAAATCTTTGTTGGATTTGCGGATTTATTTTTCGGATTTATTTTTCGTATTATTGGATTGAAATTTCTTAGCCTCTTGTATGAATTGGAGAATAGTATTAAAAGTAAAAACTTTACGACATTCAAATGGACAATGTATGCTTAGCCGTACAACGTAGTACTTGCTAATCTTCTTATAGAATTATGAAGGATTTATGTATTGTTGTATAATTGGTAAATAAATACAATAATGATGCTGCTAATTCATAGATACCTTTTTTAAAGAAAGTGTTTTGTAAAAGTACGCATAAATTGAATTTAAATTTTCCATAATATAATTTTTGTACGTTTTTATAGTGAAGGGTCTGTTTATTATTTAGATAAGTATTACCCAAGAGCTATTCTCCTTAAACATATGGAATAGAATGAATGAAATTGTATTTTTAATCTTTGCCTCTTCGGTGTGTCCTAAGTAACAATCTATAAGCGAGACACCCAATACAGCAATACAGTAAAACTAAATAGACTCACATGTTCAAAATGCTGGTGGACAACGTCATCTGTCAAGGCTTTGCTAAAGTAATATCCATCAGTATCGCGATACCCACGAGCCACAAATGCAAGAAACATTAAGAATATTACGTAAGATATGAAGTCCTGGAGAAATATCCTCAAACGCAATTCCATCCGCCTCTTCTTCCGCGCGTATTTCAACTCTTCTTGAGTCAATGACCTAAAAAAGCATTCAGCCATAATGAAGAATTCCTAAACTTGAAAGTCTTTAAGAGACGTTTGAACAGTGGCGGTTTTAAGGGGGGCTCAGGGGGCTATGGCCCCAGGCCCCGCCTTTATGGTAGCTAAAACGGGCCCTACATCTAAGAAAAAAGATAGAAATTATAAAGAACAATGGCCCCGCAGATGTTTTTGGCCCCGTGCCCCGCAGCCCCTAAAACCGCTTTTGCATTTGAACATCAAAACTGTTATAACACAGCTTGTATCGGCAAGATAAAAAATTTTCCGATTCACAATATTATCTCTTTAATGTTTCCTCAATAACGAATATTAAGCAACTTCTCTGTTTATAAAATCATTTAAAAATTGATCCTAGAAAGGGGTCAATTTGACACTTTTCTCAGCCTAAGGTTGCTAAATTGCTTTATATTTCCTATCCAAAGTACTGAATATGAGGCAACAGATACGTATATACCTCATCCAGGAGAAAATGTATGATGAAATGTAGGTATACCTCGGCTCCAAGTTAGGAATTCCAATGACGTCACCCTTTGATAAATCTATGGTTTGTATATTGGATGAAAATTTATACATTTCAAGGGTGTTGCCCTCATCTTGATTTCGTTTGAAAATTGCTGCGATGAGAACAGCAAACAGGATTAATTTCAGCGGCTGGAACACGAATGCTGACTGGAAAAAGCCGGTTAAAATCGAAACAACAAATTGTGTCGACTTCTCATTTCCCCACTGCATGCTGTAGAACAGAACAACAACAACGCAACCCAAAATTGTGACGACAGCAAGAAACCAGGCAATTATCAAGAAGCCAAATGGCAAACACTTCCTTCGCTTTGATTTTTCTCCAGTCAGCTTTTTAGCTTTTCTGCGTGCTTTGTACATCTGAATACTTTCTGCATTCTTGAAAATGGCCACAAGTATTGAACTGACTGGAATAACGACCAAGGCGGATTGTATTCCAATTATAATGCCTTTGTAGTCTATGACCAGCGAGCCGATTTTCCATAGGTATTTTGAATTGTTACCAAGTTGAAAGAACATTGCACTTGCAAGCATGGTCAAACATAACATTGCAAGGCAACAAGTTATACGTTGCACACGTGTGAAGGTATCATGAGGTCGCTTTAGGAGAACTGACAACCACAGATGCTGGTCACTGAAGTCTTTGGCTGTTTTGGTTGTGAATATATGTGAAAAGACTTTATGATCGTCTTGATCAGCAGTTCCAATTGATCGGTCAATAAGCCCATCTTCAAGTTCAACTGCCAACCACTGCTCACAAATGAAAGTGTACGTTTTGTTTGTTTGTAGGTCTTCAATATAAACACGACTGAGGTACCATCCAGGGCTTGCACCTGTTTGAAATAACATAAATGGTTAAGACCTACATCGAAAATGGTTACATGTAATACCGTGAAACATTGAGGGCAACAATGCAAGTATTTCAGGGTAACAACACAGTTTCCAGTCTAAGACTAAAATTGATAAAGTAGCTCAAAAGGTCTTAGATAGCAAAAAAGAAACAAAGAAGAAATTCTTGAAGATAGCAGACGCCACTAAACATGGGCCATTACTGTGTATTTTTATCAAACAGAAAGCCTTTAAGATAGTTTGAAAGTCTTATAAGAAGATTTATGTTACCATGAAAGCAGTCAAATTAATGACAGACAAAAAATTATCACCTTCATTGTCATGCCATATACGAATATCGGTGAGATCCCCAACTGACTCTTCGTAGCCGATTTTGAATGCATTTATCTGGTCCCTTTGGAATGCTGGTTTCTCTAAATCAAGAAGAATCCTCGCTTCCCCCTTTTTATCACCACTGTTCAAAGAACAGAACACATTTGCTGTCGTGCCAGCGTTGATTCTAGCTCCTGTTACTGTGATAATCAGATACTGATAATTATCTGAATGAGTGTGTTGAACAGCAACAACACCAACCTGGATACACAAGCAAATGGTGATCATATGCAATTGGCTGTCTTAAATAAGGACTTATGTTCTAGATAGTTATTTACTAGTCAAGACAAATAGAGTCAGTTAAGAAGTGAGGATTTAAAACGATAAAAAGGAGAGTTAGGCCATCTTCTCTGTCTCCCTAATCAAAAAAGAATCTTATATCGCTTAATTGAATTTTCCCAAAGTACTAATATTTTCCAATTTTTCCATCAAACTTTGCTTCAACAAAGTAAGACAAAAAGTCTAAAAGCAAAATGAATTGGTTGATTTTGATAGACTTTAAGGGGTCATGTTTCTTCAAGAGATTTCAATATTCGTTAAGAAGATTCTGAGAGAGATGCCTTGGTTGTAGGAACATGCTCTAATCAATATGAATTCTAGCAAGTCTTCTGGAACATTTGCAGATTTATTCCCCGAAAATAGCTTTTTTAACAAGGTTTTGCTAGGTTCAGTTAATTTTGCTGACTAATATATTGCAATGTAAACAAATAATGATAACGCCAAATATATAGTTTCTTCATAGCAATCAGTCTCCTGATTTATCCTTCTTTGCACATCATGCAGTAAACTTCGGCTACTAAGGCTGTTTCCCGTGTGCCAAGTATTTAACGCAAAGCTGCCACTTCACCGATGATTTATCGTAGGACCTTGCAAATAGCTAATGGTTGACTGCTTTATCAGATAAATGAACAAATGAAGATTTTATTGCACTAATAAAACCCATAGCTTGAACGCGAATAGCTTTATGGCAGTTTGAAACAAGATTGTTAACTAATTGAACATTGCATATTGGCTTGGTTTCTTGAGAAATTCAATTTAGAGGGCTTTTAGACAAATTCAACGAGTAGAAACAAAAAGGACAAAACCTGTGGCCTAGAGACTCATTCACTTCTTAAAAAGTTGAAGTAATTTATTGAGAAGGAGACGGTAATTAGAAGATCATTTAATAGCAACTTAATGTTTATATAAATGTTCAGAGATTTTTATGTTTCAGAAAGATGAAAATAACACATTGAAAAATTCACTATCTTACCTTTTGAGCATCCAGCTTGTCAGTTTTTCGGACACGAACCACGAGCAAGGCGTACAATCCAAGCAGCAAAGAGATGAGGACAACCACAGAAACGTTGTCGTGAATATTCTTAAATCCTTCTATGACTTTGTCTATGTCTATTGGATTCGGAGCAATGAGGAAATCACTCGCAAACGATGTTAAATGATTGCAGTTACACTCAATCACCGTAGTATTTGACTTTGGTCCCACCTGTAGTTAGAATTTTGGAGTTTTAATTTTCTATACTTGGAATAAAACAAAGATATGAACAAACATTTAGATCTAATTACTAATCTTCATTATTTATCAATTTTGCTCGAATATGTGAGCAGACAATGGAAATAATATACAGTTTTGATTCTAGGCGCAAAGCTAGAATTGTGTATTCGAAATCGTGGAAAGGTGCCCTCACACTGGCAGACTAGAAAATCCTAGATAATCTTGGCTTGGTTCTTAAGCTTTTAGAACCAGGGACAATTAATAGTGGATGGTTTGGAAAAAGTCTGTACACACTGGGCCATATATTGGATAACAAATCTTGGCGAATTCGGACATTTGAATACTTTTATGGTGTTGTTTTGGGTAGTATATATTCAAAATCAAAAAATTCTCTATTATTTGTAAAGTCATCACTATGCTGCTCTATGAAATGGCCAAAGACAAGATCTGGGTGATTTCACTTTATAGAATAGCTTGATTTTACAATGCTTTGCAGAAATTTGACTTGTAGATTTAAGGGAAAGAGGGACTAGAATCGCTACCATAGCGAATGAAAGAGAGACAAAACGTCACTATAGTGTGTGGATGGTTCAACAATTAGAGTCAGTGTTTACAGATTTAAAAGCATGGTGTCGGAATCTCTGCCATGAGCAACTTTCACTTAGAGTATGGAGAGTCGACACAACTTTCTGTTATTCCAGGCATAAGAATAAAGAGGTATTGTCGCATTCTCAATGATTAGGGATAGGATCACGGGCTACAGATTCAAGAATATCGAGTTCCTGTCACGAAGAACTGTCAGAGTTGTGAAGAGTCAGTCATTTCAAGAGGAAAGACCAGCACACTGTTCGTCTACTTCTCTGTCTTCAAAACTACTGTAGTAAGCTAGATATAAATAAATAGACAATACATTGCCATTACTATCATTGATCATGATGAAGAAACACTGCTTCGTCGAAGTCAAAACTATGCTCTTGTGACTTACACTGTTTGGTTGATAATTTTACCAAATCCAGCGCCTATTTACCGGTTAACCCTGGTATAATTAAATCTAGAAAACCTCTACACAGCTTTACAGTGCAACATATACACAGATATGTTTCTCTTACCTGGCACCCATAAGATTCCCAGCTTCCTTCACCTGATGGATCCCAAAAGCGACACTTTGATGTAAAGCTTCTTATAAAGTATGAAGTTTCGTTGGCAACATCAGCAATTTGACATTTGGTTGTGTCGTTTAGCAATTGTGCAGCTGACGAGTTACCAGAGACAGTCCCATTCTTTTCAAAAATACCTGTTGAATGAACAAGGTGTATTACTATAATTTATTGTACTTAATATTTGGAATAAGTGAAGTATTTTCAATTAATAACGGACAGATAAACATCCTTCCAGATGATAGTTCACCCTAAAATTATTGTCAAATAAAGTTAGTTTTCCATGCAAGTTTTATGCAGTGTAGTACATTGATGTATTTTCTCACGTCAATATTGCTCAATTTTATGAAAATCAATGTTTAACAGTCCTTTATGTAGTGCTAAGTTGCTAATCCAATTTTCACGCTTATTGCAAAAATCAGAAAACTATACCAATTATCAGAATAGAGCATAGATTTTCCCTAAAAAGAAATTTATTCCCAACTTTGTCTCTAAAATATTAGGCTCAACCCCAAATTTATCCCTATCTAAATATAAAGCAAAACATTTGCCTGATGATTGAATTAAGCATGGAACTTTAATTATCAATTTATATGATTAATTTGCAATTGCTTTAAATTTAATTCAAAATAAAGACATGAGTAATGTTACCTTTCACTGTACCTTTATAAGCTAAATTTCACTTACCAATGTAATAAGTTCCATTTTTTGTTTCCTTGTCTAACAAGAACACTCGATACGGATTCAGCGCACATGGCTTGATTATTTCATCTATCCTTGCATCTAGTAGCTGTCTATATGTGCAATTCAAATACGGTTCAATTTCATTTTCCCAATTACTCAGGGCCTGGCCAGCAATTTCTTGATATATAGAGCATATATTCGCTCTGATGTTGTCTTGCATCTCCAAACTACCGCATCCACTAAGGCTTGGTAAGGTCCAGTTTCTCAGATAATCGTCACGCGACGGTCTCTGTTCATACTTAACATATACTTGAAAATCCAAACAGTAATTCATTGGTTTAAACTCAATATGAAGACTATTATCATGCTCGATCTTTATACGATGAAAATTTCTTCTTTCCTCCATATATCTTTCTTTGAATGTCCAATGCTCATAAACAAACGGTTGTTTTATTTGTCGAGGTATTGAAAGCTGGATTGGCTCTTTGGTGTTTGTGACTTGAAGGTGAGACAAGTCTGATTTGAGTTGGAAATCAACTAACGAAGATTTTATCAAATTGCTTTGCCAGTGCCAGAAATATGTGTTGAATGTTGTGTACTTTAGCTGGAAAAAATAAAATTTAGAAATGGTTGTATGATTAGCTGAATATGTCTCAAACAGTCTGAAGACTCATGGTTTGCAGCAACATTTCCAAAATCATAGTAAGCACAAACAGTGAAAGTTTTATAAAACTGTGAGACAAAATCTACCTTTTTATTTTGCGGAGGTTAGCCTTTGCTTACCTACGATCAATGACGTTAACAAAGCTATATGACATTGTCTATAGCATTCAATACTTTGCCCTTTTATGACAACATCAACAGCAGCAATTTTTCAAAACAACTGTCTCTTAAAAGCAGAATAATTTCAGACAAAGCCAATCAAGTATACAAAAGACCTAGAAAAAAGAGAGGGATGCTTGTGGAATACCCGTTAAAGAAAACAGCAGGACGGAATCTATATTAAAAATTGAATGTATGAGCGGTACCATGGCAGGGACATGGCACCCTTGATAATGATGACATTTTCAAATCTCTGAAGGATTTATCGGTGCTTCTTTTGCACCAAATATTTATCGGTGATTCTGAAGGATTTATCGGTGCTTCTTTTGCACCAAATACTCAAGAAATTCGGTCATGATTCAAGTGAAACGAGCACTTCTGAACAAAATGATTATTTCATGAGTACGAAGTTGATCACAACTTACCACTGAGCTAACAATCAAGTTGTTATCAAGGTTGAGTGCATCCAAAGGCGGAAGCACTATGCTTGCATTGAGGATTCCATTCGCCGTTGTATAGTTCATAGTCGAGCCCGCTTCCTTTTTCAGAACGATGCCCAAGTTTGACGTTAGAATTTCAACTGCTTCCTCTACAGGTGACATGCGACCAAGAATTGTGTCAGTCATAGAATTTGAGTATGCCAATGTAGTCAGAACCAAACTTTTCCCCTAAGACACAATATTTCACAATAATTAAAAAGCAGAAAAAACTAACGTTCTTCTAGATATATTGAGCTTGTTGTTATGTTTTTTTCATAAAAATGCAATCATTGCCAAATTATAAAGTGTTTTCAAAAGAACAAATTTAAGAATTCCAGCCATGTGCCTTTACATCCACAGATTAAACTTTACATAAAAACACATATTGAAAAAACGGATGCAATTTTGTCTCAAATACACAAAAGTGGGTTAAAATTTTATGTCAGTTGAAGAAATACGGGATTGCCATATTCCTATTTGATAGAGAATCATGTATCACTTACTAATGTTCAGAGAATCATGTTTTATGCCCTTGACACCATCCTTGGCAGACCATGATAGGTATGGGTCTAATTCTTTGTTTTCTTATTGAGACCGGTTCACTTATGTATATCTAACTTAAAATACTAGGACTATAATTGAAAAATATCTGCTGTTTTGTCAACTCAGTGCACTCTACGCCACATTGACAACTACAATAGCTGCCAAAAGTACCTAGAACACCCAGCAATTTACGCTGCATTTGATATCTTTCATCCCTTTCATGAAGAAAAAACTTACTGCTTCCGCTCCCTTCCCCCTAAAACATTGTTGATAAATTAGAGAAATATCATAAAAGAAGCGCAAAAGAAAGTGCTTCCTAAAATCTTAACCCGTTTGATAGTAAACCAACATTGTTCTGTAGGGGAGAGGGGTATGATTGATTTTGACCTTGGAAATTGATATCAGTGTTCCAAACTTTTGGCAGGCATTGTGGGTTCAAGAGTGTGCGCTTATTTTAACGTGTGTGTTTATTTAAGCTAGCGCGCTTACACAAACATTTGCGCTTATTCGAATGGTTGCGCTTATTCGAATGTGTTCGCTTATTCAGGAATGTACGGTATCGCATATACCTCTTCTACATTCCATTTGAGAGGATTCTCTGTGAAATTCGACTCATTCTTGGCTCTTAGATTTGGATCCAGGTTGATTGATGTGGACATCATGACCATGCCCTTGGCAGCGATAAGGCTCTTGCCCCGACTGACCAGATCTCTAAACAGCACATTGGTGTGATCATTTATTAGCTTGGTAGTCATTTTGCCAATGGCATCAACAGCCTTGGCAGCAGTCTCTTGTAGAAGCTCGCTTGGCACTTCTGCTAATTTGGCGATCAAAGGAGCTATGACGTCATCAGAGCTTGTGTTGACCATATTCAACAGAAGACTCATAGCTGTATCACGAATCTAAAATTACACATTATTTATGAAATATACCAATGAAGATGAGGCCACTGATGAAAGGTTTATGAAATCTTCAGGGCAAATTAAGCATGCATTATACATGAAGGTCGAGCTAACCTAAATCGATTTTATTTGTTTATTAGAAGTAGAGATGAAATTACCACCAACGTACTGCTTGTAAACAAACATGGTAATTCTTGTTAAATAGCACACTTTTATCACTTCAATTATCTAGATTTCAATTAGAATGGCAAAATATCTGTAGATGCCTAAAAAGGACAGTCTTACAGCAAACATTAACACAGAACGAAGACTACAAAACCAGTTGATAGAACGCTTACCAAATTATGGTAATGCACACTGACTGAATCAAATTTTGTTACAATAAAAGCATTGAGAAGGTAGAGGCGTCAGGAGGTAAGAAAATTAAGAAGAAGCCAGAGATGGATTTATGGACAATTCTTTTAGCTCAATTTTTTACATGGCTCTCAGCAACTCTTTAAACATTGAAAGTAAAATATCAAGCAGTGGGAATTCTTGATCATCAAAGAAACAAAAAGACATCTCAAAAAGATTCGGTAATGAAGACGAATGTTTGGAATCTGAGATCAAGTGTACATACCTGAATCTTCTTTTGTAGCTGCTCGTATGTTCTATTTTCTTCCGCATTGTGGTCTAAAACCGATACCATGGCTCCGATAAACTGGGCAATTTCCTGCCCGCGAGTGGCATTTTCTATTCTCGTTAAGAAGTAATCCAGTTGAAGAACAGTCAATGTTGGTATATCCATCTAGAAAAAGAAATAGTAGCTTAAATGAAAAAGCTACGTAAGAAACCATCACCTTAAGTAAAAGAACATGACATAACTTACCTATAGCTGCATTAAAGATACCATTCTTACTCTGTTAAAAAGTACCACAGAGAAATACCTGATTCTCACACACATACCAATAGCAAATTTTGGCGCTAAACAGAAACAATTTTATATAACACGACTTTATGGCTTGCATAATTTTTCTTACTTTTTAAGAGTTTTCATAGCCATTAAAATACACGGAAACTTATTTATGCAAGTTAAAATGGTGACTCTTACATATTAGAGGACAGCAAAACAGAACGTCAGTGATATTTGAATATATGAGTCTCATGTGCAACGTTTTTTATAGAAAACCTCATAATTAGTTTATGGATGCCATTCTTGCATTAAGTAAGAGATTTAGTAAAAAACCAGCAAGTTTCCTGTTAATCATAGGCAACTACGGCGAACATGTTCTACAAAAAAGTATGCTAGAGAACATGTTATCAAAGCAACAGAGTAAGGTTCAATTTCAAAATGTTGCGTTGGTATCATTGAAGGCAAATTATAGACCCACTTTTTAAAATTGGCTAGGATATGATATGGGCTCGTGAATTTAGGGTTTGTATACCTGCATGAAGTCGAGTCCCTTTATCGAAATGACTAACTTTTCCCAAGCAAAAAAACTGTCTTATCTGCTAAAAGTCGGCTTGGTATATGTATTCTTTCAAAGGCGTTCAACATCTTCACTAACAATCCACGTGGAAAATCTTTTTTTAAAAATTTAATTTATATTATTTATAAAATTATATTGAAGGAAAGCTCTGTACAACGGACAGTAACAAGTAGCCGTTGTAAAGGGATATCCGTTAATGCCTCGGGTGCCAAGTTTATGAAATTTTACTGCAGGAAATGACTTAATACTCACATGAACTGAGAGTTCAATTTCTGTAAACATTCCTAAACTGTCAATTATTCTAACACGCAACGCCAAAGGCATGTCACCATTTGGACCAATTGGAAAGATGGTTCGACAGGTTGAATTGTGTTGTCTGCAGACAACTGTTGTCAAGACTTTGTTGATATGAGCAACCTCGTATGTAATTGGCCTTTCTGTATCAATCCAACCAGTGCACATAACATCAAAAGAAGTGAAAATAGCCAAGCCTCGTTTCGGATTTACCACACAAGATCCTGCAAAAGCCAAACCCCGCTAACAGTAAGGATTATTTACTGCAATGAACAAAATTGGCAATTCAGACAATATTTCGCTCCACTCATGGGTTTACATTGCTTTTGTCTTCAGAGCAATTAAGATGCCAGCAAAGGATACGGGTTTCACTTTTATCAATTTCATTAACTTCAAACATGAAATATTGAATTTGCAATGAGAGGAACTACGACAAATATGAAAAGAAAACTTGTTGCTTTAATTGTGTTGCTGTGTCAGAACTATACTTCTATGGTTAATAGATATGGTTATACATTTTGATGATCTAAACAGACAAACCGTCCCCTGCCTCCAGAAACTCATGGCTTGACAGTGCTCCCCTTTTCATAAAGTCCCTGAGAAAATTTTTTATAAATTAATTGAATTCAATTTTTTCAAGTTTTGGCCTTCTGTTCTTTTGAGGTGATCTCATTATTAAGCCCATCTGAATTAGAAGTTTTGAAAATAACATATAATTTCTGATAGTTATTAAAGTGCATGAGTGGAGCTCAGATTTTTCCAGTTCTCTGGTTGAGAAAATCTAAAGGAATTTAGAATAAATAACCTGGATTTAAAAACCTCAAGGTAACTTGCAGCAACAATGTGACTTAAAACCAGAAGAAACTCCATAAAAGAGCAAATAGAGAGTGATAAAATTTTTCCAAGTATCGCACCACGCAACACCCCTCGAGTCTAAAATTATTTTATCTATCGAATTTATCAAAAGCCACTCACCATTTAGGGGTGGAATATTGGCAGATATAAGATACTGCTGCTGAAAATAAGATCCATCAGGTGCAGTTGCCCTTAACACGATCGAGTAATTTTGGCCGGGGGTTAAGACATTTGGCTTCATATAGAAGTTTTTAGAGCTGGGTGTTGAAAATAAGACATTATGCAACTGTATTGGTTTTCTTGACGTCTCATTGTATTGTTCCATTGTCCATTTAAAGGTCGCATTGCTGTTGCAAGCACCACCTTTGCAGATTGCATTCAAAAAGAATTTGTGCGAGGGGTCGACTTTACTTTTGCAGTTTTCTGTGCATCTAAAAATGCAAAAATATATTAAAAGGAAATTCAGAAAAATTTTGCAATGGTGATTAATTCGATTTTCAAAGTTTTGCTTGCGTTCTGAGGCAAAGTATAGATCATTTACATGTATTATGCATCGATGTTATGAGAACAAGCAAATGCTAATTTACTGCTGAAACGATTGCAAATCATGAAAAAATTCATCTACGTATGAAGAACTTAATCAAAACATTTAAAAAACATCTGTTAATTGAGGAATATGTCTGATCAAAATATTTCAAAAGTTGAGCTCGTCCAGCTAACTCTGGATTAAAACAGGGCAATTTCTCTTTCCATAATTTTAGACAGCTCATCATTGACCACACTCATTTCTTTCTGCTTACATCGTTGTCTTTTACTAAACTCATGCCTTTAAACATTCTTCAAAATGAACAAAAACATTAATTCCTGAACTAAAGATACTAAATATTTTCTAAGTATTAAATCTCCGTCACTGATATCATAAAAAAAATCTAAATAGAAAAAATTGAAACAAACCTCAATTCAAAATATGGTGTCAATGGTAATGTAATGATTAATGACTTTTTCTTGCTGTTTCTTCGTAATCTGAACGGAGTTCTTGCTTCGACAACAACAGTAAACTCGATGCTGTAAAATAAATTTAACTCTTCAAATCAAACTTTGACTGAAAAATGCCACTTCAACACACGCAAAGGCTGGTAATATCTCGACCAATCATCAACGCATCTATTCGACTAATTTTTTGTGACGTCGTCACTTTTGAACCCTTTATGCTGATTCAAACTTAGATTGGTAAACTTTTCTACATTGGCTAACAAGTTGATGCAACTTATATAACCAGGAACTTAAGATCTTTGACACAAGGTAACACAATTTGACACAAGATAATATGTTAACTTTAATGACTCAGACAATCTGTCAATTCCAAATGTATGCTGATCTTCAACGATGTTCAATGTAAATTACGCATATAAATATGTTAGAAGACACTCTTTTTTAAAAAAACTCGTTATGGGAAATGAGGTCTGGGCAATCAGGAGAATTTAAGTAATTTAGCACTCGAAGCAAAAAAAGTTGAGGTATAATTGCATTTTGAAAAAATCCATAATTCAGAAATGTCGTGAATTTCCTTCATGGAGCCTTGAGACTGTAAATACGTTTTCTCATCTATGTACAGCATTGAAACAGAAGCACATCTCTTGACAGAAATGTTACAAGCATTTGAAACAATAGAAACATTGATGAGTTGCAGCGATGAAAATCCTTCCCAGTCTTAAAACCTATGACTTCATATTTAAGAAACAGCTTCAACCTTTGACTGTTTTTTATAAAAAATGAGTGTAATCTAGCCACCCCAGTGTTGCTTTATGTAGCCATACTCACGTGTGATTTCCGTGCAGGTGTCTCGAATTGAATGATATCTCTTTGGTTGTTCTTGGAATATCAAGAATCCCAGCTGCCTTTCCAAAACAGCCAATCATCTTCTGCAAACAAAGGACAGTTCTTGGAAAAAGCTTTATCAATATCGACAGTGAAGATCTCTCAGAGTACGAAGAGCAAAAGGAAGAAAGAGCATATATCTAAAATGGTGTAACTATTATCTAAAAGGAACATATATCCCAATATCATGTGATCGAACTCAGAAACGACAGGTGGCTTCTTCGATTTCTTACTTACATAATTGGCTGCATTCAAGTAAACAAATTAAGCATTCATAATCATCATATATTTGCAAACACTTCATTGGAAGCACTAACGGTAACGTAGTGAACGGAAACCAAAACAAACAAATTGAACAAACTGTTCGAAATGTCTCACCATATCATCAGAAGTTGTTGTTTGGTTGCCAATACTGTTGTTAGAAGACATACTTGAATATGGTGAGGCAAGAATGCTTTGCAGTGCAATTGAACTTGTTGGCGATACAGTGGGCGTCAAAGTAGTGTTCGCGTGTGACTAGCACAAAAATATAAGACGGCATAAGGATATTTATTAGGACTCTAGAGTGATGAGGCAATTAAAAGGAAGACGAAGAAACAGACTCTAAGGGCAACAAGCAATTAAATGAACTACCACGACTAGAATTGATGAAACTTTGCAAGGTTCTGTACCATTTCACTTAATACTTGAAAGTTTTTCTTATATTATTTCAAGTAATAAGGTCCGTTTTTAGTCTTTTATTTACCAAATATAGAATTTATTTGTTGATGTTATCAAAAATTTCAGCAGAAAATAAGGAATACAAACAGTGTAAATAATTCAAAATTGTGGCCTAGCGAAAACAGAAAAAAATTATGCAAAAAATCAAGGTTTTCTGCTAAGGCCGTATTTATCCCTGACCAATATGCCATATCATGATGAAAAATCAAAAGCAATCAATTTTCAATGTCATAAATATTTATGCTAGACAAAAGACAATAAACTACCTGGAGACTGAAGAAGTATTTTGAGTTGATTCGTGGTAAATTTGAGATTGATAAAACATCCCGTTGTTCTAATGAAACATCCCTGCAGTACCACGTGTAATTCAAATCTGTTGAAAACCCATCTGGATCATACGACAAACTTGCATTGACCGTTACCTGTAGAATTGGTGAGAGAAAAGTCATTCGGAGCTTCGTAAATTTAGTTGTACTTTTCGTTGAGATTAACTGGTATGGTGGAGATGTTATAAAACCATCACAAAAGGTATTTGTACAAAAATTGTGCACTACATTTGTTGCTCTTCCTATATTGACAAATTTTCCATATGAACAAATTCTATATTATCGGTTATCTACCTTCTCACAGATGTTTCTTACATAGATTGATGGCAAAAAATGCAAAAAAATTTATTCAGACCTTGCCTCGTTGGGAACACTCGATAAAAGACCTCATTGGACCTCTTCTTGCGTTTAATTGATAAGATTTTTAAAAGATAATCTAAGATTTGATTCAAAGCTATTGAAATAATAAACCAGCATTGCAAAGATGATAAAGATACGGCATGTTATCGATAGCTTACTTCAGTGTTGTAAGGGTATGATTTGTAACTGTTCTCCACAAAATCAGGTATCAGGTCAGTATCGTTAACAAAAATCTTCATGACTTTTGCTATTGAAAATCCACCGATGAGATAATGGCCTGCCATTGTCACCTCTACAGATATGACAACTTCTCCGTAATTCAGAAGACAGCAGGGAATATGCAGTAGGTGATTTCTGTTTATGAAGGCCACTGTAGAGTTTGAAATTGCAAAAGCCTGACCCTCTGTATGTAGTGATGTCTGATTGGTCGATGGGTTTATCCCAAGAGAATAGATGGTCCAGCGTATTGAGTAAGCGTTACTAAATTGGCAGTCTGTTGTGACACTAGTTATGTTGTAAATCAAAGGAACAGAGCGTTGGGCTTGAACAAGAGGCAGATTTGCATCGAGGCCAGAAAATCCACCTGGTATTTCAGTTCCAATTCCTGGAAAGATATGGAATTGGTTAATGCGGAACTGTCAGTGGCCCTATTGAATTTCAGTAACAAAAACAAATGCCAAGAGAGTAATGAGAGTTTAAATGAGATTACCTGAAAGCGTTTTTGGATACTTTTACCAATCAGGATAAACAGGAAATAGAAAAATCCGGAAAAAGATGCCGATAAACGAATGAACATTCATTTATCGTCAACTTAAAGAAGTTAGAAACTTTTTTATGATAGCTATTTTTCCTTTTTTTTCCTACATCTTTCGATCTAATGATTAAAAGAAATAAAAAGGTTTTGCATAGCATCTAAGTATTTTCTTCCATCAAGTAAGTTTTATCAGTTTTCAAATTGTAATATTTCTTATTCACCTTTAAAAACAGATATGAAACTCACGATAAAGCTTAAACGCGTTTGAAGAAACTACCCGCCAAATAGTTTAACAAAATTCGATTTTGTTACAATGGACACAGCTACAAATTCTAAATTCAAAAAGCAACCCTCAAAGGTAAATTTTTACCCTGCAGTGTGAATTTCGGGTCATAGCAGGTCTTTGCAACCACCGTTCGTTCTACTGTTTTTGCAAACAGGCTATTGGACATTCTGACTTTGATTGTGTACGTTCCACGTTGACGATACACGTGCTGCACGTTGCATACAGATCCGAGGTCAAAACAACTGAGTTCAGAAGTGGTGATGTTGGATTTACAGCTCATCATTTCTGGAGAGCCATCTCCAAAATCAAGCTCAATGCATTCACTATGCTGTCCATGCGTTATGCTGATGATTGTGCTTTCATTTACCTGAAATAGAAATTATAACCGTGATGTAGTTTTATTTGTAATATGTTGTTACTTGGATTCCCTGTAGTGCCCAGACCTCTACACACGAGGCAGTTTTGGAAAGCATATCGTTAGCATGATGTTGTAATCGTTGTAATACCTTGGGTTATGAAAATCTCTTTCATATAAACAATACTACTACAATTTACCTGATGTGAAATACGAATTATCAATATTCATGAATAACTTTGCTGAGAATGAGAAAAAATACTGAATCTTACTTAGTACTTAAAACGTTTTATTTTGGCTAGTAGCAAAATTTTTAAGAAGCCTTTCAAAGTTTGTCTTACACGATATGTAAAGACCAAATTTGCGTCATACATGACCGTACATGATATCACAGAGTTCTTTTGAATATCTCGCTAATATATTTTTTATGCGATATCGTATCTTTAACTAGAAATGGAAGTGTTTAAAGACTTTTTACAAGACTAAATAAGAACAATAATACGAAAAGCTGCATATGTAAAATATCGTTAGTTTTGAATATAAAATCTAAGAGATTATTCTTCGAAGAATTTTAACGACTTGACATGATTTGAGTCATTCGTGAAAAAGCACTGTTGTTTTCTTTGCTTCTGCTGCCTTTCCAAACAACAAATTATTTCATTAACTACTAAACAACCTTCAGTTTGACAAACTTTCATTCTGGAAATGGTTTACTGCTAATTGTTCTACCATTAAAATAATAGATAAAGTCTAATTGACTCCATTTTACCTCTTATAATTCTTAAAAGTATCTCCAAGAAGAACTTGAATTACCTTCCATTAAAGTACTTACCACACAGTTTGGCGTCGGGTTCGTGGTGACGTTAAAACTGCTTATAGGTGCAATTACTGTAAGATTTCTCTCAAGCATTAAACTGTTGCATCCAGCAACCACTAGTCTAAATTGATAGATTCCAATAGAAGGAAAAGAAAAACTCCAAAAAGATGTATTTGTTTGTAACTTTATTTCGTTGATTTGCCATTGGTAAAGATAACCATTTGCCAATGGGGTTACTAGCGCTGTAAAATTTACTTCCTCTGAGAGTGGCAACATCAAACATGGCCGCACTGACAACCCCTGTGGCGAAGACAAGGTAAAATTCATAGCAACATCCAAGGTAGTTACTGGCAACGCGATCCGTAGTTTGAATGTTTCACTTTCCTGGAAATTCAAACTATTCGAAGAACGAATAGTTAGGTATTTAGTCCCTGCCAAGCCATACAAATCAGGACCAATATAGTGGGTTTTCATAGCAATATAATTCAGTTGGTGCAGCACAGTGTTATTGTTTATAATAATTGTATCGTAGATTGGTGAACCTTTTGTCACATTTCGCAAAATTGGAATATTTGTACCATAACATGCGAAATTCGTTACGTTAACTTTAAGGCCTTCGATGGGAACTGGCAAGATATTCAAAGTCACATTTCCATGGGCCTCGTTAAGTATATTTTGACAGACAATGTTAATCAATAGTGTTGGTAATGCAGAATCTGCAGCAAATGGTAAGCGATAAGATTTTCTTGGATCAGATGATGACACCTCGTTTGCAAGGAGCTCTTCATATGAATACGAACTTGTTATTCCGGTTGAATTTGATGTTATATTGCAAATCATTCTCTCACCAGTTTCAAAGTACAAATAGATATGAAATATTTCGCTTGATTTAACAGTCCATTTGCTAACATCGACAGAAAAATTTCTGATTTTTTCTGGAATTTTTTGAACTTCAATTGTTGAAGTGTACCTGACATCGGGAAGCTTCAAACGATTCCAGCATTTAGCCTCTATGTAGATAACAGAATCGCCAGGAGATGTGAATGTATGTGTGATTGTAAACTGCTTATTGGTTGCCGTGATACTGTTTGAAATAACATTAAAAGAGGAATTGTTGCCAAAATAAGTAGATGATTCGTTGATAGATATAAGACACTGAACGCTGGTTCCATTTTTCATTGCAAACAAAAAATCAACCGATTGATTCTTGAGCAAGTATGGAACTTGGACAATCAGCTGCTGTTTGAATGTCTGATTCACCTAAAAAGTGCACAAGGAGTAAATTGAATTTCTTTCAATAGAAAATATTTCTCTAAGTGTGGCATCTCAATACAATTACAAATATTAGACCATGTGGTACTTACAGAAATTATGTCTTGAAAAGTTAACCATAGCAGGAAAACAAAATATGATTTTGCAGAACAGACGATGGAAGGAAATAGATATGTCTTATTGCCAAGAAAGAAATTACTGCTGTCATTATGCCATATTACAGCCATTGTTTAGAAGCAAAAAGTAAGGATAAAACATGATGAAAAATATTGCAGGTATTAATTTTAACACTTTCTTGCTAAGATTCTTAGGTATTTCAGTAAAAATACGATCGACAGACAAAAAACCTGTCAATCAACAGTGGGCCAATCATTATGCGTGATACCACTAGAAAGCTAATGATTGGCCAAAAGTTGATGTCGATCTCCTTTAAATATCGTGGAACATGGGTGACAAAGACAATTCAAAGCAAACCTGCATGGTGAGATCTATGATTTCCTCGTCAACGTAGAAAGCTGTTTTCTGACTCCATGATCCACACTCATCAGTGTAGTTGAAATCGAAACTTTCTGTAAAAGGTGCTACTAGGCTTTGAGCAGTGTAATTTATCGTTGTTGACATCCAGCCAGTGCCGTTCATTGTCCCATTTTGAGACAGCAAACCACCAAAGTATGAATGGAAATTTGTGGTCCAAAGCGCAAAATGACTTATACTGAAGCTGTATACTGATGTTGGGCCTAAAGCAAGAATTTTCTTATTCAAATTGCACGTTTAAATACTTTTAGACAAATATCCGTTAACAAAGACCAAAATTTATATACACATACAGTCACAGATATCTACAAATTTGCCTCACAATGAGCCCATTACAAGTCTTGAATATTTTTTTGTGATTCAGGACTTACATAATCGAATGAAATTTTATTCATATCAAGCCTTCCTTGGTGCATAAAACCTTTAGGATATTTGTACAACGTCTATAACATAGAATGTCATCCCCAAACTAACTGAATGTTCATCTTTGAAGCAAAGTGAAGAAAATATATTTTCTGAGCTGGAAATTAGATGGAAACCAATTCTAAGGCTTGCAGCATCGTGCAATCAAATAACAGCATAAGACCAACTTGCCTGTATATTTGAGTCCAACCCCACCCTGGTGGACAGGTGGTGTATAAGAAGCTCCCATGTTTGTCAGCGGGCACGATATCACGTGCTTGTAAACACTTCCCTGAAAGACGGCGTTCGATGCAGTTCCTTTCACATGGTATAGACCAGGTGTAAGCGACTTCTGGCAGTTGTTATAGGTGCAGTTAGTTGAATTACCAAAATCAAAAAAGACGCTGTAACAAAGGGATCATTAGATTAAAATTCATGCGTATAAAATTAGATTGAGCACAGCCAACATAAGTCATAAAACTTGAATTTATCTTTTATTAATAAGTGCAAGGCCCTAGATTGTCAAGTGCCAAGGATAAAATCCCTATAATTTCGTTGCCTAATGTCAAAGCTAACTCACGTTTGATAGCGGATTACTGTTATTCTGGCCTGATTCATTCATTAAGTAATTAACCAAGACCAAATTGCAGTGATTTAATAGGAAAATAACCTATGCTAATGTGGCCAGATCCCAGCCAACTCGCAACACATTCAACTGATTTAGAGTTTATTGTTATGTTTTTTGGGTTATTCGGGTTACAAATTAAAAAGTTCTGAAAACAAATGTTTGTGACACAATCAATTCAGAACTCTATACATTGATTCACAATGGTTAGAGCCCTAAAATTCAAAAAAGCTTTTCGTAAATTGGAATTGTCAGAATCTTTGAAATACCTTGTGACTTGATGCGATGGTGAATTTGTGAACAAACTAAACTTCACATCCTTAAATGTGGTTCTCTTGTAGGGAGACAAAGAGTAGCCATCAACAAGCATGCCAAGGCCGAGGACTGGGCCTAGCACAATGACGTCTTCGTGATCAACTGAAACCCAACCACTGCTGTGCTTTAAACCAAGGACTATGCTGGCAACTCCATATGAACTAAATGTATACTGTGTTGTGTTTGAAATGTTCAAAATTACGGATGTTTTGTTCGGCTCTGTTATTTTTAGGTAATACCTGGAATTACAAAGAAAAATGTAGCTATTTTCTGTTGCAGATACCAAGGTTGCATTGAAAATTTGAATTTAAAGAATAAGTAAATACTTAAAGAATTGACGAATTTTATGTAAGCTATAACTGTGAGAACTGCCGGCCGATACGACTTCATAAAAACAACTAAATTCAGAAGATCTTTACAGGGGCGGGAGGGTGAAAACTGGGAATTAGGAGTTATGCAGCTGGGACAAGCTGCGTCTTAAAAATCATTCTGAGACTGGGATGGGCATTGAATTGAGTATTAAACTGCGAAGGTTGTTTGAGCAACACCAAATTGGAATTAGGTTTTGCCCTATTTATCTAGGCCCTATTTATTCCTAGTCCTGAGCTTGATTTGATGGAAACATGGGCAGTTAAAGTGTCGACTTAGTCCAAGATATTTGTTCGTCCGAACTGAAAAACTTTCACACAGCTCCTTTTATCGAGTAAGTGATTGCTTTCATACATCAATCAAACGTAAAAGCTGGTCAGTTGTGTAATTATACCTTAAACTGTTCAGAAAATTATAAATGATATAGATTTGAAGTAGTTGAGAAAAAATTTATCATTATTGAAATAAAGATTGACATAATTTAACTGTATCAAAGAAACAGTGGATTGCTTTCAAAGAGGTAATTCATGGTTTTCGAAAGATAAATATGGCTGAACATAAAACTTCTACAACCTAACAAGTTAATGTTTGAACAGATCAACTTACTGAGTTTCTGTTACGTTGGCATCCTGCGAGATCTCGATTCTGATTTCTGAGGAGACATTCACAACAAAAGAAGTGGGTACAATTAATCTACCTGCAAAATAAAAATTTGATTACAATTAAGCCAGTGACAATGCACAGATTTGAAGGTTTACCATTTCTATTTTAGGTACTTTCTTTGATGATTTAATGCCAAAGTGTAGTACATAAAGGACATGCCACAAAAGTTCATTAGCATCGAATCAAGAACAATTATAACTTTTTTTCCAACTCGTCTATTTTAGCAGAATTTCTAAACTTTCTCTATGAAAAACTCAAATTTAAATTACAATTGGCAACGTATGAAATATGTTAATCTGCTCAAACTCTTGTAGTAACTAATTCTTATTATATATTAAAAAAAACATTATTGTAAGCTCATCTGTGTAACTACATCCTGTACATGCAATTGCATCAAACATTCAGTGGTGTAAGAAAATTTGATCATGTCTTGCAAAACGGTAGCTTTCGATGGAAACTATGAAAGTTTTGAATTAAATTGTTTTAATTATATCTCTTTCGTGTTGCCAGTTTTCTCAAATACTTTATTATACAAGTAAATTCTGTGTAAACTTTTTGTCAAGCCTCCAGTCAGCCTTTCAATAGTAACACTTTCATTAATTTTTTCATTCGAGTTGAAAACATACTTTATAGTTACCCACCGATCCGGAAAAGGTGGAGAAAGGGTTGATATTTTAGAAAAGTGCCTGATGGTTTTTGTAGAACATTTCTTTGGACGTTTCTTTGTGTCTCAAAATAGATATAAATTGGAGAAGCCTCGGCGAACCAAAATCACTGTGCTTCGTGATACCATAGGTTGATTTACTCAAATGGGAGATTGCTCTTAATTTGATGTGAATAGAGAAAACCAATCAGAAGTCATGTCCAATTAGAATGAATTAAGCGCAGTAAGCCTCAATGCGAAGAAGAGGCGAGAGAGAACACGAATAATACTACCTAAATAGCAGCCATATAATTCAACTCGAAAGACTTTATCAATATGGAAATCTGTTGGGTAGATCCTCAGCTCTTCCGAGATGAATGGGTTCGCCAATCCAATGATCGTTACATTGCTGAAGGAGCCACTGAATGTCTAGAAACAAAAGTAATTTTTAAAGATTCCTATGAAACCAATTACTGAAAGGTTTTGTCCTTGTTACGTGATTCAAATCTCTGTTTTACTCGTTATAATAAATTAGAGTAATCAAAAGAGAGAGCTTGACAATATAGACAGGGCTAAGGATGTATGGTATCAAATTAGAGAAAACTAGAGATTCTGATTCCTAGCTGATTTGCAAAGGTTTTTATCAATATATCGAAAACTTTAATTTCTATTTAGCTTGAAACTTAAATCAGAACAGCTAGAAAAAAGTCTAAGCTGCCAAAAGATATGAAATGCACTAAAAGCATTCAGAGTCTCCCGGAGGTATGGGAAACCATTTGAAATACGCATCCATTATGGCTTGGTTCCAAAAGCTATATATACTAAAACATACATTAATCACGTGCTCTTCAAGGAAAGCTAATCCACTTATTAACCTACCTTTTTGGTGCCTCCTTCCTCGTAGTATGTCTCCAATACTGTTGGTGGTTGTGTGATGTCTACCTTTTCAATAATTGTCTTGTACCATACCTCAAATGCTTTGAGGTAATACCGAATGCCATTTGGACTGCCTTGTAGCGCTATGGCAGAAACGCGTGCGGCCTTTGATAATTTCACTACTAAATACTCGCTTGCAGAGTATTCAAGTATTTGTGATCCAACAAGAGCTGGATGTTGCAAACGAGCATAATTTGCATTAGGCTTTCCACCAGAGTCAGATAATGAATGCAGCTCGCCGCATCTGCTGTAGTAACCAACTCTGAGAGGGTTGCTTGCACAGTCTGCAAAATATGTAGGGTTATGATATCAAGTTCTCACATTCTGCTATCATTAAATTCATGTATTGCACCCGTATATAGAGGTGATCAGTTGTAGTTTACTTTGGCTGCAGCTTTACTGATAAATTTTTACATTGGCCAAGTGATGCTCTTCATCTTTTTGAAAAAAACTTCGCAAGCAAAAAGTATATCAATGCCAAATACCATATCGATACCGATCAGGGACACAAATGCCGGGTAGAGTGGAAGGGTATCGAAAACATTTGAATTACAGTTAAATCTGTGAAATTCAAACGGCTTGGATATGCAAAAATGTTAGAATGACAAATGTTTGAATTACTGAGTTCGAATTACAGAAAATTATTTTCAAGGGACCTGAGAGTTTTTTCAATTTAGTATTACATAATGCTGCTACCGATTGTTATCACTTGTAACATAATGTAACAGTAGCATAAGGCTCAGTAACGAAGGCTCAGTAAAACTTCAGTACAACGTTAATATTGGTTTACTGTCAGTCGTGAACCTCGTACCCTTCAGCCTCCCAAAACACCTGTCAATATACCCCCTTGATACCGTAACAATGAATGCCAGAAAAATCAAAGAGCACATATTGGTATCAAAACATCGAGAAATGGTCAACTGATCCTTTCAACTAAGCTTAAAAGAGAAAGACTAACCTAACGCAAAGCCAGTATAGATAGAATAAGGTATAAATGACTCACTTGCTACTAAAGAATATATTTCTTCCTCACAATTCAAGCTTTGTACCTAAAAGTAATAATAGTAGGTAAATCAGTGAAATTATGGTTCGAAACGTAGAAGGGGCTGCCATTTTCTTAGAATAAAGATTTGCTCTCTATTTTAAAGAAAGAAGAAAATGATACGTAAGGACTGGCAATTAAGGCTCGATCACTGAGCACTGTTGATTGATTGTTCATTACTGGAAATTGATTGTAGTAAGCCATATGCATTTATGAGTATTTCCTCACGTTATTTTGTATTTCAGTATACATCCCACGGGAATCGTAGATTCTTGTGCGAAAAACCAAAGTAGAATTATCGGCAAAGTCACGAGGTATAAGAAGTTTGCAAGATGGTGAACTGCACAGCACTGTAGCTGAGATGCTGTTTACTAGAGCCACTTCGTAGGAGAGAGGTAGATCAGCGTCGATCCAATTGGTACAGATAAAAGTTAGTTCTTGGAATTTAGGTACAAAAGAGCTGGGGCTGACGGAACAGGTACCTTTGAAAGAGACAAATACCATTTTAAAGCTGGATAAATTCAATCGCCTTAACAATAACAAATGCCCTGATAGCACTTTGCTTTTAGTAATTTCAAAAATCTAAATTGCTTTTATGGCGGTACAAAATTTGAAATTGGCTTTGAAAAAAACAAGCATTTCTTATTTCAAAGTCAATTTTAAATTGCATATTTTTTACATTATATGTGTTTCATACGCTCTCATTATTAAGTGCGCAAAAAGAGATGAAAGGTAAAGAATTTCTATGAAGCAAGAAAACTTACATTAAGTTGTTCTTGCAAAAAGAATGATCAACCCAGTACCCCCGCCCCATATCCCAGCCCTATACCCCTACTCCATAACCAAGCCTATCTTTAGTTCCATTTAACGGTTACTGGGTAGCCATGCTATTTGGCCATCCGGGGTGTTGCATCTGAATGTCGAATTGTTGTGAAGTAATTAGAAGAGTATGAAATATATATATGGCGAAAATATCTAGGCAAAACACACTATCAGAAACTGGTGTTTATTATTTAATAGCACACGCATCAAATAGAGGGTGAGATCTAGTAGCAAATTACACAAGGCCTTATTTTTTTAAGTGGCATAGAGAAGTAAGTAGGCTAGTAATAAATACAATACCATATAACTTGTATGTTATTTCAACAAGAAAAGGTGCTAATGAAACAGTACGTCAATTGTGGATAATCAGTACAGTTTCTAACGAGACCAAAAGACAAAGAAAACCAAAAATCACAATGTGAAAAAATTTCAAACTACTACCATACTTAAAACTCACCATTTCCTGGAGCCTCGTTTGTAACAAATCTATACTCCTGTTCGTAATAGGCACCCCCCTGACCAGTTCCTTTCAGAACAAGCGTGTAACTTGTACCAGGCAGCAAGGCAGCTGGTTTCATCCGGAGGTTTTTATCAGTCTCCAATGAATGAAGCTTTGAGTCTAGTTGCAGAGTTACATTGCTTGTTTCGTTATGCATTACTAGTATCCAATTCCACTGAGGCTTTTGCAGACATGCATCGCCGTAACAGTCAACCAATAGCGATAATCTCAACCAAGGATTCATTTTTGTTCCACAGTTCTCTGAGCATCTACAAGAAATAGATTTGACAGCACAGTGTTACCCTCGATGACCAACTCTTTTACTGAGGCTCTGGCACCCAGGGTAGGGTACCAGAAACCGGGGATAAATTATTATAGACCACTGCATATAAAAAAACATTTGTGTGACTAGTTTCGAACTATATTTTATAGACTAAATGACGGCGACTTTGGTACCAGAGCCCCTGCCCGGTAGCACAAAGTCAATGGACAAAAACTTTGCAGCCGCGTACAGTACCAATGAAAAGCACAAATACTCCAATTTTGCAAAGACTTGTTTTCACACTTTTTTGCATTGTTTTGAAGAGCAAATCTAAGCTAGATTTATCTAAATGTGTAAAGCAAGAACCGAATATATATTGAAAAAGCAAAGCTTAGGTGCACAGGTTAAAGTAGGGTCAATTATTCAAGGGAGCTAGTGTTAAGATGAACAGTTAAAATTATTGATTACCATTCAGTTGTATGGTTATTGAAGAAATTATTGACAGAGCAGCACATGCTGTAGTATGTAGAACAGGACGGTTTAAATCATTTTTCCTCGAGCATCACGTGACAGTATGCAATATCCTACAGTCTTATGTTTACTTTCTTTAACTTTCTCTTTATCACTATCAAACCATTATACCCATCAATGGTTGTACTTGTTTCATTTTTTGTCATTAGCTCCTTTGCCTACTGAAGACTTCCAACTAAAATTATTTGCCTACCAGCGAAATCTTATAGGCAAAATAATTTTTCTTCAATAGGCTTAAAGTTATTCTTTAAACCATACAGTTATACAACTTTAGCTTAATAAAGATAACATCTCTGTAAAATTTATATCAGCCGGAAGCTTGATGGAAAGAAGGGAATATCAACTTACCTGATCTCAAAATAAGGCGTTTCTTTTGTGAGAACAAGAAAGGAAGTTGATTGGCTGCTTTTACGAGCTCCAAGAGATGTTGTGTTTTCGATTACCATAGTGATTTCAATCCTGTTTGAGAGAGCAATTTCTATTAATACTTTTAGCAGCAGTTTCTTTTAATTGAACCGAAAAAATTCCATTAATAATTTTGATAATATAAAGAATTGCTAAAAGAAACGTACAAATATGAACACATCTGACAGCTAAGATGCATAGAAAGGAAGTACATGGGCATTTTTTCAAAAAACACGCTTTTGGTTTCAGGACGTTGGGTATTAAGAAAAGGACGGTTCTAAGTTGCTACTCTGAGATTAACACTTAGTACATTAACCAGGCAATTATACAGATAGAATAAAGGCGAAAGAAATTAGGAGGCTTCAAATGATGCAGAAAAATCTTTCTATGAATTTGTAAATCATGTTTATGTAATATTAATGCTGTTAAAAGTTAGTTAATACTGTATGGACCATAATTTCGAGAAAAGATAAATAAAGGAGCTAAAACCGAAAATTATAGTTTAATTTACTTATATCAAAGTTTATCATGAATCATGCAGAATATTTTCCGAGGTTTTTCAGGGATGTAATTTGCAAGAGAGTGTATTTAGATTAAGACTTACGTGTGGTTTTCCTGTACAAGCTTAGAATTGAATTCCAGAATATCAGCTGATTTTGTGATGTTGATCACACCAAAAGGCTGACCAAAACAGCCACTGACAGGCTACAATTTAAAGATTTTGCGATATTTTAATGATTTCAATTTGATTCAAAGAAAATGATTAAAAAGCAAGATATAACTTAACAATTGAAACAAAATGTAAGACTGGAATGTAACAACATAAATCCAGCTACTCAATTTGCAAGTTGATATTATTAAGAAAGTAAACAAACAACACAGACTTAACTGCAACAGTATACAGTAAGCGGTCTATTTTCAAGAAGGAGACCTTTTTATAATCTACATATTCATTGCAAGTCCCCATTCAAAAGGATGTCTTAATCACGTTAGATGAAATCAAGGGGCAATTCACTCTTGCAAACAACATAGATTTCCATGAAAACAAAAAGATTTCCAGGGATTTTCTAGCAAAACAATAGGATTCCTTCTACAGGTGTACAAGATTGATCTGCCCCTCATGTAAACTGACATATTGTCTATGTCACCTACTTGTGCAAGACTTGTGTCAGTATGATCCAGAAAAGGAAAAGAAGAAATCGCAGAGAGATCTCTTGGCTCAAGGTTGGTATCTCTGCAGTACCAAGTAAAAAGGAGACTGTCGGAATATTTGTCCGGGTCGTAAGATTGGCTTCCATTTAAATATATCTGGAAGACAATCAAAACATCATTAGAATTAACACATTAAACGATTTACTTTACACCTCAAATAACTTTGGTTACTAACTTGGGCAGTAGCATGAGGTGTTACCGTCCTTTTGAGAAAGTTTAGAGACAAATAAGCAATGTTCAAGCTATCGATTCACAAGGAAAATAGAAACTTCATGATCAAAGGTTTGTCTGTAGATAGAGAAACATTCAAGAATTATAGTTATATTAAGTAAAATGCAAAGTTGGTCACAATACTTAGATGACGATAAACTAGTCACAAAACTACTAATTGCTTCCAGGTATTTGTCGCAAGAATGTAAAAACGATATGCATTCACGAATGTAGGACTTTAGCGAAGTTGTTGACGTGAACAAAGGAATGATGTCTCCAAAGAGCGTATTCAGGAGGCTTTTTGCGTGGTGATCATTTAAGGGTTTGTAGTATTAAGAGCCTTGTAGAATAAACACGTACCATCGTATTAAATCCATACACTCTGTATTCTGTTCTGTCTAAAACAGGCACCAGATCGGTGTGAGTAACATTGACCAAGAAGGCTTTTGTTGTTTTGAAATCGTTGACCAGAGAGTGGCCATTCAGTCCTACGTCCACAGTTACTGTGAATGTGCCATACGGAAGGAAACAGCATGGAACCAATAGACTATGCAGGCTGTTACCGAAAGTAAAGAGGGAGTTTGACATGAGAAACGATGGGTCGTTCCATATCAACCCTGGATTTGAGCCAACAGCAGCTGAATAGACCTTCCAGCTTTGGTAGTAACTACTGGTGAACTCGCAATCCACTGCTACAGAAGTTATATTATAGAAAAATGGTGATGATCGACGCAGGTTTGTAGCGGAAATAGACTCTGTAAGATTATTAACAAAGTCTGAAATGTCACTTCCACTGCCTAAGAGAAAAGAAACTAATTTATATAAAGTTTTTATTGATATAAAAAAGCTGAAGCAGATAAACATTTCCACTTTTTATGCTATTATTTAATTTTTTCCGGTAATTTTATGCCTTGAAAAAGGCAGATCCATTATCAATAAGATAATTTGTTGCAAGGTAATTTTCTTTTCTCATATCTTTGCTAAGGCAATTTAATTTGGTAAAGGTTATTCCTTTTCCATTTCTTGGATGTTTTACTTCTTCAAGCAGTCGACTGGCTGTAAGTAACTTAACACGACCCAACAAACATGAATGAATGACCCAAAAAGAGCTTTAGAGATGAATAAAAAGCTTGATAAAAAGCTTGACAGCGAACCTTCGAGGGTCACTTTTGGATTGTAACATGTCTTTGCTGTCACTGATATAGTTTTAGTGCTTGCGAATAATTCATTCGAAGCTGTCACCGTGATCGTGTAAACGCCTTTTGTTTTGTAGACATGGCTCACAGAACAGAAGGTCCCGGATGTAAAGCAACTCAACGGGTGTGGTGCTGTGTTGTTTTTGCAGTTTTTTATGATAGATGTTCCATCTCCAAAGTCAAGTTTTAAGCATTCAGCATCGGCAGCAAATCCTATTCGAACAGTGGTAGTTTTATTAACAACAACTTCCGGGTTTGGTATTGTAGCAAGGGTGAAGTCAGATATTGGCGATAAGATTGTTAAGTTGCGATTGAATTCCAAATTTGTGCAGCCATCGACGATAAGCTTGAATTGCACAGTACCCTTTGAAGGAAAGGTGCGAGAGTGTGTTGGTACCTGTGTTGTGACTTGAAGCGCTCCAAAATGCCAGTTATAAATGTAGCCTTCAGCTTGGGGCGTAACAATAGCTTTAAAAATAATTAACTCGTTTGTAGGCAGTACCAGATAAGGCCTATTCGGCAGACCTTGCGAGGATGAAAGTGTAAAGTTTGCCTCTATTTCCACATTCGTAGGTGTCTTTGCAATTCTTATTACTTTTGAGTCTACTTGACTTGCTGTGACTCCATTCCAGACACGCACTGCCACATTTTTCCAGCCCGGACTTTTGTATATTGAATCTCCAACACTGAATGTATTGTCCTTTTCAGATAAAGATTCGTAAGTATCACTTGAAATTGAATCAATAAGCAATTCCTTTTTAACCGGTCTTCCCTGAGCCAACAGGCTTTGTACCACCATATTGGTTCCAAAACAGACAAACGATGACGTCACAATGCTTGTCCCACTTACGATTATCAATGCCTGAAAGGAGATTTGGGCAGTGAACTTCTTAATGGCTGTATAACAAGAGACTTGGATGACATGTGACGTAGAGTAAGAGCTGGTAGAAAGATCGACGCGATACGCTTTTTCTGTGCTGCTGTACACAATTTGACGTGATGTGAGGTCACTATAGGCGAAGTTCATTAGTACCCCTGCAGTTGTAGAGTTGACGCTACAATTCATTCCAGTACCTAAAAAACAATGATCAAAAATAAACATTACATGAATTGATGCCAAATGGTATTCGTTCTTGAACATTTGCCCTAAACCTCCTGTTACTTTTATGAACAGACTCAAAAACTCATGAAAAGAACGCAATTGCAGTGCATATAACTTACTTTAAAATCAATTAAAAAAACATCCCAGGGAGTAAGTCCTTATAATCTGAATTGACTAATATAAAGTTTATAAATGGACATAAGTGTGCTAGGAGGCATTGCTGTCTTAATACAGATATGAAGGGATTCAAACATGAAGAGACAAGCAAGCATTAATTTAAAGGAATATTTCAAGATGACTTAAGTTCAAAAATTGGATTTTTCTACTAGCACTTTCGATGACACGAGCAACTTGAGAATGCCCAAGTGCATAAGTTATTGGTTATCGACCAACAAATTTTCTAACTCGCTTGGGCAATGTTAAGATTTTTTGCAGTAAACATTAGGCTTGAAACGTGAAACTGAGCTCAGATGTTCCATTACCTGTTGAAAATATGATGTATAAATTGAATCGTTCTCCGGTCGCCACAACTGACTTGCTTAGTGCAAGAGAAAAGTTTGCCATTGGCTCAGGTATCTCTCGGAAGTCAAATGCTGTTGCGGGGAGAATGACGGGGGGAAGGTTCAGACGATTGGTACAAGAAGCTGATATTGTTGGAAAGGTATCACCGGATGATGTAAATGTGTGCGTTTTCAAGAAAACTTTGTCTGTAACAAATGGGGACATTGAAAACGATGAAGCACCCAAGTCATGCAGGGTGACTATGCATTGGACAGTCGTTCCATTGGTAAGATGAAGGTAAATATCAACAGGTTTGTCTTTGAAATAATATGAGACTGGACTGATCAGTTCTTGCTTGAATGTTTGGTTCAGCTGAAAAAGAAGATGGTGTAGTCATTTGAACGGATAAAGGTTTTATCATCTCATCATTTTTTAAATTTTTTAATTATCAATTTTATGTTTATTTAACTGATTCACATTAAAGGAATTCTAAAAAGTATTGCCAGCATTTGCATTTACCCAAGGAGAAAAAAAGATGATATCTGCATCTACCCTGATGACTCCTTCCTTTTTCTGCAATTCCGAAAACGTGCATATTGGTCACAATGAATGAAAATTATTGCGATTTCAAGGATTTCCCAACTCCTTAGCTCTTCCAAACCACCAATAATCCTACTCTAATCACATTCTACAACTAGGCTAAATTTACTTACAAACAAGTCATCTACGTGGACACAACGCATTCTCTATCCACCCATTGTTTTTCTTCTAATTTCACAAGTTTAGGGTACGTTTTATTACATTTACAGAAGCTGTAATAAATCTATCAAACAATTTCATTCTCTAGATTCCTCCATTTGATTATAATTTCGTTCAAATAACTTTGCTAAGCCACAATAGGTATATGAAATAGAGGCTGTTATGAAATTCACACGATAAAAAGGTTTTGTAATGCTCGAGAGCAAAGATAGGTCGTAACCGCAGGGAATTTATATTTTGTGCAGTACCAATAGTAATAATTGTACTCCTAAAGCATTTTCTTGCACTTTAAGCCTTACCATACTTCATGATATTATGCTTTTCATGCTGCCTTTCATGATGGAAATTTTCTATTTGCTAATAGAAAAATATACTGCAGTACCTAATACTTCCAAATGCACAAGAGCATTTGACATTTTAACATTTGGCATTTGACATTGGTAATTAAAGATTAAATGGAATTTTGACAGTATAATACCGGTAAATCGAAACTTCAATGGCTCAAACTTCTTCTGCACTCATTGAATCTAATATCATTAGCAAATAAAGGAAAATACCTACCCGTAAGGAAAGTCCTTTGATTTCCTCATCTAAAAACACATTTACTGTATAGCTTCTTGTTTCACAGAAATCTGTATAGTTAAAAACAACGTTGAGCTGCGAAGGAGCGACTGATTCAGAAGGAATTGTAATTCCTCTGGTTGTCAATCCTGTCGCGTTGACCGTCCCAGTTTGCGTCAGTACTCCATTTATCCTCACTTCATATGTTGTCATCCAAAGTGCATAGAATTGTACAGTAAATGAATGTGAAACGCTTGCACCTATTTGGATAAAACAGCCCACATTGAAGGGCAAGTTGACAGAACTACATTATGTTACTGTGTAGGACGATTGCTTACGATATCAATTCAAGAAGCACATTCGCAAATGTTGAATAAAATGCTTAATCCATTCACAAATTGTATGTACTCTGGTTCTTAGGTATCAAGCAATAGATTTGTTAATTTCTAAAGCAACAACCCTACCATGTATCATAACAGTTTGATACGTCAAAATCAACCTTGAAAGTCGACATACTGCAAGACAATTTTTAACTACATGTTTCAGCCACATGCAAGACAACCCTTTGTAGAAAATTGGGCTTCCATAGAATATCCATAGAATATGTTTTTTCTGTAATGAAATTTTTAGACAAAACCTTACATAAATATCACGGTTTGCATGCCAGTAATGTCACGTATGCTGGAAGGCACTGTCAATTAAGTGCATTTCCCACAAATCCTAGGCTTCATCACTGACTACCAAGCCCCGAAGAACCTCCATAAACAACTTACCTTTATAACTTATTGGAATTCCTCCACCGTATATTGTAGGGATATATGTAACAGACACTGCAGAGCTAGGACATGCAATAACGTGTGCTTCCAAACTTGCTTGATAAAAATTATTTGTCGCCGTGCCCTTCACAAAGTAAACACCACGCGAATATCTTTTTCTGCAGTAGTTGTAGGCGCAGGTCGTCGAATCACCAAACTGAAAACTCACTCTGTTTTTAAGAAAAACATGAATTAAAATGAAATAGAGCTTTTCAATATTCTTACAAATTAGTGGGAAAATTAGTGGGAAGTCTTTGTATGAAAATTATTTGAAAGTTACATTTTTTATTTTACATTCTACATTTGTTGATCTTTCCCATTAAATATCCACTATTAAATTTCCCATTTCATGACGTCATCACTTTAGAACTCGATCACACTTAGGCTTAACAAAGTGTGAGCTTTTCGTAGCGGAGATTAATCATTAATGGATCATATAATCAGATATTGAGCTTAATTCTTACTTATAGTTAACTTGCGATAGCGTTCTGTTTACCCTAACAGTCTGGACTACCAAATGCCCCTAACCTCACGGTTTTCACTAAGTAAATCACTTTACAGAGCTTTTTATTGGTTGATAAGTTCCCGCCAAAAGTCATCCACCTCTTGTCTGATTCCAGTTACTTATCGAAAGCGAGGCTAGATGGGATGACCATCACATAACTCCGATCTCGAGTGGCCGGCCCTTGAAATCTCATTCATGTATATAATAATTTGTATCCAGTATCTTCAAGCTTCAATAAAATAACGAGCTGGCTCTCGATCATAAAAACGATAATGATCAAAACATTATTATAATAACTAACTGAATAATACCATAATGTATTAATTTGTTTAAGTCGGTGTACTGATGTATAAGCTATCTGGGTTAGTTAAAACCAACTATCCGAAATATCATATTGTTCGCTACAATCTACCAATTTACAAAACTACATTTAGTTACACAAAGCATAGTCCAAGGGAATTATATCTCAATCTCATACAACCTATAGTCACAATATGTTGTGGAATCCTAGCTTTTTTGTTAAAGCTGCCAATGATTGGGAAATCACTAATACTGCAAGGCCATGGTTGCTTCACTTTTGACCGAAATATCTCACCATTTCTTTACCATAGAAAATTTACCTTTTGTTATCTTCCCCGTAGAACTATTTTCATTTTTAGAGGAAAATATCAAAAATGGCTCACGAAAAACGTCTTGCCTAATCACCCACGTCGATTTATAGACAACCGACATTTCCAAAGAGGGAGAGGGAGGGGATACTCCTGAATTGTGCCTTGAAAAGAGACTTTTGGAAGGCATTAAAGATTTTTAGGATTCACACTACAGATCAAAATAGTAACTTATAAAAGATAGTATCTTGAACAACAATTCAAAGAGTACTCACTGTTTCATTTGGAAAACTTGCGTGCTCACTTCTAAACGAAACTCGATATCTTGGTTTTCGGTTTTTTTGTAAGAAGTAACTAAATTGCCATCCAACTTCATTTGTAAACCAAGCACGGGGCCCTGTACCAACAGCTTAGTAATCTCGTCTACAAACAACCAGCCACTTGCATATCGAACTCCAAGGTAGACATTTGCTAATCCACTTGACGTGAAAGTATAATTCAAAGAACCGTTGATTTGCACGAATGTAATGGCTCCATTTGGCTCCTCTATCTTTACATAGAACCTCAAAATTCAATTAAAGCAAATAAATATTGATACCAACAAGGAGGTAAATGAGAAAGCCACAACTATCTATCTTTATCTATGACAAATATTTCTTAAAAAAATTTCTAAATAAAATTCATCATGATTTTCAAAGCATTACAACAACTGGTGCCAGAACTTCTCAAGACGATTTAAGCCTTGGAACAACTAGATAAAATTGTTACGAAATATTCAAGGGACCGTTCAGGAATGTCGTCGCACACCTGGAAGGGGTAGGGGTGGACAAGTCGCTATATCGTCCTTAAAGGTCCGGTTGGTCATCTCACACTATCAAGAGTAAGCACCCATGTCTGACGGTCTAGAAAACTGACCCTTATCTCTGATATTTTATTCCAATTTGATTCCCCTTTTCTTTGAAACCAAATAAAATTTATACCCTTTTTCCTGGAATCAAGAAGTTGAAATAAGGCCAAACAAAGAGAAAATAGAAACTATAATAAGATTTCCATATCATACACCTCTTTTTCTATTTACTCAGAGATATTGAAGACATGGGTGCTTACACTTGACAATTAGAGTGGACCCTCTGGGCTTAAAGGTAAAGGAGTGTAATTCGACCAAGTGACAGTCTGTGACCAAGTCAAGTATGACTTGCAGGGGCATTAAGGCGACCAAATCTTCTACGTAAAGGTGTTTGAATGGAAGCGTCAAATAGCAGCAAAAGCTTCAAATGTATATATGTGAAACATAATGTGTAACAAAATGATCTAGATTAGTCAAAACTACAACTTTTGATGTGATAATTTATCATTCAGAGAATCACTTACTGGTTGCTAGAACTACTTTCGCTCTGGCCACGTGTTGTTGTGAAAGTTATTGGGTAATTCATACCCACCAATGATGGACCATTTATTCTTCCTAAAAGAATATTATTTAGTTAATTAAGGTGAGGCTTTATTTCATCATAGAATACCCCATGCCATGTCCTTCAGGCTGGTTTACAGCACTATGACTACATTAAAACTTGGGAGTACAAGCACCGGGAGTCATTGCAAAAGAATGAAAAATAAAATGTGTTGCTCTAGATCATCTTATACAGGCTTTATATATCATTGTAAATATCCTAGGTGAGGTGACACCAAACTCGATCGCTAACGAAGTTCTTTTCCTCGAGGAGAAGGGCTTTAAGAAATAGGCCTTTAAAACTAAGGAACATCGAAAAAAAATTATTCTTGTTTTGATAAGGTCCTTCAAATACTCATTATTGCAAATTTGATACTACAAAAAAGTTTATCTTTTTTAACTTTGCTTGTTATTAAAGTCCTTTTCAAGGGCTTCAAGAGAAGGGCAAAGGGCTCAGTATTACCTCTCCCATCCTCTTACCAAAACAATTTGCGTTCTGTCGGCTTAGCTAATAATGCATATATGTATTATTTATTCTTTTCTATTCATAAACGTTCCGAGGAAGGATTTCAATTTTGCTTTTCACTCATAATTTTGTCCGCTCTTATTTGGATTAGCTAAGACTGCCACTAGCCAAGGGACACGCCTTTTTTAGCAATTTAAGTCTGGTATTTCCCTCTAAGGCATGGAAGCCATGACACCCCTAATAGGAATTATGAGCTTTAATTAGATGTTCCTCGATCTTGTCCATTTTTAAACATTAGATGTTTGTGCTTTACTTGAACGTAGGGTAAAAGGCTTTTCATGTCCGCACTCTGTCCAGCATCTAAATTTAGGGTTATTTTGCAATGACTGCAGTAGCGCATTAGACGGAAGGAAAATGCATAAGACGGGCGAGAAATTTCGAAATGAAGTAAAACAGAATATAAACTTTTCACATTAATTCATTATCATGTTTCATTAATCACATTACTTAAAGATTTATCTGAACCTCTCCTCAAAAGCATTTTTAAACACCATATTGTGTAGTTTCCGACAAAATCAGAAGCTTTCTGACAACAAAGCGGCTCAGCCTTGCGGGGGGGGATTTTTTCTCCTCCCAGGATCAACGTCACCTAATGTTTGCAAGTACTCTTGCAAAGTAGGGTAGGTTTAGCATCTTTCACCAATGCACAGTTTTGCGTAAATATACCAAACAATTCGCGAGAATGTGTAACCGGTCTGACGAGGATATTTTTCACGATGGACGGTCTGTTTATATCGGGGCAGAAAGTTTCTCTTGGAGCGGCAGGGGATGGGATATCGTATAAAAGAAGGAAACTAATTGGGGACAAAAAATGTCAGCTTTCATGGAACGTGGGGGAATAGGAAAATACCCTGGTCATTTGATTTTTCATTTGAAGGGGACTCCCAAGCCAGAAAATATTTCACCGGGGAAGGTTTCACTTGGCTTGTAAACAGGGTTGTTAAGAATACTTGTCCCATGGAAGTGAGATAGCGTGGATATGCTGGATAGACCAAGTGGAAAAATCTAGGAAGGATAACTCGAATCAACATTAGATACTGATTCATATAGATATTCATTTTAAATAATAAAAAGAATCTTACCGAGATAGCAGCCGTAGAGTTCTGCCCTAAAGACCCTGTTTCCATGTGCAACAAGAGGATGGATTCGGATCTCCTCGGCATAAAATGGATTTGCAAAGACAAACTTCGTGACACTCCTCATTTCGCCAGTGAATTGCTAGAATGAAAGAAAGTTTTTGCATGATAGTTAAAATTGAAACAATCACTCAGTGCTACCACATTTTCAGATTTTCATTTCTATTCCCTTTCCAAAAAAAATTCTGTACAATTTTTTCTTCCTTTTCTTTCTCGCTACTACTTATGTAAAGAGACGTTACATAAGTAAAAGATTGCAGAGATCAAAGACAGACATTGCTTGGTGCCTTGTCATATAGTGTCCATCGTTGATTCATAGCAAATATATTTTCCTGTCTAGAAACCTGTAAATGGTACATTTCTTTAAGATACTTTTTTCGTAGAAATTGCAAAATTTGATAAGCAGGTCGTTAGAAATAAAAGCTGTCTCATTTTTTCAAACACTGTCAATAAAATTTTCTTCAGATTTTCCTTGAAACATTACTATTTCCATGTTACTTACTTTTATAACCCCACTTTCTTTGTAAAATTCTATTGACGTCATAGAGGGTTGGCTGACGTTTAAGTTGGCAATAGTTGTTTTGTATGAGATCTGAAAACTCTTCAAGTAATATCGAAGCTCGTTTGGACTGCCCTGAATCGCAACCCCATGCACTACAGCTTGCTTAAATAGCTTGATTGACAAGTAGCTCCCAGCCGCGTACTCATGGTACTGGGTCCCAGAACTACCATCATAACTTGCTGGGTCATTGAGTCTTGCAAAATCAGCATTTGGTTGCCCATCAGAGTCCGTCAACGAATGTAGCCTCCCACAGTTTGGACTTGGGTAATAACCAATTCGCAGGGCATGACTTGAACAATCTAAAAGAAATCAGAGGTGTTGGCTAATTAGTTTGCTGTATAGTTAGGCCAGTGCACAGGCCATTGCAAATAAGTTAAATCAAAGAAGTAGAGGGGGGCGAAATGTGCTGCCTGAGAACCTAATTAATTGTGAAAAGAATGAATAAATACCTCTACACGAAAGTAAACCTTTCAGCATTTAATTGATATATACAATCTAACGAATAAACAAATGTAAAAATCAAAGGCAAGATTTGAGTAAATTTTCAATGTTGCTGTTCTTTCAGGGGGTCGTGTTTTGACGTTAATGTATTTGGCTAGCAAGTAGGTTTGCTTTCAGTTTTTTTTAAAGCACCTAAGAGTATAAGCCCCTCGTATATTAACAGGCGTGTCGTTCCATATTTTTAGAGCCGCATATTTAAAGCCCTTTTTGCATGTTTTGTATTTCGTCCAGGGTCGCAAGATTGGCCTTTTCAGGCCACATTTTCCAATTTTGGTCTTTTCAGAGTTGAATTGCCTGGAAAGTTTGTTTTTAGCCTACTATCTAAATTTAGTCTTTTTTGCTTTTTAAAGCATTATGAGATCATTCCTTAACTTTAATAGTCTAAGTAACAAACAAATTATGAATTGAAACAAAAATACTACATGGTATAAACTCAAATGTCAAATATCATCAGCTAACCTAACGATTAACGAAGAAATTTTGTTGAAGGAGAAAGTTTTTCAGTTTCTTGTTTGAGCTTGGAATTATCTAAAAGGCTCATACATGGCAATATATACTTAACTTTGCGCTGTGTATTTTTTTGGGAATTTTTTAATTTGCCCTTTTATGTGCATTTTGGCCTAAGTGTGTGACCTATCTGGCCTTTGGAAATTCCATCTGGCAAACCCGATTTCGTCTTGGGACCTGAAGTTCGTTGCAGTTTCTTGTTGCATATCTTGAGTGCGCTGATCTCAGCTCAAATTTATCCCAAAGACTTTCAGAGTTTATTATATCATAACCGACCGATCGAACGAATCTGTCAAACAGGCACGTAAATAATAGGGGGGCGTGGGGGGCGTAACGCCCCCCCAAAGTTTGGAAAATCCAGTTACAGTTGGAAAACGTAACGGTTGACTTGGAATTTTTTTCTTAAGACCAAACTTGTGAATTTTATATTTTAAGAAGTTTTTTTATTTTAATTTATAAAAATTCTAAACATTAAAATTCACAGGCTGAAGCTGACCCATCCAATCGTTTTCTATTGTGAATCCCGTCTCCGCTGGGTCCAAATTGCACACTTGCCCCGTTTTCTTTTTCTTTCTTTCTGACGGGAGTTGAATCAAATTACGAACAGGCAAGGTGAACTTACGGATAAGAAACCTGAAACTTACAGTTTTGAATAATATTACCCGCATTGATCAGAAAATATTAGAGTGGGAATTTTTTTAGAAACTACGAGTAGTTAATTCAATAAAAGATTAAGAATCTTTCAGTACTAAAAATTCTCAACGCTTCTTATAAAAAACGAGTTTATGCTAAACTCCCCCTGTTATTTGTTAATGTCCTTGAGTCCTTATCATAAATTCCTATGACAAAACTGCTGTGGAGCAAGAACACATTGCAAAAACTGCAGTAGAAGTATTTGATCAAAGAAGAGTATTTCATCTTTCGAATCAGGCATATGCACAAGTTTGTTCTCAAATCATCATTTCAATTGTAAAGAATGAAAAGGCATTTGGCCCTCTGAAAAGTTTAAAGGTAGTTTTCTTCGATCAAGAACGAAAATAAAAGGCCCAAATTCTTGGTGCTTCTATATCGTGAAAAAATGTATTTTAGATAAAATTGATCAATTGATCTGAAAGAATACTACTAATCATTAAGTATATCTAATACTGGTTTTGCTTAAATGTTGCTTTACTTCTTACAGTATGTTTAATGTTTGTTTCATGTTAATCAAAATTTAGAGATTTAGGCTTTTATGCTTTAGGCTAATTATTGAGTAAAGATTTGGTAATTATAAAGAAAATAGAACTATGGTGTTCGGGCTATTTACAAATATCAATTTGGTAGGTACAACAGATCTACTGGTCGAATGAAAAATTTATCACTTAAAGTTGGAATTTTCATACTTCCACGCCCCCCCCAAAATAAGCAACTTGTTTTCGTCCCTGCTGTCAAATCATAATTTATTATGATTATCATGATTAAAAATATTACTTGTAGAGGTTATTATAAGATAACAATGAGCTGTGAGATTATTATGAAGATCTAGTGAACTAAATAGTCATTTTTAATGGAGGCAGATTACACCCCCTCCCCCCCTAACCTCGAGTTACGAACACTCTCCTTGAACTGGTATGCCAAATGATAAGAGAATTGTGCATTTTTATACCATGTGCTGTGTCCTGGACCCGAATGTTTTGTTATAGCCTTCACAATAGCCCAAGACCTATTTGCGATTTGCTGACAGTTTAGTTGTCCTAGTTGTCCTAAGCAATATGAATATGGCTTACCTGATACTGGATCATACAATACATTGTCACAGTGCGATGGGGTTACCTATAAAAAGATTGAAAGATAGATAGAGACAGTTGAATACAAAAACATGAATTGGCAGATTGCAAGATCTGCTCTTTTTAATCATATTAAAATTGGCCTTATGCTAGCAAAGAGATACGTAAAGGGCTCGCACGGGAGAGGAATGAGACAAAAAGACTACTTGAAAAACAAACACCTTTCATGGCCCTGTTTACACGGAGAAAATTGGACCGATCGATCTCGTTTGGGATCAATCTCAAATTTTCGCAGGCGTTTGAACGGGATCGAGCGCAAAATATATTGTGTTCACACAGGATCGATTCCATACAGGGTCGCACTGCAGCAGGGGAGTACTCCCATTATGGCCTAACAGGGGTGTCTTGCTAAGGTCATAGAGGGCCAAAGCTAAACTGCTAACAATTGGCCTTTAATTGTAGTCTTTTTTATCGAGGGGCAAATCACTCCGAAAAATCTCGTACACTTTTGGTGGAAATCCTATTGTTTTATCTGGATATCACCAGAAATCCTTTTGTTTTAGGGAAAATCTCGTACGCTATTTGCAAGAGTGAATTGCCCCTCGTTTTTCATAATAACCCTCAAGTGGTAACATAAGGATGGAAATTATGTTTTTGGTAGCATCCATTTCTTTGGACGCGCCGGGTTCTTCTTTGACAAATTTCTTCGCCATTGACACATGTTGATACGGGAAGGACAAATTCTTGCTCATTTGCTCTAAGAAATCGCGAGCTTAATTAAGCAGCTGATTTAAATACCCTCTAAGAGGTAGCAACTACTTGAAATTATTATCAAAGCTAGTCCCTCAGATCAACTGGACCCCACTGTCAGGCCTTGATGGGAGTATCTCCCAGGCCTTACTCCTGGAGATAACACTGGAGTATAAAGCAAATCATTCTCAAAAGTTGGAAAAAATGAAAAAAATAGAAAATTTCGTCAATCTTGCTTTTTGTGGACGAAGAAGACGTACAAAATCTGAAAAAGAAAACACCTTGCTCAAAGCACCTCAAATTTTATAGCACATTAGCCTCATTTCCCATACTTGGAATGCTCTCCAAAGCGGACCCAAATTAGTACGGTAGCGAATCGATTCCGAGCGTTCCCGTGTAAATGAAAGGCTGATCCGTACTAGTTTGGGAACGATCCCGTGTAAACGGGGTATACACTTCTGCAAGATCTTATATGCTTGACAGCGTCAAATTTGATAAAATCGCAAGCGCTTTGGTATCTGCTGGTAATGCTAGGATGTAGGCCACAAAAGGAGAGCGGCAGAGATAAAAATGGATAAGTCTTGTTCTCTTAGAGGTACTTCAGGACCATAAAGAAGATAAATTGGTATTAAAACAGGCAATATCAATATTTACAACCGGCCAATTTGTAAGAGCCATAATTTTTATAAAGCCAAACATTGTAAATAGTGACAAGGCCATTTACCACAAATTTATTTTCGTCAACTTTTTCTCTATGTTTAGAATCTTTGGTGGTAAAAAAGTCCAGCTTTATGGGGGGCACGTGTCCAATAATATTTTATTATGTTGCCCTCAGCACCAGCACTCCCTTTCCTGCCTTCATCTTGTGCAGGCGTCCCTGGGTGGGAAGGACTTTAGGTAGTGGAGGACTTGCTCAAAGCAACTGAATTTCCTCTTTTACTAACAGGTCATCGCAGCAGGATACTTTTTACGATTGAGAATAGTGAATTTAGTTGAACTCCATAGTTCTTTGAGACTAATTGACTTGTACCATATCTATTGACTTGTACCATATCTATTGACTTGTACCATAACTATTAATTCACGCAGAACCTGTTGCTTGAATCTGGTTTTACAGGAATCGGTGTATTGGGAAAGGAGTTAGGCATTGGGCAATTCTGTTCCGTTCAAATACACAGCATAATATGCAGTTGTTGAGAATGACAACAGTAAAGATGAATTTCATACATAAATATGTGTGCCTGATTTAACAATATACTTTTTGATACTTATGGATTTAACTACATTACAATATCAAAGACAGGAATAAAAGCACAGATTTGTGTAAACTGATTATTAGATGAAATAGTCTAAATTACTAGGACAAGTGGTATCTTACGAGCTCAACAACAAGATTTTGCATTTTGATATTTTTGGGTCTTATCAACACTTTTTGGCTGATAATTTTGGGTCTGTTTAATTTGTTTTTTATACTTTTGGGTAAACTTTAATTAATTGCGGATGGACCTCACTGTAAATAGAAAGCTTGAGTGACTCCCCTTTGGTTTCACGCTTAATGCGATCAACAAGCAACTTTTCACGGGAAGAGTTGGAAGGGAAGTGTTCCGTAAGAAGAAGAGAGATATGTACTACATAAAAATGAAATAAAGCCCTTCTTCCTTTATTGCCAGCCTTGGTGGTATGAATTATTCAAGCGTGGCAATCTCTTTAAAGTGTACAAGCACCCAATGACATCCAATCCTCATAAACTTCTATGGACTATTTCCACATGTATCTTTTGGCAAATCATTCTTAGAAAAGCCTTTAATGGATTTTTCTACCGTACTATGTCGTATACACAAGGCTATATAGTCACGGTTTTACATATTATATTTTCCATTTTGATGCATGGTGACTCTTCGCAATCGAAGACTTTATTTGTTCCGGTTTCAATGCAAGTGTCCTCTAAACATCGCCTTGCATAATTGCTGATATTAAATTAAGAAAATGTATGAAATTAAAACTGAATACAAACCTCGGTTAAAAATATTGCCAGCGTATAAAGGAAAAGCGCAAGAGAGCCAAATTCCATACTGTTTTGCAACATTTTGTTTCCGTATTTCAGCTCCGTGATAGCAAATTTCCGAATTAGAGACCTTAGAACAGAAAAATTGTAGATAAAAAAATTTGACGGTGATACACGAAAAAAGACCTTTTTACTTATTAATATATTACTTATTAAAATATCTGTTGCCTACAATATTATTTTCTAGACTCGACATAATTAGTTTGTTTTTCCATTGTAAACTTCATTTCAAAATCACCTCTGCTCTCATTTTACTTCATCCTTGGTCAATGTATCATTCAAGTCATATGAAAGATTGAGCAAGTATCATACAAGCCACGTGAAAAGAACCTTCATTACCCTATAACTTTATCAAGGGTTAAACATACAGTCAGTGCTGAATGATTCCCATCCCCTACATTAATGCTTCTTAGTTCTAAATGCTTTTGAAATCTAAATGAAGATCTCTTCCCGAAAGTAGCAGAAAGTTCTTTGCAGAAAGTTCTATCGTGTCATCAACATAGAACATTTTTGTACTGAACCAATCACAAAAATGCTTCAAGTATAAAGTCATTTGTGCTGAAATGATTGCTTCTGAACCAAGTAATTGCTTCTCGACAAAGTAATTGCTCTTCAACAAGGTATTTTCTCCTCAACAATTCTTAGCAAAGCTATTGCTTCTGAATAGAGTTGCCATGAAGGCATCTCAGTTTACTTGATGCCAATGCTGAAGACATTAGAAACCCGATATCTTACCTTGGAGCCGTCTTATTACCTTCAAAATGTTGGCTGCAGTGGTATTAGGCATCGACGTGCCACTTCGAGCATTGCAACTGCGGCAAGGTGGACGCTGGTTGACGAAAAGATTTAAATATACCGAACTCTTTTTGAAACACAGATTTGTTTGAAAGCACTTCACCGTCGGCTACTTTCATGCAACGAAAAGTATTCAACGGGTGTTCATATTTCGGTAAGGAATAGCGGCTTAATGACATGCAATAGCACTGATTTACGAAAAAACAAGAAACTTAAGCTTGAATAGAAATTTGTCAATGATTGATGACGGGACTATTAAGTATAATGTTGTAAAATTGAATGCGTACATGGACTGATTATTTCAATTAAATCAATTAACTTGTACACTATTGTTCAAGCAGGTTCAACTGATTAAAACGGCAAACACTAGTGGGTGAGATTGGATGCCATTAGGTTACTAATGACAGAAAAGATAAGCTTTGCAAAATTCGTTCAGCCATAGTCACGCATGTCCACGACCACATCTACGGATGAGCATCGACCATCCCCCTCAACCGTATCCCCAAAACCTTCTATTCACTATGCAATCTGCAATCCAATTGTGTGCTTTAATTGCAGAGACAGGAAACTGTATTTTACTTTCAAAAAGACGTATCAGATAGTCAGATATAAAGTAGCTTCATTCTGATAGTTCACGAAAAAGTTTGTTTTTAAAGTCTATTATGTGTAGCAAAAATATCTAGGAATATTCTGTTGAGCTTAAACATCGTTTTTAAAATATAAAGTTCAGGGTAAATAAACACAGCAGTCCCATTATCTTCCAAACAAAGATAGTTAAAGAACCTACCGATACGACTGGCTACTTTATTGGATGACTATGGAGCTAACTATGAGCACTGAAATTATTCTGAGACACTGAAAACTGTCCTTACTTTCTGTCATTTTTCATCAGCGTCTTGAGAACTAAGAATAAGGCTTAAAAGATTAAACTAGTGGATGTAAGATAAGTGATGTTTGAAATTTAGCAAAAACAACTCGTCTAATATCTGTCTTGAAATTTTTAAAAACTTTAATCATTATCTAAAAAGCAATCTATCAATCAACAATAGAGAGTTGTATCCCAGCTTCACTGATAATGTTCTTTCTGTATTTTGCAATTCTAAATACTCAATTTTAATTGCAAATGTATAAAAACGTTGTCCACAGTAAAGCCTGAATATGTTTTGCTACACGATCATTGAATTGATCAGGCCAGGTTGACATAGGAATGAATCTTCACATGTTTATAGAGATGGGATACGAAATAAAAGCACCTTGCGGTTGCCCAGCGCAGTGCAATAAAGCCATCTTGTATTTACACGGGATCTGACCCAGATGAAATCTACAGATTAGGCACATGCGCATATGGAAGTATGATACCCCCTTCAAAAGAATCAATTAAGAAACTTGGAGCTTTTAGTCCTCTAGTGCTTCTTCGGCAGTTAAAGAATAGTTGACTTACTTTTGCGGAAATTAAAACCTTGGCACCCCACTTGAGCACAAAAGCTTGCGGCGGCTTTAGCTGTTCAGACAAGCAAATAATAAGAGCAAATATCTATAATATTGAAACTATTATCAAAGCATAAAATGATATAACACAAAAATGGCAGTAATACTGCAATTAAACACGGAGTCAACATGAATAAAAACATACCATATAGATGCAAAAAGTAGAAACAGTTCTAAAAAGCTTTAACTTTTAAAAGACATTACAGTCAAAAGCTTCAATCTTCACCAAACTTTAGCCAAACATTTTCGCTATTTGCCCTGCAATGCTAGTGAAATTATCAACCGAGGGAAATTTATTGTAGCCCTCAGGTTTCCGTGTGACTTTTGCAAGCAGGTAAGCCGTGGCTCGAATAGCAGCACACTCTTTATCTGATTACAGAAGCCTGCTTGAATGAACCTGCTTGATAAAATATTACTCAACTGCCCGACGACCATTTATGTGATCTACTATTTTATGGAAGTAAGGCTTAGAACGAGAAAGCAAATGAATTGATACTGAAATGCACAGTTGAATGCGTCAAGCAAACTAAACGATTTCAATGAATTCTCTTTAGTCGTTGTCTGCTATTTCTGGTAGATTGAATCCAGTGGTCCTGAACTAACACGATGACCTATATAAAGTTGCATTTTGTAAAATATTGTACTGTATGTGTACTGCATTGTATTGTATTGTGTTGTATTGTGCTGTGTTGTTCTGTATTGTGTATTTTTAGTGTATTTATAGTTTACTATGCACAGTTTTGGAATATTTGTAATGTTGGGTGTGGAGGCAACTCGATAACGTTATGTTTTTTGCCTCCATCTCAACAGGGATCAACTTGAATTTATTTGTATTTGTTTTTATTGTGATGAAAAAATTACACATATCCTAATTGTACACATATCTGGCCGACATCCATTCCTTTCAATATAATCTGGGATGCTTTGTCGACATACTCCACCATTTTATGGCACTAGTAGAATGAAAAAATGACAACTTCAATTTGGATAAATTTTCATACATTGCTAGAAAAAAAAATACGAACTTAGATTGAATACAAAAGTGCGGAAGAAGATTGATATGAGTGTTTGCTTAAAGTACTATTTCCAGCCTATACCTGTTGTTAGAATCTATTTTATATCGATATATCCCGATATCAATAAAATATAACTGTCTTGATTCATATTACACGGTGTTAATGCTAGGGGGCCCAAATGGAAGGATAAATAAGATGAAGCTAATCTACAACAACAGAACATTAAGTACGGCCTAATTTCTAACATTGCAAAGTTCCAACTCTCAACAACAACAACGGCTACTTTGCATTGCAATTTGCGAAAATAACATGATAGAACAGATATTAATGTCTTATTGTTTCACATGCTTGTCTTCAGAAATAAAACGGGGCGTTTTATCACTCTGAATAGACATTTGCCTCTTTGACTTGTGTATCGTTACTAGAAAACGTTGTACAGAACAGATTAACTGAGTCAATTGATTTCCTTTTCGGTTTGGTTGAAGATCTTTATTCCCATAGAAACATAACTCACCACCTGCTTGCAGATCTTACAAGACTTTTCGGATCTTACTGCCTTATTCTCCATTGTGGCACTTCCGATGCAAGTTTTGCTGCAGACACGGCGTTTTGGATCACCAGCATTAACCATTAGTTATGACATTCCTATCACATCTCTGCACTGTGGAAATTTAATAGAAGCCCATCATATCAATCAGACGTTTGATCCTTTCAAAACCAACTTGAATATTTCGTCCACATAACATCCCCAACTATTTTCTTGCACTGAAATGATTATAGAAAATAGTGGCAGAGAAAAATGAAAATTGAGAAAAGAAATCCGTGAAAATTGAGAAAAGAGAGGACACAAGGCACAACTTTACCTATAGAGGGCCTGGATCTTGGGATTCAATGCCAACAAGAAATCTTCAAATCATTAACGCTTAGCGGGCCATTGCAGACCAGTGTAGTCATTATATAGACGAAGAAATCACGAGGTACCCTACCAACAGACAATGTTGAATAATGAAATTCTGCGGCCTATATTCACAATATATAGATGACCTCGTCGAAGTGTCTTGAATAGGAATCAAATAAAACAAATAAAAGTACTTAATGATAAAGTAGAGTATTTTAACTCCCATTTTAACTCAGTCAGTGATTTCACATGAACATAACATGAATCTCCCTGTAATATATTTAGCTCAGGCTATCATAAAGTCTAGAATAGAGAAGAAGAGAGCACTAAAGATAAGTTTACTTGGTAAAATGTAATACCGTAGTGCAGGTGGAAGACTGTTGAAGATAAAGGGAAAAACGTTGCCATAACATCCATTGAAAGAAATCAAGGGATGAGCAGTTATAGTTGTACAAAGTTTCCCATCCCATATTTGAATAAACCTGAATTATCAATATCCCAAAACATCACAAATATATGATTTATATGATTATTTTTACTTTTGCTTGATGAAGTCCCGTATGCCGGAGCGAAATATTAGCCATCACTGATTGTGTGTTTGTTGTTGTTTATTCTCTTCGCGTTGCGGTGTTCCCTAAATACTACTATATGATTAATACCGCAAAAGTTTCTCGCTATTTCAGACCTCTCTAATACATAGGTAGTTTGTAACTGGCTAGCCTGGGGGTACAGAATAAGACTAAAACAATCGTATAATAGAAAGGCAAACTAAGAAAGAAAGAACAACCTATACATATATATATAGATAGACTGAAATAATCAGGCTATTGTGACACAACTCTTGAGTTTCCTGTGTAAACAATCATCAGGTATACATACAGGCTAATTAACTAGCTAACAAACTAACTAGCTAACTAACAAACTAACTAGCTAACTAACTAACTAACTAGCTAACTAACTGTTCTTTCTTCCTGAAACTACGTACCAGATGTCTTTTTCGTACACAACTAATGTGGACGCCATATATAAGGCTAAAGAACACTAAGGTTCTTGACACATCCATGTACGAGATTGATTAATTTTAAGATTGTCTAAAGTGTGACGTAAAAATCTATACTTGGAAGTTTGAATTTTGACCACATGCCCTAAAAGAACGCTATGAATGCTTCTAATTTGCAAAATCAGTTAAATATGTCAAAAGTCGGGTGATATTTGATGTTTGCTAACGGGTTACAGTCATTTTGGCTCATTTCATAAAGTTATGAATAGTGACAAACTTAGAAAGGGTTGATGGAAAAAGGACCTGTGTTGTGTACACGTGACCATATCTCAGCTAATTAGTAACCCTCTTACGGTTTTTGCACATTTAGCGGGATTCACCACTCTTTGTCGGGTAATGGGATTCAGAATAAGAAATTAGAGGTTTATGCAACGTCATCACAGTGTCAGAACTTTATAATCTAAAGTGTAGGCTTTGCTACTGCAGAATCAAACAGAGTAGCGAAAAAAGTTCTCGAACCACTTACACCAGATCAATATACCCAAATGGGTAGGGAGAAGAGCTCATGCTACAAACAAAGACCAATTGCAACAGGATAAACAAAATTGCATGGTTAACAATCTAGCTACTCTAAGATGTACACCTGTAGGCAGCAAATGAGTATGACTTAGGACGTGTCTTCAATGTGATCAAAATGACGTATTGGCCACTTTGCGTCCTTTAGCAGCCATATGAACTTAGATTCAAAAATAAATTAAAGGGGTTAACGCGTATCAAGAAAGACCGGATGCCAGGGAAGAGGGTAAATAGTGATTTACACCCAAACAAGCTTGTGCGTCTGACAATGCCAGCCTAGCATACCTGTTAGGGAATGAATATGGCATGGAAACGACGGCATTGACAGCCTTTGTTGTAGAAAATATATGTTTGCAATCTCACTGCTGGAAATCACTGCTGGTATCATCCCCGATAATGGCATCTTTTGGATTATTGCGGCACAGCAGAGTAAAAGACACTAGCCGAAAAAGGAAAGCAAGAAAGCTGTAACTACACTTAATTTTTTCCCAGAAATCTCTTAATCCAACCCAGAAAAGGACCTTATTTTCAACGGTGAACCGCTTATAATTACTTTTGTACGGCTTACATTAAAAGTAGATTTGAAAATGAGGTCATCTTATTGATGAGAGCAGCCTATAATAAACGAGGGCAGCTTTAAACGAGGGCAACTTATAAACGAGGGCAGCTTATAAACGAGGGCAGTCTTTTAACGAGAGCACCCTATAAAAGAGAGCAGCCTATAAACGAGAGCAGCCTTTAAACGAGAGCAGCCTAAAAATGAGAGCAGCCTATAAACGAGGGCAGCCTATAAACGAGGGCAGCTTATAAACGAGGGCAGCTTTTAAACGAGGACAGCTTATAAACGAAGGCAGCTTTAAACGAGAGCAGCCTATAAATGAGGGCAGCTTATAAACTAGGGCAGCTTTTAAACGAGGGCAGCTTATAAACTAGGGCAGCTTTTAAACGAGGGCAGCTTAAAAACGAGGGCAGCGTATTGACGATATAAGAGGACGGCTGACATTAAAAGATATACGAGAAATGAATATGTCATACACCATGCCTTAACTTAGACCATTACTAAGACCTACCCTGCCTTAACTTCTTACTTAAATAAAATTTTGGTGGCTATCACAAAAACTGTTATTAAAATTTACTCAAAAAACGACATTTACAGACATTATCACTTGCTTTTAGTGGAAATTACATTGAAGGTTAACTTAAAAAGAATAAGTTTATCTTCAGTTTGCTCACAGAATGCCACCCTTCTCTGAGTACTTTGGTGGCAGCGGTGGGGCCTGGTCCACTTCAACAAGAAGCGGTGAAAGGTAGGGATCACCAATATTTTTGTCGAATGCCCCATCAAACTTGTGCATCTGAAACAATGAAGAAGGTCGACAATCGTAAAATGAGTCACACAAACAAACTGCAACAATAGATAAGATACTTTGGGTGTTAATAAACAATAAAAATCTAAAACAAACGTTATATCCATTTCAACTTTACCTGCCTAAATTTATGTTTCATTTATATCATATGTATAAACACACACATGACAATATCATGACAACTATCATGACTAGAAATCGGAGAAGAGTTACTGTTTGTTGTTAAAAGTAGAGAGGTTCCTGTTGATTCTAAGTTGTTTACACAGAGAAGGAAATATAACATAAACTGATACTCAAATGGATACAATATTTACATTGCAACGTAATTTCTTCAAAAGGGAAGCATCATGTGCCCTTTTACTTATCTGTGGTGTATGATTGAATGTTTGACAAAAATTTACTACAAAAAATTTAGCTTAGATGATTTGCCCATCGTTGGGTACCAATCATTATTCGCTTTTGTCTCTTTCTGATTTGGCAAAATTTAATCAGATGTCGATTCGTATATTTGTTTAGCTTACTCTGTTACTCATGTGAGTATGTAGAATGAAACTAAATAATTCCACTTCGATTGTTTTGGTACGCCGTGTGAAAAACTTAAGCCGTGCATGTGTCGCCAAGAAGCAACTTCACGGAGTTTTTACTAAACTCAACACGAAAATTTGCAGTTTCAAGAAACTTACAATCTTTGATCAAATTGCTGGAAAACCTACGCGAAATCTTCTCAGTTTTTTGAAAGTTGTTACCCCTTCCCTCACAAAAGTGTTGATAAATATTATTTTTGGATGATAAGAACTTTTAATAAAAGGGTCAGCATGTAGAGTAAAGGTGTTATTTTCACCGACTGACCATTGGTCACAAGAAATTCACAGTTAAAAATTCTAAACAGGAAACTTTTTAACCACTGAGAAATAAATTTACTGTTTTGTACACTGTGCTAGAGGTTGGACAGTTTTGTAGAAAATAAAATGCTCACAGGGAATTATATTACAAAAGATAAAAAATAAATAAGGAACAGTGATATTGTGCTAGGGGAGCTCAAGGGGAGCTCAAGGGGAGCTCAAGGGGAGCTCAAGGGGAGCTCAAGGGGATCAGCTTCCCTTGCAAAAAGTAACAATCTACTACTTACTGATATGAGTATTTGAGATATTTTTCGAAAGCAGGCTGTACCAAAAATTCTATATATATATACAGAAAGAACCTTTTTTCTTTCCAAAATCTCTTATTCCAGTATGAATCAATGTTATGGTGTTGTTTGATGCTTTTATTTCGGTAAGAAAATATAGACCAAAATAAATCATAAAATTATTCTGCTATTTCAATTTTCTTAAAGATGAAGTAAGAAAAAACGCCCCTTTTTTAAAGCCCCCTCGAAACAAAATTGACTAATGTCCCGAGAGTTTAATCGCAGTAATACGGAATCTACGGTTTGATGATCTTGCAATTTCGACCTTTTTTACTAGTTTACTAGTTTTTACAAACCTAATTCTACTAACAATTAAAATTCAGTTCAGCTGCTGGAAAATGAATATCAAAACAAATTCTAGGTTGAAACTTTTAAAGAATAAATACACATTAGTTTCTTACCTTCTCGTTATCTGCTTCACAACAAATCGAAATAAAAAGATACACCATTGCAGTTGCAGAAATGATCAACGCACCAGCTAAAAACCATTTTGGCAAACCAGCTTTATAAGAAACACACCCAAGCCACGTTGTATCGTCCACATCTGCTTTTTGGAGTTCAAGCTTCTGATCTGGTAAAAGCAACGTGTTCAAATCAAGAGTTGGGAGAAACCTTGCGTCAAATTTAACGATAAATGGTCTGAACCGCTTTCAATTTATAATTAATAGTAGTATAGCATTCTGTAGTGTAGCATATGTAGTGTGACGTTTGGTAATGTTAGGTGATGTCAAATGGTTGGTTGTAGAGTGAGATGTAGTGTAGGGCGGTGTTGCATAGTGCTGTGCTGCGCTGTTTTTAGTTGTGTTGTGTTGTGTTGTGTTGTGTTGTGTTGTGTTGTGTCGTGTTGTGTTGTGTTGTGTTGTGTTTGGTTGTGTTTGGTTGTGTTTGGTTGTGTTGTGTTGTGCTTGGTTGTGTTGTGAAGTGTTATGTTATGTTGTATTGTGTTGTGTTGTGCTTGGTTGTGTTGTGTTATGTTATGCTGTATTGTGTTGTGTTGTTTTGTGCTGTGTTGTGTTTGGTTGTGTTGTGAAGTGTTACATTATGTTGTATTGTGTTGTGTTGTGCTTGGTTGTGTTGTGTTATGTTATGCTGTATTGTGTTCTGTTGTATTTTATTGTGTTCTGTTGTGTTTTATTGTGTTGTGTTTGGTTCTGTTGTGTTGCGTTGTGTTGTGCTTGGTTGTGTTGTGAAGTGTTATGTTATGTTGTATTGTGTTGTGTTGTGCTTGGTTGTGTTGTGTTATGTTATGCTGTATTGTGTTGTGTTGTTTTGTGCTGTGTTGTGTTTGGTTGTGTTGTGAAGTGTTACATTATGTTGTATTGTGTTGTGTTGTGCTTGGTTGTGTTGTGTTATGTTATGCTCTATTGTGTTGTGTTGTATTTTATTGTGTTCTGTTGTGTTTTATTGTGTTGTGTTTGGTTCTGTTGTGTTGCGTTGTGTTGTGCTTGGTTGTGTTGTGTTGTGCTATGTTATGTTGTATTGTTTTGTGTTGTGCTGTGTTTTATTGTGTTGTGTTTTGTTGTATATAATGTTGTGTTATATTACGTTATGTTGTGTTGTGTTGCATATTGTGTTGTGTGGTGTTATGCTCTGTTGTGGTGTGTTTGGAAACGCAGTGAAGTTTAAAGTGGGGCTGTTTAGCGTAGGGTAGTGTAGTGTTGTGTTGGGTGTTACAGTCTTGTGTGTTGCTGTATATTGTAGTATCTTCAGTAGGATAGTTTGGTGTAGTCTAATCAAATCTGAAGTTTAGCGTGATGTAATGCAGTGTAGTCAAATCCAGCATAGTAAGGCGCCATGTCATGTTGTATCTACCCGTGATGTGCAGCAACGTCCACATTAGAGTTTAAAAGGGGAATAGCGAGAAGAAAGAGTTCTCAAAGTTAGAAGACAAAGAAGAGGAGAAAAAACACAAAGTTACAAACCATTTAGGTCATATTTGTTGGTATAGGAGACATCAGTCAGTGATTCCACATGAATATAACTTGGATCTCCCTAAAATATATTTAGCTCAGGCTATCATAATATGTCTAGAAAAGAGTAGAAGAGCTCCAAAGACAAGAATTTGTGGTAAAAATTGTAACTAGATTTAGTCTATATTTGTGCTTTTGAAATCTTAAAAATAGCAGTTTTTAGACAAAAGATATTAAAGCTATATTTTGCGACAATATCGAAGCAACAATAAACTATTAATCTGCCTTGTTTAGGGTCAATTTTTTCTTTTCTTTAGAACAATTGAGCATGGTAAAAGAAAGAAAATAAATCGAGGCTGTCAGTAAAATGAATCAAACAAAATTAGGTAAGAAAAAGCTCACCTTAACTTCAATAGTGACAGATTGCACATAAGAATCACGAGAAGAGATGTTACTCCTCTGTCCAATAAAAGAAACTGCAACATTGAATAATCCTGAACAATAGCGCCTTACGACCAAGACTGGCCTTAAAATGAAATAATGTCCACCATCAAGTCCTGCTTTTGCTCTCTCTTCCTGCAAAGTAGATTGCAAAAATAATGATGCTATTATGACCATTACAGAAACCTGAATAAATCAACAATGTATTGCATACAATGATGGGTACGACCAACACTGCAGCTGCATCACTAAAACCACAGCAGAAGTTTTTGAAAGAAGAAAATATTGTGGTGTGTGTCAGGGGCGGCTGGGAGTAGAAAAATATTGGTATTAGCCTCCGAAATTAAGACATAAGAAGTTCCCCTCCCTAGATCCTGAAACTATTTAACAGGGGTGGAGCTTATATGTTCTTATTTAAGAAGGTGGGCAAAATGACCTTTTCGATATGATGGTTTAAAATAGCTTTTGGCAATACCATATCTTACCAAATTATTTGAAGGCACTGGCCCCCGTTGTCTCCCCCCAGACACTGATGAACCTGTGGTAATGTAGTTCATCCTACTAGTTTTGGGTGAAGGATCGGTCCTACGAAATACAAATGAATTATGGCTGCGGCAAATTACTCGAGCGAAATCGTGTTTTGATACAGCGGTTTGCTGCCCAGTAATGGAGCCCCAAGGTATTAGCCCATTAATTCTAATACCATGAGGCTTTTGGCCCGCGAATGAGATTCTATTACGATAAAGCGAGCGATTTACTTTAGAGAAATGCAGCAAAAAAACGTAAGATGTATCATTTGATTTGAGAAACCGAGAGAAATAATGTGAGAATGTTGCCTGTGACTCTACAATCATATAGAATCAAAGTTTTACAAAACATACAGTTCATACAAAACAACTTTTACAACTGCCTTTAGCTTAAACAAATTATTTCATGACTGTTGCTCTTTATATTCAGTGTCTAAATTTTGTCAATCAAATTATCCATCCAAAGGCATTGCTAGCAAAGTACAGCTACATTTTGTAAATTCATAAAGTTAATTTCCAGAAATATTTTTTCTATAAGCTGAGGCCTTAGAATAGAGCTGGGGCTCTTTCCACCGTCCCTTCCACTGACAGTGGCCCTCGTAGTATTAGAAATGAAAAACTAATACCTTACTGCTGTTCACCCATTCTTCTACCATGGCTCAACAAGAGAAATTCACGTCATGCAGACCACAACACACAAAAGAAATTTCGGGGCAGTGTATTAGTTTTTGGAGGCTAATACCATGGCCAGGGCTGCTGATTACGGCATTGATTACACTTTTCAATGATTTCAATGAGGATTAGGAAAGCTTTCATTCAACGAACAGAAAAGCAAATATAGCTTGGCTATATGAATAGAGCTGGTCGCATCGATAAAATTGTTGTGAAAAAGTGGCAGCGTACAAAAGGCAAAATAAATTTCCTGCAATCTCAGAGACCCAAAGTCGCCTTCCTTTGAAAATAAAATGGTATTAGACTAATACCTTTAATACCACCCCACGCCGCCCCTGGTGTGTGTGAAAATTTCTTGGAATTTGGCAATTATATGTGGTAATTTTATGGAAATCTGAAGGAGCTACATAGCAAAGCCTTTAAGAAAAAGGTTTAAGCAGCATATGATATAGTAAATTAACAGAGGGACAAGTCCCCATATTCTACATACCAACAATACTAACTACATTTAAATTGGTCAAAAGCCTGAACATAAAACCATTACTTCAGCATTAAACAAACATGCAAATGACTTCATGGTAAATGGAGCTTTGTAATTCCAATCAAGACTTTTATTTTTAGACAGCTTTCAGTTGCTTTTAAGTTGTACTTGAAAATTAATACTCAAAATACAAGAATTGAGGGCTATGGTACAAAGTGTTAATTACTTAACTGAATCCAGCAACAATTTCTTCAAAGCTCAACCATTTTCATAAACAAGGTCTGCCCCTCCCGTTGGCCTTTCCATCATGCAATAATATCTAACACATTGTGATAGGTATGAGTGTATACAGGATAGGAATTGGGAAAAATATAACCTTTAGCATTGTCTCCATGGTTGGAAAAACAGGTTCAGCTGATCGACAGCCAATAACGCAAGCATTCAATGAATCTATGTCCCTTCCATATGCAGTTTTGCAGTCTGTGAACAAAAGTTATGAACAATTATTCTAAGTAAGATAAAATTAAGGAAAACATTGTGAGCATTCGTATAGCTCGATTCAAGAATCTGATTACCCAATAAATGTTAAGAAATGTAAAACAGGGAAAACTGCAAACTGTGTAAGTGTGTAAATATTTCATTTAGACATTGGCTTTTCAAAGTAGCTTATTATGCCAAATTGTTCTGAGTTGGCTGAGCTGTAGCAAATGATTAATTGAAAACCAGAGCCTTTTGGACCTGAGCACAGGCAGGTCTTCCAGGACAACAAGATTGAAGGACCACTAGAAAAACCTGACCTTAACATTGTTCAGAAAAGTCAGATAGAGAGAAATTTCCTGTATTCACAGTTACACTTAAATTTTCGCTAAAATAAAGGCATTATCTCCCATCAGTCAACCATTCACTTTAACATATATTGTTTAGGCAAACCGATGAAATTCAAAAAGCCAGCACAATGCAATGGGACATGGTGGCCTTACTGATTGATTCTCAAAGCAGATGAGATTGAATGACAATGAAAATTGAAATGTGGCTAAAACCTTAGTTGTTTATCTTTCTTACAGCTTCTAGGTAGGGGTAAGATGTGACATGGCCTACAAGCCTTACAATTTACTTTTTTTAATTGAAAACTCATTCAAGCCCACATAAAAGTCTTCTAAACCAAACTGTCTCAAAATACTGATTTACAGCCAAATCAGCAGTAAAAGTCTATTAAACCATTCTGTGACTTTCAGTAATGGGTGAAAAATCACTAGCATGACAAATTAACAAAGCCAAAATGCCAGGAGTCCCTTAAAGACCTTAAATGCTCTGATTTTAAAGCTGTGAAAAAACTAAAAAATGAAAACATTGAAACTTTCTTAACTTTTAGAATATGAAAAATTATCCAATTACATATAACTTGAATCTTAAAACAAAGAACTCGACTTTTCATATGAAAAAGAATGAGCTGTGACCTCAAACATGGCAAACATAACATTCAGTTACATGATGATTATGATTTTTATGATTTTAAAATATAAATGATTCTATCAAAATCTACTACCATGTCATTTAGACATGCTGACTTTGTTATTCTATATTTTTTAAATAAATTTCGATACCTTTTTCACAGATACTTCCAGGGGCAACAATCTTCTTCCAATTTCTTGAGACCTGCTCAATTCTTTCTAGTCTGCATCCTCTTAAGCATGCAAAGAGCGACTCTTTCTAAAATGAAATCCAAAAAATGATAAACAAACAAATATTGATCAATTGTGTTACCTCAAAATTAAGCATTGAGGAGAATATTATATTTTCAAACTAATGAAAAAACAGCTTCACACCATAACTATACTTTGAAATTATAAATTGGTGCCATGCAAATTAATTGGTATGGTACTGGTTCAAGAAGTCGTTTTTAAAACCAAATAAAGCCTCTTGATTTCTCATTTTAACTGTAAACTAAATATTTCAACATCTAAGCTATGACTGGAGTTTAAATTTTTCATGTTAAAGGTTGCCTCCCTAGACAACCATTTATAAAAGTTGACACTGATTAATAAAAAGGAGAAAGAAAAGAGCATATTTAATATGCTTCATTACAAACCGTAAGCTAAAAATATTTTTATAAATATATGTCAGAATAATTACAGTATATATGGGAGGGAGGGCAAGTTAGTGACACAGTGACATAATTTCCATAACAGAATGCTACACAAAGAAATTTCATTTTTCTGCTTTCAATCTCTGATAGCTAACAACCGATATTTAGTCAACATCATGAGCAGGGCAGCTTTGCAAATTATTAACAGCCTTACTAAAAGCAAGATTAGGGACAGTTTTGAAATAAGCTACAATAAAATATTAATTCAACAACTGTACCCTCCTACTTATAGATGGAACATTATTATAGTCCAAATTCAAATTACAATTTCAAGAAATGTTCAACTTAAAAAGTGATGTCAGACACCCCTGATATAATTCACACAAGTCTTGTCAAACTAGCACTGATGTCAGCAAAACAATGTGGCTTGATGGACATGTGCCACAGAGCAAATTCCAGAATTTGAGACACAGAACAAATGTTCACTTGTTCACTCAAATGATAAAGTGGTCACAAAGGAGTTGCCATGTTCCTGAAATGGGGTAACGATGACACTTTCGTCTATACTATTTAATCCCAATCAATAAGCAATCTGTAACAAAGATTTGATGCAAATTGTGTGCCAAATATCAGATCATCAGGCATCCATCATTCTAAGGAGTTGCAGTTTATATGTGACATCCTTTGCCTAAGGCCCATGCTGGAAAGCTTGCTTTCTGTAGGCCATTGGCTTTATGCCAGTGATTTCTGTATCCAGTTCCTACCACCAGCTGGGTTAAAAATAAGTGGAGCACAACGCAATGCTAAACAACCTTCCCCCAAAAGGCTTATGCAATATGGCAGATTTATACCACAAGGATGTCCTGTTTTTCCACAAATCATTCAATGTAGATCGTTTTTGTATGAAAACATAAAAATTTGGAAAACGACAGGTTGTGACCTCAGGGGGTAAACTATGCCTAATTTTGGATGGGGACATGCCATTTTGGTTAAAATTTTGGACCCATAATTCTGCAAATGTCTGAAAAAATGTGACCCATAATTCCGCAAACATGATGGAAACTATTACCCATAAATTTTTAAAGCACATATAAAACATCAACCAAATTTTGCATGTCCTATGCCCCAAAATCTCAATATTACACATATATCATACATTTATTTCTTACTGGACATTCATTTTGTTTATGCTAAATCTCCCTCCTAATTATTTTGCAATATTTCCCCAAAATGGTACCCACAATTCTGCATGTTTCTCCCATAGTTTCGCAAAAATTCCAAAAACTGATACCGATAATTCCACACTTTTCAGAAAAAGATACCCCTAAATAATGGCACATTTCCGTACCTTCAAACATGTTAAGGTAACCCCCCCCCCTCCAAGGCTGTGACAAAGGCATGAAATTTTCAAGGGTTACATTTGGAAGCAGAATAATAGCGCTCTGGATTCAAAGAGAGTCAAATCTGCAATAGAATAGTTCTGTTTCAAGCATTTGCACTTAAATGTTTCATGCCATTTTCCAATTGTGCCATTTTCAAAAGTGTTTTTGTGTCCCTTTTGATTAGACATCATTGAAAGTTGGGGCCAAAATATTATTCATTTCTAAAAGGTTTCATGAAGACTTCCATCATGGTTTAGTGGCAAGGGGGATTGCCAGAAACTGTATTTAAAATATTTTCGGCATCAAATCTAGTAGAGATACCTGGATATATTCATAAGCTTTCTTTTATCGTTATTCCATCAGAGATATTTATTGTTAAAGTAGTGTGAAAGCCGTGGCTGTCGGAATGAAGCTCATATTTGGGAGGGGGGAGGGGCTGCACATTGCTTTTCATCTCATTCAGCACTGTTATAAAGGAAACATACTACAGTTTGACAATTATTGGGGGCTCCAGAAATTTTACTGTTGTCCCAATTTCACTAGCTGTGACATTTTCTACCAGTGTCTTTTTGCTGACTGGGTTGTATTGTTCTTGGCTATTCTGGTTGTTTCTCTTGGGAACAACTGCTGTTTGGTGATCACTTGGCTTCACAGCCCAAACTCCATTTCTCTGCATGGCCTACAAATTAGGCAATGGCTCTTCCATGCATTGTGGCTTCACATTAGATGTATTCTGCCTTTTTCAGTGTAAATTGGCTTGATACAATGGCATATCGCAGTTTGTGGCTAATTTTTACATGGTTTTGCAGCTTTTTCACCCCATATAATAAGTCCTTTTTGCAACCAATGGCCCAAAGGACCTGTGATTAAAAATGCCAACTGTTTTCTTGAAGAAGCAGTTTTTATTGAACGTGGCTTTTGCAAACCAAAAAAGTGAACACCATGGCGTTTGTGATTGAAAGAAACTTTGTATAAAGCCTAATTTTTTGAATGATCAAATTTTTTGGCAAGTTTACAGTTGAAAACTTAAAGGTCTTTCATAGTCATTCGTACCTCTGAAAGACAGATGAATACAAAATTACAAAATGTGTTGAAACGAATGTGAAATGTGAATGAACTCATTTTTGCTTTATCAGCATAAAATCGAAACAATCATAGCCATATTAAAACGTAATTATCAGCAAAAATTTAAATGATCAGCAAAAATATTATCACAGAGCCATCATTTGTATTTTCCACCCGTTTCGCATATAAAAATAACGCGGCTTGGACTTGAACTAGGCCAGTACTTTTTCCGGTTCTGAAGAATTAAAAGTTTCTATTTTGTTCAATTTCCAATGAAGGAAACTTTTTCCTAAATATATTCTTACAAAAATCAACAACTGGGTAGTTATTGAATAGAACAACTGAGCGCAAAATGAAAACTAAAAACCACAACAAGGCAACACAAAATATCACGCTAAACGACAACTCACTTTCGGGTATGTATGAAGTGGAAAGCTGCTTTTACATTTGTTTTCACATACGATCGCACCTCCACTTGCAAAACCAATTGCTGTTGCTACCAGGAATAATGGCAACATTTTGAAAAGAAGGTTGACGTCTGTTTTGTTGAGAACAGATCTGTAGATTCTGCTTTCTGTATCAAACACCAAGCACCTTTTCGACTTCTACGCTTCTGCTAGTACCCAGATCTCTTGATGTAAACAAAAACTTCAAAGCATGTTCAAAATATAAGGAAAATATTTTCCGTGATAAATACGGAAAATAAACATTGATGAATTTATGGAATTATTTAGAATATCTTTCATTTTCCTATTTTTTGTTTGAAAAATTCAAATTCCTTTGAATGTTTCAATTTAAATTACCGTAAATCCTCGAATTGGCCCCACCTCGAAAAAGCCCCCCCCCCTCGAATGAGCCCCCCCTCGAATGAGCCCCCACCCTAGAACTACATATTGTCAACAAGCCCCCCTCGAAAAATCCCTCACTGCTGCCATAGATTCTTGAATTGGACCCTTCCATTCGATGATTTTTGCCATCTGAGGTTGCCTATGGCGTTTTATTGAATTACCACAAGAAAGTAATTAATTAAGTGCTCACAAAGAAATTCCTATTAAAATATATGAGGTCTTTTAATAATGTATTCTTAATGTCTACAATAATTTTACTAGCCCCATGAATAAGCCCCCCCTTCGAATAAGCCCCCATCCAAAATATCAAAAATAAATAAGCCCCTAGAGGGCTAATCCGAGGATTTTCGGTATTCAGCTTTCGCTGTCGGTAAATCTGACATTACATCACATGCAGATGAATACTTTGACCTTCAATTTACTGAAATGGGGTGTTTGGGTCGTGAAAACAGAAATTTGCCTGTAGAAATGTGGATAAGGACAACTTTGCTCCTATTTAACTTCCATCAGATGATCTCGTCGCTCTTTTTATGCAGACCTACACTGGGCTCTCACAACAGAAACCATGTAGCCAAGTAGCCCCCGTCAAATACGCTTTTTGAGCGGTGATCGCATATAATTTCTAAAACGGGAGGGGGCTTATTTGCTCTTCCATACTCGAAGATAGGCCTGTCAAGATAGATGAGAGGAACTATAGAATATGACAATTTTGTGTCTAGTTGTCAGTATTTTGCGGAAAAGACCAAACAGATAGACCCTGGATGGCAGTTAAGATCTTCCAAGGTACGTGTTTCATAATATTTCTGTCGGGTAAAGTGTCATTATAGCCCGTAACTAGCCAGAATTTAGGCCCTGCAAAACAACAACAGTAGATTGTTGAACAAGCTCAACATTTTGCAGCATGTTGCATCCGTAGTCAAAATTCCCTCTTGCTACCAGACCGAAGAATCCATTTCTTGGATGTCATTTTGTGATTTTTAAATTGATTTGAAAAATACAGTTTTAATGTTTCTCTTTGTCAGTATGATCAGAAACTCAAATATCTGGAGAAAAGGTCTATGGTCATAAATCAGAACAATCAATGTCACAACAAAAGTGCTGAAAGCAAAAAAGGAAAAGAAGATTTTACAGTACAAAATGCCGATGAAGCTGATGCCGCCTGTGTAAAGGTAGTGTAAAAGTATATAATTCAACCAGGGTCATAGCCTGAGCCCCAGACTCCAAATACTTCTAGTTTGGGGTCTGGAACTCAGGCTACCAGGGTCAGTGTTCAGGTACTGCACAACAAAGGGGCTGGGGGTTTTATGCCCCACCTTTTTGCTGTAAATGCAAAATATTAGTAAATTAACCGCCATTGAAGCCTCTTTTTATCAGTTTAGCCTCCCCCCCACTTTTTAGACCCCCCCCCCACTTCTCAACGCTCTGCAGTGCCTGCAGTTCTGAAAGCATATTTTTTGGCTATGCCTAGCAGAAGCAGCTAATGCTTCCAAGCTGAAAGCTGGGTCAGAATATGGTTTGGACATAATATTTTTGTGAGCCCATCAGTTTCTTGCCATACTGCAAAGTTTGGGTAAGGAATGCAGCACCAAGAATCGCCAAAAAGCTTGCAGCACTTTTTGAAAAAAATTACAGTTTTTAACCTGCTATTTTGCAACATGTTCCAGTACAAGCATAAGTCGCAGAAAATAATTCCAGATGCACAAATATACATTGCATCCTTGTGAATCAAAATAGCAAAGCTGCCAGTTTGGAACTGTGGGTGTGTAAGATTTTCATACTCTTGAAGATAACATTGCTTTAGCTGTTTATCGTCACTATGATTTTAAATAGCAATAAAATAACATTGAACTATATCAATAAGATTTTACACCTACTTTTTTAGTATAAAAATCACATTATTCAAATTCAACCCCCTTGTCAAACTTTATATTTCCTTTTAAGGTTGTTAGTGGTGATGGTCGTGAAGTGATGTACATGTATCACATAATCTATAATGCCAGCTACAGTGTACCAGTTCTATATTTTACAGCTATGACAAAAGGTATACAATGTGCTTTGTATTTTCATCTTACTTTCATTTCTCTACATTTGCAATGTTTTGGTCATCCCAGATGGAAAGCTGGAAAAATGGTATAAAATAAGCATATCAGTGAAAGAATGAAATGATTTTCTCTCTGAAACCAAGAAAGAGTCAAAGTTTCAAGTATAGCCCTGAATGGTCCTGGTTTGCAGTGTTTCATCCCTTCCAAATTTTCAAAAGCACCATGTCCTGTCAGACAAATGTTCATTTAATTAAAAAACTATGTGACAATTTTTCATAATAATAATAATAATAATAATAATAATGGAAACTTTTCATTTTCAATTCAATTAAAACTACAATTACAAATTTCGCTATTACAAAGGTAATTTGCAATTGGCTAGCCTGGGTTTACAAAGAAAAAGACTATTACAAGCACAAACAAAAGAAATTAACAAAAAAAAGAAGGAAAAAGTGTGTTCGTCATTGTTTGTTTTAGAAGTCGTCAGTAGCAGAGATCGATTAGAATTGAAGAAGTTCAGGATTATTCCAAGATTTATTTCTGCGGCAGAAAATGTAATAGGTAGTACGGATAGTTAAGTTGGATAGTTTGGAGATCATGAAGCGGAGATGATTCTCGCTGATATCTAGAGCGTTGCACAGGTCGATGAAAGAGGAGCAAGAGAGACCAAAGATACCTAGGGAACTGATAGAAAGATTAACAAACATGATAGAAGAATAGGCTGAGCTTAGGCTGTGAATGAGATTCGAGTATTTCTCTCTTTTGCGGTTAGCATTAACATCCAAGTTTCGTATCCTACTGTAAGCTCGAGTATGAATAGTCGATGGTCAGAAGTGACTAGAAGTAGATCAGGACGGAAAGAGTCTCCTGTTATGATAGAGGGTGAGAGATAACCTGAAAGGTCTGCGTAAAGAGAGCAATTAGGTATAGCTTTTAAAGATTGTGCTAGGAAGTTCAATGCAGAGTTATGGCACCATGTGTAACGGCCTTCTTCGAGGTATGTTTTGCAGCCTGCAACAATGTGAAGTAACGTTTCTGGCATATGGCTAAAAGAGCAATCGGACGACTGAGTAATGTTCCATTTAGATAAGTTTTTTCGCGTGGCAAGGGAGTTGCTAAGATATTTGATAGTAAAACTGTAAATGTTCTTGGGCATGTTGCTTTGAACCGTGGTCCATATTTTAGAGGCTATAGGAAGAGAGTGGTCAAAGATGAAGGAAAGAACGGTACCTTGAGATACAAGATGGTTTTGAAGGCGCTCTTTATGTTCTGATCTAACAGCCTTCAATACTTCTCTAGTATTCCTGTAAACATCATATTGGATGTTCATGCTCTGGCTGGTATTTTTCCACAAAGATTGGATGTTTTTGTTGGGAGAGGATTTCAGTGCATTACGACAAACAGTTTGACACTGCATGAATTTAACAGAAGGAAGAATCAAGTTAAGACCGAACTGGTTTTTTGACAGAATAATGCCACTTAAAGTAGCACTTATGGGTAAATCGAGCCAACGGCGGATAAATGCAGAAACTTGATTATCAAGGTTTTCGACGATCCAGGTTTTTGATAGATCGGCTACTGTGAGGTGCCACGAAACTTGTGAGAGAAGATAGCTGTTATAAAGAAGCAGCTTATTCTTTGGATGGAGAGGTAAAGAATCAATTTGCGTTAGGAGTTCTGTGAAGATGGAGCTGAGCTTAGACATATATGTTCTTGGTTGCTCATATTAAAGTCGAAGTGACGCCCAAGATACTTAATAATAATAACAATAATCTACCATATTTAAACAGGATAGCCTTTTCAGTAAAGATAATACTGCTATCACTAAGGGACCTGCAAAACTATCATTGCAAAACTATTGAGAATTTTTCCTGAGTTGTTCATTTGCACATTGTAACAATATCCTGTTGCATAATGCAACTGATGGGTTTGTAAATTAACACCAAAATTGTTTAGGACATTTAATGGTTTAAAGATTTATTAGCCTTAACCTGATTTTACAGATGGCAAAAGCCTGGAGCTTGATGAGATCTGGGGGCAAGTACCAGATGTTTATGGCGATGCTCTTGTTGATAAATGGTCATTTTTGACACAGACAGTATGTTTTCCTTTTTTCATCTTCTTATTGAACCATAAGCCATTTCTTTACAGAGAAAACCTTTGTTGGGAGGGATTAACATTTATTATGACTTGAAATTTTACAAAATTAATAAGACATTACTTGGAGAAATGCTTGAGTGTTTTATTGAGAATTTAATATGTATTTAGAAAGGATATTTTCCATTGGCAGAAGGAGGCTATTATTGCAGCCCCTCCCCCTAATCAAACTAGCAAAAAGAATAGAATGAAGCAATGCCAACTTAATTCTATCTAGCAGTCAATAAAATAGTAACAAGCAAATCAAAATAAACAACACAGCTATTTCTTTCAGGAACATCCACTGCTTGGGTACCCTGTGTTTCATATTCATCCTTGTAATACAGCAAAAATGATGGGAAATCTCTTGCCAGTTGATATTCATACAAGCAAACACAGGTTTGTTGAACATAAATGTGTCAAAGGATTCACAAATCCTCAATTTCCTTTTCCAGTTCTCTTTGCTACAGCTCAATCCTTTAATTTTAATTGATCATGACCACTGGTTTGAATGACTTACAGTGTGTTTGAAAAAAGCATTTATTGCATGTTCATGGTGGCTAGGTTCCCAGTATGTCAGCAATCATACTGATCTCGAATCATTACAGTAATAAAATCATTGGTTTATTGTATCTGCTGTAAAATCTTTATGTTATGTAACTTTAAAAGAAACCTGATAACCAAACATATTTAATAACGAAAAATGGGCTGGAGAAAGAAAATATAAAACAGTGTGATTTTATTTACCATTTTGAAATCTTTAGTATTTGGTATTTTGTGTTTTTACGTTTCCAGCTATTTTCAAACAGCAAATCTAGCTCAACTGAATAACAATATTTTTCTACAAGGTATGTTCCTTTGTGGCTCAGTGCTGTTGGTCCTTTGGTAGGTCTACATCTAGCAACAGATTTGTTCACCGAGGAAAAAGAACTACAAATGAAATCTAATGAAAACTAGTCAAATGTTTACAATTAACAAGAACAAAAACGGAGGCAATATCTATGAAGCAAAATCAAGACTGGTATTATCAGTTTAAGAAGTTATCCTTCTTATCTGGAAACCACTCCAGCCTAGCTTGAAAGTCCATTAATGAGATGTACAAACAAACAAAGAGCATTGGAAAATTATTGCTTTGAGCCAATTGTTTATGTATCCTGTATTTATAAGGTCTTTTCTACATTGTATGAATCTGACTTGTAGGTATGTAATACCACTTCAATGTTTGGGGAACAATGTGATCTATACAAGCATATTGATGGATTATTTTGTGTTTGGCTTTCGAGTTGCTTGCCTTGAAGTATTCAATTGCAAGGAATTACTGACATTGTAATTTATATCAGCTTGTTTATAGCAAAATTTGTAATTTATATGCCTCCAGCAACAGCTTTCTAAATCAATATTGCTCTATTGAAAAGTGAATTATGTTTTTATGCAAAGAAAATTCTACATGTACATATCATCATTAAACCCTGGCCTCTGAAGATGGTCAGGATTAGGGTCAAATGATCTTGGTGGCCTCCTGCTTCCAGTTGAGTGGTCAAACTCTGTAAGTGGCCCAAATGGGTCAAACCTGGCTCCAGGAGGCACAGAGCCCCTTGGCACACCAGGGTGCATTGGGGGTCTAAGCCCTATTCCACCTGATCTAAAAGGGTCCATAATCATACCACCTTGTCCTGGGTGACCAGGAAAGAGGTCAGCATCTCCATAAGCAAATGGTGATGGTTGATGTGCTTGCAATGGGTGTACCGGGACACCATCATGTAAAACTGGTTGTGGCCTGTTATCTCTTTGTCTTGGTCTTTCTTGTTCTAATAATTTACTGTGAAGCTCATAATCTCCTAAAATGTAACAGAATGGTAATACAAATAATGTGCCACAATGTCCCAGTTTGTAGAGTATGGCCATTTTTTACAAGATCTTGGATGCACCAACAGCCTTGCACTTCAGGTTGGAATGTGCAAAAATTAGCTAAAAATGCCAGGCACACCAGAAATATCAATTTTTCCAGATTTTAGTTGAATAAAGCTAAGTGCCCTTAACAATACCATGTCTGCATATTGGGTGTGCCATTGCAATTTGACAAGTCAGCTGATTATAATAATAATAATTGCAATGTGGATAGCAATATGACAAGCAGTTGAGGTGATGAATATTAGATACTACATAACTCAAAATGAAAGCCTATTCCTTTAGAGCACAATTATTCAAGCATTCAACTGAGTGTAAATACTTAAACTTACGCCTTTCAAAGAGATCCTGGTGCTTTCCAAGAAGACCTCTCTCGATTTTTTTCCAGAGGAACCCCAGTTCATTTAACCATTCGATATTTATGGGCTTTTGCTGTCTGTTAATATGATCTGCAGTAGCAATTTGAACTTCGGCTGCATTTCCTTGGCTTTCGCCTTGTTTTAGCAAGTTGAAGCAAAGTTTATCCTCTATCAGCAACGCTCTTAATGTATATAGCCTTTGGCTATCCGTCTTTAGGTATGTAAACTCATAGCAATCAGGATCCTCCTGTTTGTTCCACTGATCGGGCAAAGCCGTTCCTTCAAGCCCATTTGGACTGTCCCCGTCGTAACTGCCAACGCAAACAGCCTTAAAGCCATTTTGAAGAAGAACTGCATGTGTCACTAAGCATAATAGATCCTGGTCTGTGTTTGGTTTATTGCTAGATATTACAGAATCAAGGATTGACCTAATCTCTGGTTCCATAAATGAAGTACTTTCTTTCCCACTGTCTGCCATGTTTTTGTTACGCAGAGTATCAAAAATAATTACCGGGAAAACAGTGAAAAGGAGGCTGAAGAAAATTTCTGTCTATTTTACCCCCTGCTTTTCTCCTTTTTACAAGACTACTGCTGTATTTAACAGGGGGATAAGAGTTTTGTATAATTTTATGGTTGTTGCTGTTCCACTTGTATTTGTGTTCGCAAGCGGAAGCCTACAAAAGCGATTACACTTTACACAAAATCAAAAACTGAATCGCATTGGTTTACTTCGATCACAATGACTAAGAGAACATATACTAATCGAACAAGCTGCCTAAACTTCTGTGAGTTGATTGAAATAGTTATTTTGAGTTTAAATTCAATTTTCCTAAGAAGCAGGCGGGGGAAATTTTGTGTGTACTTTGTGTTTATAACAGAAGTTCAGTACAGTTTGCACAGAAACAGTGATCTGCCGCTACACATTCTACCCCTGCCACCCTCTCCCTCCTCTCTTAATCAAATAATGATGCATGGTAGGTGCTTTGAAAAGAGATATATCCACATTTAACTGTAGGGTTTTGGTGCAAAACTCAACACAGCAACATTGATATACTAAAAATCTTTCCGGAAATTTAGGCACTCCATCAGAAAAAAACAATTGAAAATTTGGCCATATTGTATTTTTTGGCATAAGAATTGTGCATGAAAATTTGCATGGACAGTGCTTCACAATTTGGTTGAATTTGATACAGTTGGAATGATTTCATATTCATCCTCTTTTGCTTTCTATAGCTTGAGCCTTTTTAGTCCAATATTGCAAACTATGTGATTAAATCAAGTCAGATTTCCTCCAGCCTATGCTAATACATTATGTCAATATTGAATGATAAAAGCCCTGGGTTCTTTGAAATTGTCACTCTTATATTTTATTAACATTTAAAACAGAACAAATAAGGAAAATGGATGGAACAAATCATGGAAGCCAATATTGATGGAACTGAAGAACAACTCAAAGAACTGAAAGATGCATCAGAAGTATGCCCAGTATCACCATCAACCTCAAAAAATGATTTGATTTCAAAAAATGGGAAAAGTAAATATATTGTTAACATTGTTGTTATTGTAAATTCCTCATTTCCTAAATTGATGTATGCATAAGTAAACTGAACTCCATAACCCACCACACCTTGTTCTGGAAGGACAAGGTATCCCATATGTCACAGGCAACAGCTAAATGCCTTTTTTGTTGCTTGAAAATGCAAAATGCTGGAAGTCTCTCCATATGCAATATATTTATTTTATTCAAGATTAGGCTTTAGTGAATAAGACAAGTTATAACACTGAAACTAATCCTGTGATTTTGAAAGTGTTTATCTTTTTGTAGGGAAAAGGAAGACTGCGTCACAAAATGTTGTGTGTCCAGTGTGTGGTTTGACTTTGAGATTTGGTGAGATGAAAGAGCACTATGAGAAAGAACTAAGCAGTCTGGATGAGCTAAGTGATCCATCATCCAAAACGTATGTTCTTATTTGGAATTTAATTCGAGTAGATATTTGAGAAACATTGTGTTGTGAATGCAAGAACCTACCTTCTTGTGCATATTTTTAAATAATCAATGGCAATTTTTTTACAGAAAATAAGCATTTGTCAGTTTTTCATCTTTCATACCATATGTTTTTGGCAAAGAAAATAATCGCTAAATAGACATCTTTTATGGTGATGTAACTAAGGTATGTTTTGGTTTCACTCTCTAAATCCTATATTGATAAATACTGCCAAGAAACTGAGATTGAAGATGCCGATTGAAGGGTAAGACGATTTAAAGCTGAAGATCTAATAGGCTTTAGAGAGAAAGGTGTCGCTGGTTAATGCATTTTCAGTGTTGCAGCAGAACTGGGATACTGAATTTGATAACTCTTTGTCCATTTAACTTTTGCTGGGTCAGTGAAAATAGGTCCTAATGATCAGCCAGTTTCTAAAAATACGCGACTTTTGATTTTAGCTCAATGAAGTGGCATAAAAGGCAACAATCAAAAAAGGTAAAACTCTTAAACAATAATCTCTAGAGCTCAAAAGGGCCCAGACAGAAAATCACCCTTTCCAGATAGATAGCTTGATGATGTTTTAGACTGTTTGATGATGTTGTTATGTGATTTTCAACAAAGGATCTATCAAGAAAAGCTGCACATACCTTCCTTGAAAATACAGATTTTGCAATATGTATGGTTTTGTCTCCCCAATGTAGCACAACAGGCAAATTCCCATTAGCACCACAAATGCTCCTACCACAGAATAAATTAGGTGGTGTGAAAGCAATGACATTTACTTTAACTCCACATGTGAAAATGATGCAAAAGTTTGAAAAAACCTATAACAGTCCTTCAGACAAATGCTGGTTCATCTCCCCAACAAAGATTCTCTTCTTAAAGTCCCTGCTCTTTATACACCCCTTTTGTTTTTGCCCTTGATTTAGTTCAGTTAAGTGACAAAAACACTCTATTTAATGCTTCTTAAAATATAATTGAGAGACATAAGGAGCTTAAGTGAGGAAATAGGAGGCACAGACACATTCCCTTAATTTTTTGGAGAATGCCTTTTTTAAAAGAATTTACCTCTTTGAGGATTTTGGGCCAATGCTCCTTTTTCTGAGATAAAGTGTCCAACCAACCCTACTTGTGCCTTTCCAACTTTGACATGTTTTCAACGCCCTTATCAGAAATTATAGCATTTATCACTTAACAAGATACAGAACAAATTCAAAATATATCAAATGTTTTTACATCTTTTTTTATTTCCAATAAACATCATATATTTCTGACATCATATTTCTGGTAAGAAAAAGAAAACCACTAAAATGTGAACAGCTTTGTTGTCCAAACATTTTTATTTTCCTTCTGCTTATTAAAGCTTATCTCCCTAATTTTCTTAGCATCATTGCTTTGGAGAACAAGAATTTGGTAGCATCCTGAGATTATTTATAATTTTTTGTCAAAGAAGTTATTTGAACCCTGCAATCAAAGCATTTTTAAACTAAATTTTTACAACTTTTACATTGTATTTAATAATTTCTAGTCCAAAAAGCAAGGATCAGCCTCTGCAGATAACGAGGAAGATGAAGAGGAAGAAAAACACAAGAAAAATACAGAAAAGAGATTAAAGGTAAAGGGGATAGTGATTAGCGCAATCTTATTTATCAAAACCAGCTGGGAACCAATAACTTGTATTTTGTTGGTGCCTAAAATCAGAGGTGTGAAGAAAGACCAGATATTCCTTATTTCATATATCGGGGCAAAACCCTTAGCTACCAGCTGACATTCGAGGCTCTACCTCAAGATTTTTATCCAAAAATAATTTAAACATCACTTGCTTAATGCTATGTGAATGCCTGAAATGAAATTTTTATTTGATAAATTAACAAAATTTTATTATTTAAACTGACAATTTGGCAAGGCCTTAGTTTGAGTTTATGGTTCTTATAGACAAAAGGGGAGGATATTTAATGAGTTGCTTCAGAAGTTTTCATACATATTTTATAAAATATTAAGCGATTTATTGTTTTTTGTAGGAATTCTCAGATGTTAAGTGTAGCAGAAGGATGCGATATGGTATGTTCAGGCTATAAAAATCTGGCTTAAATTTTGTACCAAACATTCAACTGGCCAATGTCAACCATAGTTACTCAAAATCAGCAAACCATGCTCCCTTTTTTGTATCATTGACGTAATAATTGTGATATTTGAGATGATTTCATTAAAATGCAAAAAAATGTGTACAGGAACATTCACTCAATTTTGATGCTATGAACCTTGATAAGAAGTAAAGTTCCAAAATGTTCTATCAGTCAAAAGATCCATTCATAAAATATTATAGAATTCGCTTTTCTTGCATTGATAATAATCAATATGTGGAAACTGGTTGAAACGAAAATGTAAATGTATTTAGAATGTTTGAAAATTGCCTTAACTTGTTCTCATTCAGAATATTAATGTATTGAGTTGTGCTGTTTGACGAAGAAAAACATCCTAATTTACGTAGCGATTGAGCCAGTCATAGCCTTGTGGAAAGAGCAAGAGGACAGAGAAAAAACATCCCTCTTCAAAGACAAGAGCAGTAATCGTTTGTGAAGAACTATTAACTCCCTCAGTTAAAATTTATGAACTTCCCCACATACATATTATTCACTTCTTCCCTTCCCTTTCTTGGAAATTTTTTTTCTTAATTGTCAATTTTTTCTGATTTACATTTGCAGCAAAAATATTGCTTGGGAAATGGTCTTCCCCATCTGATGATCCGTCAGCATATCATCTCACTAAATGTGCAATTTGCGATGCACCAATTGCAGGAAATGAGGAGGAGCTTGTGAGCCATGTCCAGCTTTGCTTGAAAAAGGTACCCATAAGTCTTCTTACTTAGGTATTCTTGCGTCTTATACCTGCATAAGTTAAGTTGTGTAAGCAGAAGCACTGTATGTTGCTGTGAAGGAGAGAGCGGATGTAAGACTATATGATGTTGCACCATTGATTTAAAAAAGACAGCTATGTGATCGACATACAACTGTTTCAGGTACCTAGTGTGTACATTTGGCCAGTTTTCTTAGACAGCATTTGGTTACCCAACAAATAGAGTACAACGCACCAGAAAGTTTGATCTTTAATTAAACTACTATGACTTCCAATAATTCCAAACATTTTTCCTTGAAAGTTTCAAGGGAATCCTTAAGTAGTCCTAGTTATCCAAAGAATGCCATTTTATTCAACAGTTTATAATAGGCACATTCAGGTGGTCCACTTGTTGAAGTTTGTGACTACGCTATTTGGTATATAGAACAGGACAGTTCTTAGCTGCTGCTTCGAGTTTCACACTCAATGCGATCGTTCGGCAACTGTGACCATATGTCTGTGCTAGGTCATGAGAAAATTGTGACTTTATGTCAGTGCTGGATTATATTCTTGAATAGGTTTAGTATTCTATGTTAAGCATGCTTATCATGATTCAAACTAGCTTGAGATTTGCGTTTTCTCTTCTTAACATATCTTGCACCTAGGGCTTTAGTCTAGAATAACTTGACAGTCCCCTGAACTAGATGGTTTAGACCTGCACCCAGGCGACCAGAATCCTAGAGCTAAGCCCTAATAAGGGAAAGGAGGGAAGGCAGGAGGAGGAATGCAAGTAGTTTTCGTATATGCTATGTAGCTTTAAAAGCATTGTTAATTGTCGTAAGTCTATGAAATATAGAAATCAACAAACGATAATATGTACCATAAGTGCCTTAAATTATATCGGATTTTTATTGATATCTTAGAAAGAGGGTGATCTTGAATCAGATGAAGAAAGTGGCAGCGAATCCTTGGATGAATACACTTGGGCTGGACAAACAAGAATTAGGGCTACAAGCCTACTCGAGCCAGGTGTCTACGGTAATGCAATGATTTGAACATTTTTTGTTTCATATTCTAGGCCATGGGAAGCCTGAGGGCATTCGTCATAGTGGCCTATTTTTTATGCAAAATGGCGCTGTATGTTTAATAACAGAACCTTTTACGATTACAATATATATTTATATGTATCTTTTGTTCTCATGTTAATTTGTGGTTTGGCTTTAATGCATTAGGAAAATTTTCCAAGTCTTCCTGGAATTTATTTTGCAGCCTGTGATGGTGAGCCAATAAAACTGGAAACGACAAATGAGGATGAAGAACTTGATATTGAAAGTGACGGCCAGACAGCATTCGGAGAGGCACAGTATCATTTCATAATTTGAATTAGTTATTGCAGTACTTGCAAAAAAAGTTTGAACAACTACTTGAAAAGATGACGACCTCAAGCTCATGATGACTCAAGTTATGAATGCATCTGCTCAATTCTACACATTCCAGTAGCCTACATGACCGACTCCTAAAGAAAATGCAGCTTTTAAGACCTTTCTCAGTTGCTGGCGACCTTGTTTAACTTAAAATATCCATGATTTATTTTTCATCGGGAATTTCCTAAAATCTGGTCCTCTTTGTTCAGATAACTGCTTGACATAACTTTGAAAAATTACCCTCCTTCCGAAAAAGTCTTCTCTTTGCGCCGAGAGATTGCATCCGTAAGTCTCATCTTTTTTAAAAGCTCTTGGCGCGTAAGACTAGACAACAGTAGTGGCGATAAATAAAGAGCGTCATCCTTAACTTTCCAAGATATACAGAAAACGATGTGATCCCGTGCAGTTCAGAAATACCCGAGGAGAACGAAGCATTGGATCGCATCAGAGCAGCAATAACCACAAAGTATGAGTCACTCCTATTTTATATATATGTTAAAGGCTGTTTCACAGTTAGGCTGTTTAATTTTTGCTTTGTTGAAGTTGTGTTAACAGACGTCTAGACTACATTCATTCTGCTCCATATTGGTTTCTCTCCATTTTCCTCATTTTCAAATGCATAAGTTTTAATACAGTAAGGTGTTCACACTGCTCAACCAAAAAGCTGTTAACTTGACGGGGACCTAGCTGATTCTGCCTAATTGAACCGTAATGTGAACAAGTTGCTTACAGTTGTGTAGATTTCCGTATAGAAAAAGAAGGAAGTTTGTCAGCTTTTGTTTATTGTTAATTGCCTTAACTATGCTACTGCTTTATTTTATTTAAGTGATCACAGTGGAAATTTGATTATTTATCATACTTGCTATTTTCCTATTGACAATTGTGTTCCCTACCCTGAGGGCGAGAGTAGGCGGGGATCGTGGCCAAGGCCAAAATTCTAAAAAAAGGTGGGGTTTTAAGAAACGTAGGGCTCATTGTCTTATGATTTTTTTAGTATTGACTTCAAAGACACTTATATTGTTTATTCATATTATTTAGATTTTATAATATTCGTCGACGGTTTTTGTCGATAAAACAGACAGATTGAAATACTGAATGATTTTTACAAAATAAGTGATTTTTTTACTTAAGACAAAAATTGTCATATTAACTTCAACTTCTTAGCTGCATTTTAGGCCTATGTTTTTTCTAGTGATGCGAAAGCTAGCAGTCCAGATGCGTCGATAAGATCTCGGTGGTCCAATGGAGAAGGTATGCCAGCATGTTCTCAAATATCGTAGCATCGACACAATTTGCAATATTCTTTCAATTAACAGTCCTTAGATTTTTTTAATTTGGGGCCCAGCATTAGTTATTTAAATATTGTTTGTGATAACAATTTTCGTTAAGAGAATTGATCTATTGATGCTTAAGGAAACTGATTTTTCAATTCTCCTGTAGTATTTCAAAGAATGTGGTAACCCACAAATAAGGTTTATTCGACGGTAACAACTCAATGTGTTTGAAATATTTGAAAGGCCCTGAACAATTAATGAGTAGGGATATTCATATGAGTAAAAATTGAAAAAACTCTTGATTATTTACATATACATGTATAAATATATCCACCTATTCTACTCTTTTTCAGCAAGCTGTATCAGCGAATGTGAAAATTTTGAAAACCTGACTGTGGATAGCAATCTGTAAGTTTATTCATTATTTCATGTATGACCTAGTGTAAATGAAGCTAGAAAATCCAGCCGTCGCTTTTTTTCTACCAAAGCCTTCGCCGACGCCAGTTTTTAATTTCCTGTTACCGTATTGTCGACTTACGTCGTGTTATTTTGACCATTATTTCGTTTTATCGGCTATGAGTAAGAAAGAAAAATCATTTAAATGCAGTATGTAATGGGTAATACCAAGGAATATAAACTGGTTTTATGTTTGTATGAATTTGTTTAGCATTGTTGGTAAACTCTTTATCTCTCAATTTTAGCAATGAAAGCCCTTCAAAGGCCATCTCTTCACTGAAGTCAAGGATCATAGCTTTGGTATGTGTCAACGTTATGATTTTACCGTTTTTTGTACCCAATTCCGTCACAATATACAATAAGTAAGTCTGGCATAGTTGATAATCTTTGATTCCATTACAACAAGTTTAAGTGTAGCATTCTGTATTTGTTGCCATCCATCTGAAGGTAGCTCGAGCTGTGCCAATTGAGCAGTGTCCTAGTCCTTCATTTCAAAGTGAACACATCTTGCGATGTCTACGCCTGAATTTACAGAGAGCTGGAGGCTCTCCTCACCCTAAGAGAAGGTTGGTCATTGCAAAATCTCGAGCCCAGACCCTAAGATCTGTAGTCCGCCATCTTAACTACTGAGCCATCCACTAATTTTATATGTTTTCTGTTTAGAACGATGAGCTGCAAAAGGAGAAACTGAAATGTCTCATATGCATGGTAAGAATTGAACATTCAATATTTGAAAGACGCAAGAATTTTGTTTTATAAACGAAAATTTAATTCTTTAATAACCAAAATCCTTGCCGAAAATGCTTGGTATACTCTAAAAAAGTAATTGTTGAAGAAAGTTACAATTATTTGAATATATTTGCATAATTTAACATAATCGATTGCATAAGGACTAGATATGCCCCCCGATTTAGAAAGTAGTCAGTTTTGATTTGGAGTTGCTTTAGGAGAACTTTAGCCCTGTATTTCAGAGTATTACCATGCTCGATTTTCACCTGACCTTTGGAATTCTCCAGTTAAATGTTTCACTCGTTTAAATTTTTACACAGGAAGGGTTTAATACCCCTCTCGTTTCCGTGATTTGTTGGCATGTGTACTGCGAAGAGTGCTGGCTACGAACCTTAGTATGTCCTTTGCATTTTTTCATTCATCGATTTTTCAAACATTTGACATTGCCATTCGTTCAATATAGCTACTGAAGCATGCTTGACGTAGTTCCATGCTTCTCAAGCAACATCGTCGAATACCTTTTGCAATATTGTAGAAGATTTTACAACTGTACAATCTTGTCTTAAAGGGCTAGTTTATGTCTGACTATGTGAAACGTCTAGCTAAAAGTACTCAAATATGACAAATATGATATATTTCTTGTTTACCGTGGAATCTTGAAATATATTTGGAAAAAAAGAAATCAATTTAGAATTTAGTTCGAAAGAAATTAAATTGAGAGACGGAGTAGAGGAACAATATCTTTTTGCAGTAATGCACGCACAAACTGAATTTAATACATGATAGTGGACGGCCTAAATTCTAAAGGCAGTGTCAATCTGTTTTTCGTATGAGATAAAGCCGAAGCTCTATTCTCTGGAAGATTGACAGCATAGGATGGCTTTCTTAATAAACAACATTTCTACATAAAATTATAAGATAGAGCTGAAGAGTTGTCATGATAGTAAAATTTGTTCGCGACCATAAAGGGGAGGGCTGCTCATATATTTTTAGGATAGGGATACTCAGTCTGGGGTACAAACCCTTAACCCAAAAATGATTCCTAGCACCAGTACGTTTGCAATTTTCTCTACTTTTTTATAAAAGTCTCATATTCGAGACCTAAAACAAAAATGATTCAGAATTCATTAACCCGAAAAGTATTTGTACAATTGACTGACCCAAAAAAGGAACTGAGTTCCCCAAGCCTAAAAATATATAAAAGCACCCCCCCCCTCTCTCTCCCCCGTGTTAGTAGCTTCCTGATTTTGGATATTCAATATTCCAAATGCTTCGAAAGGAGGCAGTTAAGATCTTGCTACTTTCTCTAATACAATCTGCGGCTTAAAATCAACTTATGTAACCCTTTATCTTCACTTTATTCGTGTTTTTAATTAGGGCGCCAAGAAGCTGTGTCCGCAGTGCAGCACAATTACATCGCCTTCGGATTTACGGAAGATTTACATATAGGAACCTATATGCAAAACTATCTCAGATCAAACCAGACTTTCGTCTGCGGGTACACACGCGTGATGTGGAATCTGCGGGTATGCGGCGTGCGAATCTGTGCACGAGAATAAAGGCAATGGTGGGATGGACGATATGTTTCTTATTAATGCCGTCTTAGCTATTCCGTTATAGCGAAACATTCACGAACTACCTTTTTTATTCTGGTTCTTGATAATGAATCATTTAACGAATTTTGTGTTTTGTATATTCTGCAATGTAATGTTAAGGAAAATGTCCGTGTGTCTGTTCAAGCAGAGTAAGGTTTTATTGAAAATTTCTTGACTTCGCTGATACATATTTGAGTCAGAATTCTTTCCGTAAAATACACAGCTGATTCTACTTGAGAAAAATTGTCTGTCAAAAGCACGTTTCTTCCCATTTCGAGAAATTCATGACCTCTTATAGATACCTAGGATACCTAGGATAGAATTTCAGACAAACTTGGCACATTTGTTACATAGCTCTTTCCTTATTCGGCTTGATTTGGTATGGTAAAAAGGGGAATTGTCGACAGAAGCTCAATAAAGTCTCAGTATCAGAGAAAACATTCTTATATTTTATCATTGTTTCAACAGGCTTTTGAAACAATTTGGCTCGATGGAAGTATTTTTATATGATTCGATGGGTGTATGTTTTGTACGGTTCGCTTAGGTGGGAATATGTTTTGTATGGTGCGGTTGGAGTATGTTCTGTAGCCAGAATAAGACCAATATACGCTAGTAACCAAAAGCACCAAATCAGCTTTAGTTGTATGTCTGCTGTCTTTCTCCAAATGGTGACGACCAAAGGCCTAAAGGTGGATTTCCTCTTTGCGGTATGGACGGAAAACGATATATTTTTTGACATCCAAAAACGGTACGCTTACCGTACCGTTTTTACATTTTTGAAAGTTGAAATCAAGACAACTTTTTTCCACGGAATTCACTCCCTTTTACCTCCCAACCAATCATGTTCGAGGCATTGCGTCATAACATCATCAACAAGCTGTGCTTCGAACTGAGTCACAGTCATTCTGAAATGTTTGAAATAGCATTACCTATCATCGTTGGAAGCAGGCAGAGTTGTAGATCCCCCCTTGTAAATACCAATAATGAACCCTTTTCAACTTTTTGCTATCCTTTTTGAGACGTTTTTCAAGAAGGCCCCTCTTGTATTTTCATAGGAACACTTTTAATTTCATAGTTCCCTGGGTGGAACTTTCCTTTTTGATTTTTTCTTAAAACGTGTTTCATATCACTCTTTTATGCTCTTCTCGCATTTCTTTCTCTGTTAACTTTTCAATTTTCCTTCAAAAGAAAAAGCATCATAAAGTTGTTTAGCATAAACATGCCTTCTTTTCCTTTCCTCGGGGATGTTTCATTGCACGGAATGGAAATGGAAAGGAAGTTAAAAAATGGGAAAATTGATGGGCGTAAACTTTCCGAACAGTTTACCATTTACCGTTTTCCACTTTTCGTCCATACTGTGAAGTGGAAATCCACCTTAAGGTTAGAATCCAGTCTCTTGAAGCCTATAAAGATTTTATATTTGGAAAAGAGATAACATGCATTTAAGAGATATCAAAAATAAAATTGATTTATTTCTGCCAATACATAAATTTCAACCAAGAATTTTCAATTATAAATCAGATAAAGTTCAGAAAAATCAGAAAAATATTTACTTCCATTCCAAATCAAAACGTTACGTCTTAAGTTTCATAACCTTCATTTGTTGTTAATTAATCCGCATTAAATCAGATGGTGTCCTTTAAATTGCATAAACACAACACTTTCCTATTCATGTTTCCAGAGATTGATTAGAACGTCGTTATGTTATTCTGGAAACAAATTACGGCCCCCGAAAATTAAAACCAGTAAATTGGTAAAAGTGTTTTTTCCTAATGTAAGAAGACTTCCCCGCAAAATAGTTTGTATAAATTTATTTTCTAATATAGATTTTTGCTGTGAATAAGTATTTTTTGTAAAAATATAATCTAGCAAAGCAAATTGCTGCTTTTAGTGTTGAGAGGCTAAAGATTGAAAATAGAATTACATAAATTTCATAAGAAACTATTTTGAGACGACTAAGCTCAAATATTATGGATACATTTATAAAAACTGAAGATGACTCGCAGATCACATCTAGAATGGATGCTGCCACATCTAGAACAATAAATATCTTTCGATTCTAGAACGGTAATTGCTATCTAGTAATATTTTCTAGAAGATATCTGTACGAGCGGCTTTGGGTCCGCTAAATACTGGTAGTTCATATTGATCACCGCAATGGTCACCACGTTTACGGCTGCCAAGAGCGGCGCACTTAACAACGGTATACTTAACTCAAGCTGGTTAAACAGACCGGCAACGTTGCTACCCAATACTACAAAGAACAAACGAAAGGCTTCTGTAAAACACTGGATATTTGACGACACTAATTTCCCCACCAGTACTTGTAAAGCGATCTGCCCGCATGCGCTTATGCTTAACGCGGCTACGTAAATAATGAACAGCGACAACAGCGCACTGTTATCCGTCGTTAGATAGTCCATGATGAGCCAACAAGCACCACAAAGAATCGTCAGCGCGTAACCACCATATATCCAGGAAACATCGCCCACTCTCTCGCCTAGGCTTCCAACAACCAGGAAAGTTGCTCCGGTTGCTAAAACCCCCAATGTTCCGATCACAGAATCATAGTGGTTTGTTACACCAATTTTGTTATGTGCAAGGTCCATGATCTGACTTTTGTAAAGCCCACTAGTGTGTGCAAAAACAAACGAAGCCCATAATGTAGCAAGGGTTATGGGATTTCGGCCTATTTCGGAGATGATGCTCAACGTATTCTCTGATGAAGCAACGTGGCCTTCTTTCGCGGAAGATCCAAAAAGCCGCTTGTTTTCTTGAGAATCCGAACCCTCCCCATCGCTTCCCAAATCTGATTCTACATCAAGGCGCGCTTTCTTGTTTGACTCACGTTGCTGGATCAATATTTCTTGATAATTCGCTTTTAGATCAAAGCTTAAGGACAGGTCTGATGCGATTGCTGCCGTGAGTATGAAAACAACAAAGAACATGGCCGCAGTTGTTAATGAATATGCATTTTCATGTCGTATCTGCCATGTAAAGATTTTGAAATCTGCATTACTTAAAAAGGAAGAAATCGCAGGTCCAAGCAGTCGTCCTATTACTGTCCCAATGGCACACATTGAAATCGCGCGATAAAGATCGCGCGGGACGTATGAACGTATTACCTCACCGATTACTATTGCATATACTGCAGAACCTATGCCGCGAATGAACCGTCCAATCATCAATATCAAAATGCTGTTCGGCACAGAATAAACCACATTGCCAACAATTGAACAGACATTGCACAACAAAATAAGTCGTTTGATTTTGCGCGTTTGATCAGCGTTTCGTGCGAAAATGACTTGAAAAACAATCAACGCAACAAGATATGAAATCCTCAACAACACCCTTTGAGTCTGCGTATCAGCGGTGGAGTCGACAAACTTGACGTAAGATGGTACCAGCCCAGAGATGACATTTTGATCGATTTCCAATGCGAATAACTGCAGGACAAATATACTCAGACATTTTATCCGGTTGATTTTCCATTCAGGAGAAATGTCATTAAAAAGCTCGTCTTCGTCGTTGTTAAATTGCATATCCAATTGGAAAGTGGCCAGAACGAATTTCTATGGCAGCTTCGTTTGTTTGGCCGGATATATTCGAAAGATAGCTTGGCGTTATTAGTCTCAGACTGGTGCTGGTTGCAACTTGTTGTTTTTAAGGTTGACGTTGGTTGCAGCTTGTTGTTCTTAAGGTTGACGCTAGTTGCAGCGTGTTGTTCTCAAGGCTGACGTTGGTTGCAGCGTGTTGTTCTCAAGGCTGACGTTGGTTGCAGCGTTTTGCCTGGCGACCAATGTCCTGACTAAACCATTCCTAACAGGCTATTTGGACATGCACAAGCTCTTTTATACGGCACTCATCTTGGACTTTTCTACTGAGCCGAGACGCGTTTACTTATTTTCACAACTTAGCTACATTAGGCTGACCTGTTGAAATTTGGAGACAATAAACAGTGTGCAACCAATTGTGTGGCTTTCAAGGTTTCGTACACGAAAGGACATTCTTTTCAAGTAGAAACCACTAAGCGTTAATATCTTAACCAAATGAATTGTTCTTTCTTATCTGAAAGTCTTGATTGATTTTTATTTGAATTGTATCGTCCCAACATCGATGAATAAATTCCTTTTTACAAAGCATAAACGTTTATATCAACCATCGTTGACTGGACTTTGGATATGGAAGGCGGGAGGAGGGTTGTGTATTTCAAACAACTCTGGAATGTTTTTTCAAACATCACAGTCATTCATATTTTTACATCGATAAAGTCTTCAGCTCGTAATCTTCAATTTACGAGGTAGCTTTGAAGTAGGCCTAAAATGAAGTACCCACAACAGCTTCTTATAATTTCTTTTAAGGCCATTTGCGTTAAAATCAAGTTGGGTACTAACCTTTTTTCCGAATTCTAACGTTCGTTTCAATAGAGCTCGTTACATTGGGTATTGAGTTCAAATTAAAGTGCTAAAACATGACTAACACCCTTAACATGCGACTTGTCATAATTATTATGAACACTTTTCAACTGTTACTAACTCGATTTCCAAACTCGATGGAAAGAATCCTCTCACCACATGCTGTTATCATTCCAGACTCCAAACGTTTGTAAGAATGAAATCTAATCTAAAACCTACCTGTCTGCTTATTATTGCCATAAAGATAATACGTACCATGTTTACTCAGGCACACAAACATTGCAGGTTTCAACCTATCAAATCATGCTAGTCAACCATTCTCAATTTAACAACAAAGATAAAATTTAAAAAAAGACATTCTTTTTGCTTCAAACCCTGAGCTTTTCTACTGTACAGCACACAGCCACTATAACCTTTTTTTTATCAAAAATTGACCCTTTTCAAAAGTCATTATTCTTCTAAAGAATTACATTAAAACTTCAACTAAGTTCAGCTCTTATTCATTCGATCACAGAGAAGCGTTATAAGAAGAAAAAACTTTTGAAAATGGTTGTGAATTTTTCCTACCCTATAGCCTCACTTTTTTATCAAAAATTGACCCTTTTTAAAAGTCATTATTCTTCTAAGAAATTACATTAAATCTTCAACCAAGTTCAATTCTGATTCATTCTGATAATAAAGAAGCTAATTAGTTTGTTTAAAGCAGAACAAAATCTAAAAACTTTTGTCGATTTTCCCAAGCCTATAACCCTACTTTTTTATCAAATATTGACCCGTTTAAAAAGTCATTATCATTCTGAAAAATAACAGTAAGTCATGAGTAATAAGTAAATCTTCTTCATCTTTTAATAAAAATGTGAATTAGTTTTTTCTTTAACGAAAAAGATTTAGAAAGTTTTTCACAATTATTTCCAAGCTTTAATTTTTTGGCCAAAACTTTTTTAAGCAAATGACATTAACACTTGATAAGAGCAAAACTTCTTTATTCTGATCATAAAAAAGCAAGTTAGCTTTTCCTTCGAAGGAAAAGTTTTTAAAAATTTTTGTCGATTTTTCAAACTATAGCCTTACTCTTTCATAAAAAATTAAAGCGTCCAAAAAGTAAATATTTCTTCTAAAAAATGGCATCAACTTCTGAACCAAGTTCAATTCTCGTTCATTCTAATCAGAAAGAAGATAAACTTGTTTCCTAATTCCCTTTAAAAGGCAGCGAGTAGTATGGGTGGAGTTTTAAATAGAGAGAAGCAAAGAAATAGAATGGGAAAAGCAATGCAGGGATATCTAAAAGAAAAGGTGAAAAGGCAGCAACAAACATGAAAGGAGTCCTTTAATGAAGGCCATTTGGAAAACAGGAAGTTGTTGTGTCAGCGGAAAAGTTAGGAAGTGGGCGATATAGGTGCTAGGGGACATGAAAAATGCCCTGGACAACGAATCCTACCTGAATTCATGAAGATATTATTCAAAAACAAATTAAATATTCTATACCAGTGCATTATATTCATTAGAATTACAAAAAATGTATATTTTAACTGATGCAATTCAATACTGCAAAATATTAGGCTACTCTTTTGGTACATCTTTAAAAAAGTTAAAAAGAGAAACTTATACCAGATTAATTTTCTAAATACCTCATTTCTAGTAATATATCATAAATATTGTTTTGCAATGTGTTCTTCAAATGTAAGGGTACTGACCATTTTATCCTACCAGAAAACATGGTTGCCTAACTTAAAGACAGTCTGCTCACAATTGCTAAAGCTGTTTTTAAAAGACCATTAAAAAACACTATTTATTTTCCAAAGAGTTTGCTACAATCACTTCCAAAAGTCTTGGAACAGTGACGCCGGATTCCAAGGGCAAATTCAGCCATCCATCTTTCCCCCTCGGAATCAGTGGTCGAAATAAGGGAAAATTGTGTCATCGGCGAAAATAAAAACTTGCGAAGCAAGTTCTAAGACAAATGGAGGGTTTGGGGCGATGTTAAGACCCTCTAATTGGGTTCGGGGCGAAGCACCGGAAAATTTTGCGTTTTTTGGCCATTTATTTCCAATATTGGCCATTTTGGGAGCATCCGAGCTAGATATTGTCACCGGACAATATGTCACGGACAAAACTCCGCTGGACAAAATGCCACTCAGACAAAATATCCTTATGGTTTTTTCATAAATCATCCTGTCTTTATTTCGACCAGTGGGAATTATGTTTTTTACAAAACAATGTAGAAGAGATTAGAAAGCACGTTGTTACGTTTTCTACCTTGTTCTCAGGTTCGTTGTTCTCAGGGGATGAGGGGAGGGGGGGGGGAGGCTTAGTTAGTAATATTTTAGGAAAGAAATAGAAAACATAAAATCACGACACCAATGGCTCGATGTTTCAAGTAATTCCATGGCACGAATAATAGCAAAATTCCATGGCACGAATAATTTTAATAGACTCATTTATAACAAACTTGAGATAAGGCAGACTGTCTTTAACTTCGTATAGCAGTAACGCTCTTGTCTACAAAGCAGACTTTGAACAATGAAAAAAATAATTTTTTAGAAGCTTGTTGGATTCTAATTGAGGAAAAATTTCCTATCAATAGGTAGCTTTAATGTGATACAACTGTAACAGTCGGAGCTCTAGTTGGTGTAAAAAAGTCAATTAAATAATGTTCTAGATTTGCGAAGATCGAATTGTCCCAGTCACAGAAATTGCAAACTTTCAAGCTGTATTGGAGCTTAAGAAAAATTGTAATTTGCAATTTATGCATGAAAGACGACAAAATAAAACGGTTTAAACGTCGCAAAGCCAAATGCACAGGGTCCAAGAATAATCTGGAGATATATACATAGCCCACAAACCTATAGGATACGGGGGAAGGGAACAAGTGGAACGTTTTCAACAGACATAAGAAAAAAAATTTCCATGCAAAAATCAGGTGGGAAATCTCTTTAAAAAAGACTATGCTGGCCCTATCCAAACGTGCTCTTATATTTTTATATAAGAAACTAACGACAAGAAAGAAGTTCTTGTCAACTAGAAGAAATTAAGAATCTTAAGCACTTGAAGCAAAAAATAATAACAAACAATTGAGTTTTATAGGTGCAGAACTCAGACAATTCGTGAAAATCTATCAACATGATTGGCTTGTTGGTGTAAAAATCTAGATCCAGAGAATGAAAATAAACTTCCCTCATCTAAGTAGAGGATCAGAACGGGAGCGAATCTCTTGATAGAAATGTCACATGTTTGAAAGCAACAGAAAAATTGTTGAACTGTTTGCATCTGCGAAAAACCACTACAAGAGGTTTGTCTTGGGAAATTTCCTAGCATGCCCGGATGCTTTGTTAGGTTACATTTTCTGTTTCATTTTTATTTTAAAAGGTAGCGCCATCTGTCCAAAAGACTACATTCAGGGTGCTGTATGAAAACTTTACAATATTACAAACTAAAATATTTAATTAGGATTGCTTCAATTTTTTTAAATACAGAATAAGAAAAATAACATAGTCAGACTAACAAAGGCAAATTGCTATTCAACCTATTTTAAGTGTGGGTGCCTGTTTGACAATTCATTCAATCTTAGTCTTAGCACCCCAGAAATTCGTAGCTTTCTGCCCATTATAAGTTTTCATCCTTGAAACCAGGACATTGACAGTAGGATTGCGCAAATTCATCTTAAGTATTTCGTGAATAGGTTTAAAAGATAGCCTGGCGCGAAAACTGATAATGCATTGAATGAAATAGAAGCTATCTCGCTTTTTATCATATTAGTAACGCTTTGCCAATTGAGTTTCATGATCAAACTTGCAGCAGGTGTCTCATAATTGGTGACAATTCTAGCAGCTCGATTTTGCAATTCGTGCGAAAATTACAACTAAATTCAATTCAGGTATACTAAGTACGGACCAGAAAAAGGTTCCAAATTAAAGAATTATTATAGAAAAGTAGGCAAGGCTTTATTTTCTACACGTGTTCCAGCCAATTGTATGCATTATATTCGTAAGAAGGCCTAATTTGCCTTTTCGCGTACGGCATAAACCAATCAACAACATTTGAGGTGCCAAATGATCTTGATAGAAGCTTGTAAAAAGTTGGTTTTCGGTCGTTCAGGAAGCTAAAAAAATAAGCCAGAAAATAAACTTGGTGAGCGCGCCTAGTGAACTGCTGAATAAAAAAAGAAAGAAAAACTTTTGCTTCTCAATCAAATGCAAAGGGGACGACTATATATTTTCATACTAATAAAATTGCCAGCATCAAAATGGTGTGCCTCTAAAAACTTGATTTTTCCGGTCCATAATAATTCCCACCACGCCCCTGTAGTGAATCACGTTAAAAGTTCCTATAACAAAAAACCTGTTCAGATTTAGGCTTTGACAAAAAGAGTGGTCGTATATTGTTTTTTTCTTTCTACGAGTTCCCTTGCAAGGCTTAAAAACTGCGATTTTAATGGGAAATTTTTAATGTTTCCATAACAAGCCGGACAAGATTGAAAGTATCTGCACCAACGCATTTTAAGGAACTGGTGCTCGGTATAAAGAAGCATCCATTTTGGAGAAAAAAGAATGCATAAAATAGAATTCCCAAAGTCTATTTTATGTTAAGTTTCCTCCGCAGTTAAGATATGCCCTCGCAGTAGTACGAATGCTTTACGTATTAAACATAAATAGACTTTGGGAAATTCTAGTTATGATAAGGGCGCTGATAGGAAAAGAACTGAAACGTGTCACAGAAAGGGAAAAAACATTCAAGTAACGTGTGGTTAAAAGAAATCATTAAAACAAAATTATTACAAAAGGTATTGTAAAGCGAATATGCAAGAAAAGCATACCTTTTCTTGATTGCTTGTCTATCATTCATTAATTCAAGAGTGGTAACATCCTATGGGATATCAATGAGTTGGGTTTTCAGCTTATTTAAGAAAATAAGATGCTTAATTCTAAAACAATACAAAATAATGAAAGTTCTCGAATAACCCCCACTCTCGCATAAGCATTTTTAAGCATACTGGCCAGCCTCAAATGGAACAAGAAAATTTACCCTAGTAATATTTTGTTTTGCAGCTGCAAGACAAGCCCCCAACTTCGTATAAGCACTTTCCCCAAAATATTTTTTGGTAATAAGCCCCCGGGGACCTACCTATTCAAGGCCTTACGGTAGATTCGCATTAAATGGCTAGGAAGAGAAGGAAGTACTCATTTGTAACAAGCAACAAACTTCATCGAAGAGAAGACATACATAAAGCCCCATTGGTAATAACAAAAAAGACAGCTTTTTCCAAGGATAGGATTATGATTGGTTTGGATTCGGTTTTCTTTCCTTTTTTTGGTGTAATTTCCTCTTTTGGCACAAAATGTGTTACAACTTCTCATCGTCATCAGGTACCATCTTCTACCAGAATGTTGGCTACCATGACCCTCCAACTTTCCCAAAATCTGAGTTTTGGTTTGTTGTCATGGTCATAGATACAACTTTCTACTCCCGTTTATAATTAGCATAACCAAGGTGTGCTGATGTTCCTTTGGGTAGCCATGGCATTCTTAATTGTCCGTAAGGTACTTTCAAGAAAATATATCCTAGTCAGACGTACCATGTTAAGGTTTTAAAGTGCACATACTTTTTGGGCATTCAAAAGACAACTGTAGCTTTCTGAGCTGTATTAAAAGGGATCTACTTTTCTAAAAAATGGAAAAGACAATTTCAGCAAGTGAAAGCAAAGAAATCTTACCGCTGCAACTAACAGCATTCTATCAACAAACATAAACGATGTGAAAGCAGCAAAGGCGACTGAAATAATTGTTAAGCATATTATTTCCACGTGTATGCTGAATCTCTCATTTGACTGAAAAAAGAAGCAGAAATTATTACAAAATATCAAAAACTAGCAAAAAAATTATAATGTTCCTTTTCATGAGCAGGGTTCATCATATATTGGGAAAAGCCACAAAAGTGATAAACCAATTAAAAATAGTGACATTTAGATAATAGTTATCTTTGGACAGAAAAAAAAAAAATTTGATCATTGGAATTCAGCAATATCTACAAGGTGCCATAGAAGGTACACTCAATCTGGCACTCTTCGGACTTCAAACATCAGAATAATGATAAAAGATTCTAAGCTTGGGCATATATATATGTATATGTATATACACACACACAGTTACAGATAAAAACAGGCTTTTTGTATTTTCAAGCTTAACTTTTGATTTTTCATTTTGAACACTAGAACAGTGAATACTGCTTGAGATACTCATAACTGGATATGTATTCCAAGGTTAGAATTTTTGATCATATGACGCTTTGCACTTTGAAAAGTGCAAACAAACAACTTTGGCATGTTCTCAAATGTTTGCCTTTCAACATCATTTTTAGGACTTTAGAATAGATTAGGGGCACTTATACATAGATTTGAATAAAGTTATTACAACTTACACAAAAGTGATTCATACCTATATATCAAGTGTTTTCAAGGGACTTCCTTAGACAAATTAAAATTGAAAATAAATATGTTGAAAATGTCTAATATCCAAAACATTACAAGCAGACAATTACATCAGAATTACAAACTGCACATTCAGGTAACCAGTCTAAGAAATATGCTAGGCACATCAGCAGAGTTGACCATGACATCAGGGCAGCATAGAATAAAAACTGTATAAAATTTGCTACATTGTCTTCACCAACACAATTGTTTATCCTACAAAAAGAAAAGACCATAAGTAGCTGGAAACACGCATCTTTACATTTTTAAATGGTTAGCATTTGAGAAAAGGTTAATTTATTCTGTGAGGCAGAAAATAGAAGTTGATTAAGTCCTAGAATAAAAGATCACAAATTATGGCATTAAGCAAAGAGTAGGGAAGGCAGAGGTACATTGATTTAAATTTTTCGTTGTCCTATGCTAAATAAATCTCCTCTTCATACTGATTGAATAATGTGCATGGGAGATGATAAATCTTTATGGGGGCTTAGAATGGGTCTTGCCTGGATATTATTTCTTTAATGAGATAGAGTTTTCTGAATGGAGCCTGCAAGCGACAAATTTTGCCTGATTTGGGGGGGATGCAGCCTTTGCAGCCCTTTGTCTTCTATACCTATGGATTGACTGATTGACTACCTACCATGGACAGTGGTGATCCATTTTGCGAATACAATGACCACATCTTCTGCAGTGATGTGACCTCGGTGGTCTAAATTTTTGACATCTATCACAAAAATGCCAACCCAGAAGTTCTAGAAGAAGACAATACAGGATAGGTATGTTATAATGTCATAATGCCAAATCTGAGAAATCTCAAGTCAAAGGATGTTATCTAAATTGCTCTTAATGATATTCTCAGTGAATTTGAATCCAAAGCTAACCAATTCCATTTGTTCAGAATACAGAATGTTACTATAACATGATAGTTTGAAAGTCATGTTGTATGAATGGAGAGACAACCTGTTGTTTTTGTTCTCATTTGTGAGTTTTGTGTTGTTGCTCTTTGTCTTTGTTGACATTGTTTGTTGTGCGCTGCTAAGGGATTATTGTGCGTTGTTGTTTATGAGTGTGATTGTTTTCGGTGTGAGCCTGAAGTGTGATTGTTTTTGTGTATGTGGGGACAAGTTTGGTTTTTTTTTTTGCTTGCGTTTTACAGAATCAGATTTAAAAATATAACAACAAGTCAAATTGCAAGAAATTTTTATTTCTAAACCTTCCAAAACCTAAAATCAAATGAAACCTAACAATATGGACAAGGTATTGTTAAAATTTCACAAACCAGCATTTCGAATATCATGAAGATGCCCTGCATTAGACATCACACACTGAAGCATAGTCAAGATAGTGAGCACGGAAATGGAAGCATGACCTGAAAAATAAATAAAACCACAAACTGTCTTTTCATTGTTCTATACCAATGGCATTTCATATAATGATATGAGCTATTAATAGCCCTAATCATCACCAAACAGCAAGGCCCAGGTCCCTAAAAATGAGGATTTTAGGGTTCTTTCTTGAAATCATTGGCATTGCAATGGGGAGGCAAGAGGGAGCAGATGCCCCCCTTCAAAATGGCAAAAAATCTCTTTGAAAAAGAGCCTTTTCTAGCATTCAAAAGGTGTAACATAATAAAATATTAACTTGAATATGTGCCACCCATACAGCTGGGTTTTTCACAATTAAAGATTCTAAACATAAAGAAAATGTTGACGAAAATATCCATAAATGAAAATGGTTATTAAATGGCCTTGTCACTCACTATTCACAATATTTGGTTTTATAATAATAATGGCTTTCATAAATGGGCTGGTTGTAAAATTTTGATTGCTCGCTAAGTTTTTATACCGATTTATCCTCCTTAGGTTCCTGGAGTACTTCTGAGGGAACATGTCTTTTGTTTATCATCTATTATCTTTGTCGATCTCTCCCTTGTGGTTGACCTTTTCACAGACGAACTTCTCATTCTCTGCATTTTTATGCTGGTGTTATTATCTTTCTAGTATTTTTTAATAGATATTAACATAGCGAGAGTAGTCAAAGTGGTCATCATATTTCAGGGCACTACTTCCCCCCTCTGCCCCACTTCGAAGAGGGCAGGAGGGGCAGCTGCCTCTTCAGCCCTCCCTGTGTAGGCGCCCCTGTCGAGGGTTATTCGCTTTATCAAGGTAGTGGTATAATCCTTAGATTAGCAGGTAAACCCTTGTTCTGGACAAATCCTCATAAAGGGGGGGGGGGGTGGGCGTGCTTGCCGCCGAAGATCGCAAGGAACTGTCATGCAAAAAATATGTTTACAAGAGTTTCATTATGTTAGTTTTGTTAAATTTTAAAAAACGAACAAGAATTTACTTATTTACAATAAGACAACTTTCAATTGTGTCCAAGCAGATGTCAAATAACAAATTTACAGCGAAACATAAAAATGAAACGACAATTGATTGGAAACGAGACTAACTCACCTATATGTAAATATGTTCGTTCATCCTTATATCTCCTGAAAAATTCCTGAATAATTGTAAAATTGGAGCAGTACGCTGCAAATGCCCAGCAACTAAATATAAAAGTACAGGTAAAAATTCCAACCCAATCTCCGCGTACCCTTCTTTCGCATACCCTTACCACCATCTTGTCCAAACGATCTCCGCTAGTTCTGTTGTCATGGCCTCGAGTGCAGGCACATTCTTTTTGGCCATGTGACCGGAAAACACTGATCTAAGAAAAAGATCTAAAGCCGCGCACCAAAGTTTATAGCGAGGGATGGGACCCGCACAACAGGGGCCAGTGTCCTTTGTAGAATAAAATATTTTAAAAAACTCAAATTTTCAGTAAATAGAAAATTCCTTTTGTTGTTTACACGTTTACACATAAAAATACACGTTTTTATGAATAGGAAACTGGTTTCTAAGAAACTAGTAATAGGATGCCCACAAATGTAAAAAACTTTAATAGGCTCAAGGAAAATAAAAAATCTGTGAAATTTGGTTCATTTTTCTTTGTAAAAGATATCATACTTGGGTATTTGATCTTCAAACGTTTTCCGTGGCGATATGCGTTTATGTTCTTCCGAAAATGCTCAACTTCAAAACCATATGCAGTTTTAGGTCCCGTAATAAGAAACCAAGTAACATAATTTTTAGTACTAAAATGCCAAAATTTTGATGCCAAATTACGAACACTTTGGTACTCAACTTCAAATTGGCACGGCTACAGAAAAACAATTGTTGAGAAGATTTAAAAGTAGGCGTGTGAAATACTTTTGCATATTTTTATGGGGTTGTGGAATTTTTAAAGTTTTTTCATGGTGTTTGAAATTTCTTTGGTGCTTTAAATTATTTGCTTCTGTCGTGGCACCGGTGAGACTTTGACAGCTCCATAAGGAGAGAGGGGCAGATTCAACCTCTTGATTCAGTTCCCCATCACTTCTTCTCTGCGACCTTTAGTCGAGGCCCTTTCACTAGACAAAAAACATGACAAAGAACAAGATTCTTCTTCTATAATCTGTTCATACGATGCAATGAGGTTTCTAGGTAGCAATTCCACACAAAGAATATATTTACAAAATTGCTCAAAATAGAGTTAAAGTTGTCTAGAGAAAACCCTAATTTTAATACGTCAGTATAAAACATCAAGCAAAAATTATGCGAGAAAGGGCGTGTTACTCACTCACTAGCATTGTGCAAATTGCTTTTCCTTTAATGCATTAGAAGTGTAAGACTTACGGATTTTAAGGGGTAGGTGACAAATCATGCTTCTTCACCCCCTAAAATATTACAAAGAAAACAAAGAGAAAGCATTGGCATTTTTGCAGTCTTAAACCAAAAGGCTGGGCCTGGGTGATCGTAGTCAAGCAAAAAAAATAATTTTAAGAAATATCAACTGGTTCTAGATGCATTGACTTTCAAAGGGGTCGTTGATTGTGAGTTAAAGACTGATTTACAGCAAGCAGCAAGGCTGATGGGCAATAAATTCTCTCTGTTAATGTAATAATTAAATGATAAAACGTGTCATTGCATGTGTATTTAAAAGCAGTTAAGAACACAAAACTACAAAATTATATCGAGGGGTCAAATTGCTAAATTACATGACAAGAGATCAAAAGGCAATGTCTCATCTACACGCTTTTTAATAGGCACCATTAAATTGAAGTTCCGGTTGGCTGTTCTAAATTTTTCCAGAACTTTGAGGATGGGTTCTTAATTTGTTGTAACATTACAATAACAGTTCAGTTTGTTTTCACCAACAAAGACTCCCTAACCTCTGCTGTGATCTGTGACTGAATTGAATTTTGTCAGCTGATAAATGGGTTGGCCAATAAAAAACTCCGCGCTAACACAAAAATTCATATAACGGCAGTTTTTTCTGCGTCAATCACATGCATTTTCTAACTAGAGCGGTCATTCCAATAGCTCACACACAAAATTTGCGAAGGTTCCACTGCCATAGAAAACAGCAGTGATTGAGAGACAGATAGAAATTTAAAACTTGTACGAAATTCTTGATGTGTCACAATGTTAACGTGACATACCTTTTTAAAAATTTAGACAATCACAACAGTGGTGATCAGAAGATGACTAGAAAAAACAAAAACCATCGTCAGGTCTTTTATACTATTGGATTGGACCGTTACAATCCACACAATGGCACGATCATGTCCACGAAAAAACCTTTAATCATGAACGCGCACGTTATTCAGTCAACTTCCTAAGTGCAGCTACTTTAGAGAGTGTATACTAATTAGGAAAAATTGGGGTCTTTTTGCACTTTTCTAGATTTAAATCCCGATGTATAAACCAACCCTCACATCTTTAGGAAGAGCTGTGAAGAATTTTTTTGGAACCCCTTCATACCGGGATTTAAACTTGATTTTGGAACACCGGGATTTAAACTTGATTTTGGAACACCGGGATTTAAAGTACGCAGTTTCTATATGAATTTCTCGTGTAGATCATCATCGTAAAACAGTAACAATACCATCATAAATTTCTCTAAACTAACTATTTTAGCATGCAAGCGCCACGATTAAGTCAGAGCTCATTTCATAGAATTCCATGATATGGTGGGCGGATGAATCAAATCTCGCCTTGCTGTAATTTCCCGCTTGGATTTCAAGTGGAGCTGTTGAGCTGACCGAAGATCGGGGAGTAGAACGCCCCGAGGAAGGGCCTGATGATCTACCACTAGAATTTTCGTCATCTGCAGCCAAGCTTTTGAAATCCAGCAGAAAACTCTTGCTGTCAACCTGGTACAGCTGAAGGTGGATCTTAACCTAAGGAGGCAAGACAACAAGTTAGAAAGTCTATGTGTTCACCATTGTCAATTAATAACCCGTTTAGGGTTATACTAAACCAAATAAGCAAAGACAGCATTAATAAAAGCTGTAGCAATGAATTCAAACCTTCCCACATCTCTCTAACAACTTAATGTGATAAACTGTCATTTGACGTCATGCTTGTCGTATAGCAAGGTTCCTTAAGAGCTGTACATGCTCATTTCTAGACAATTTGGTTAGCTTTTTTCTATTCCTACCTATCTTTCAACTTCTATATTGCAACAATGTTTTTTGTATTCAAAGGACGCTAATCAAAATCTCGAAGACCTTAGCATATACAAGATACAACATATTTATTTAGTTTCATATTTTACAGAAGTTGTTGATGTAAGAGTTCCTAAGATTCATACAGTTTTTTATTGTGATTTGTAGAATGCAAGAATTGGTACTTCCTTCAAAGATTGCAAGCTGTAGTGGATTTCCATATAAGAACTGATCTGACTGCTCCAGCCCTGTAGCTCATCGTAGCTCACAAAGTAAAAGAGGTGACCAATTTCTAAGAACTGCTTACCCATCGGTTTGTTGCCTTGTTTCTAGCTCTCACTCGCACAGAAAAGGGGTTGATTATTTTCCATTCCTTGAGCGAAAGAAAAGAAATGATTCCTTGGGTTTTTATGAAAAGGATCGTTAATTAAGTAGTCAAACATCATTAAGTTTTTTATTAATGCATCTCAGAGTATTATAAGTGTTAAAATGCCCGCAAACAGAAAGACTTTCTTCGCTCTACCAGCCTTGCATAAATTTCCTGTTGCAGAAACACAACATATTTTTCACTTAAACTTTTTGAAATAGCCTAGAAACTTTCCAAAATTTTGTCAACATTCCAGATTACAATAAAGCCAAGAAAAAATTCTTACTTTACTTTAGCACTATACGAATTTACGAATTAGCAAAATTCATTGTCTTATCTTTAAAAAACTTGATAAAAAAACAGAAAGATTGGGGCTTGATTGGTCAAGTCACGAGAGTGACCATGTGATAATGCATAAGCTCTTCTTGTCCAATCAAAAACAGGCCTTTGTGTTAACAAACAGTTGAACTTACATATCCAAGCTGCAGCATCGCTCTGTACACTTCTGCCATTATGTCCTGTGGTCGACTCTGAGACCGGATGCCTAAGGAGAATTTACAAAATAAATAGAAGATACAACATAACTGCTCATGGAAAAGTACAACGAGGTTCAGTATCTCAAAAGAATAAAACATTTTGTTTAATCAACACAAACTCATTTCAGATTTGACGACTGATATTTTGGCAACATCGAAGAAAGAAGATAAGAGAAGACACATGTGACACTTATCATTATTATCATCACTAACAATTAATAATTATTGTTGGAATATCAATGACACATAAAGGAGAATGTACTTACAGCAAAACAAGGGTTTTAGAAAATGCAATGAAAAGGAACTCGGTCAGAAATTTTATAGGAGAGTTTGAAAGGAAATCAAGAAAGAGATTGTTGGAAACGATAAAAACACTGACAAATATCCATACGGAACGGCTGACTCAAAAACTCATGCTTATAGCCTGAAAGTAATTCGCGTCCGAGAAGTCTATGTCCGAGAAGTCTATGTCCGAGAAGAGAAGTCAGTGTTCTATTGCAACAAATCTAAAGTACTCTAAAGTAGACTAAAGTAGTCTAATCTAAAGCAGTAGACAAAACAAGGTTTGTTTGGGGTAATTTTCCTCAAATGGTATGACAGAAAGTACAATAGCAATAATTTTTTCGAAAAAACTGAGTCAGAATTACCAAGGTGCCATTTGGGACGTCTTTGTGCTCCCTTTGAGCCACTTGCAGCTGAGACAGTGGCACGTCGTCTTGGAAATGACCCTGTGAATGACATTTTTGGTTATACTTTTAATTTAATTTTCATAATAGCTCTTCCTAAAGTTAATTCATTAGTTTAATTCACTGACGATGCCATAACAGTTTTCATAAATAAGGAAAGTCTGACAAGATAGGTCCAGAATCAAGAAATAGACAAAAAATTATAATCATGCTATACAGGTACCAAGATTTCAACAATACATCAAGAAAACCAATGTATCGTTAAAGAACTGTATCTACTAATATAAGCGGTTTAAAAGGGGGCAAAACCTACCAGATTTCCCTCCACTGGGTGAAGTAGGTAGCTGAAAAAGAACTTAAGCATAAGGCATGGAATCGGATTTAGAAAATGAGATATCTACATGGACGTAGCGGCAAGGGGAAGTCACATAGGGTACTACTTCTCAATATTCATTAACAGGTAAAAAGTGCTAATTTCTTTTTCTGCTGAAAAATACGACATTTATACAAAACTGCCTTATCCATTGCTTATTAGTATCATATTTAGCATTACAATATTTATTGAATTATCAAATATAAAAGCTAAGGGCTCGTAACAGAGAAATGAGGCTGTCTATCCTTTGAAAATGGGAGTGATCAAGGTATCTTCAAATATTTATTCCTCTGCAGTTTCCAAATAAATTTTACATCTTTGGATACGATATATCGATGCTGTGTAGGGATTTGCTGAAGAAAGCACCAAAGCGATGAAAGTAAAATGTGATGGAATAAACTTTCTCAACAAAACTATCGCAAGTTCTTTGCTATGTGGCACGAGTTACTCAAAACTATCACGAATTTTATGCTATGTGGTATGAGAAGCCACAAAATACTCACACTTCCTGACCTTTCCCTCGATGGAGTAGGAATAAAACCTGGAGTCATTTTAGCTAAAAACAAATAAAAACAATTAGAAAGAAACCAACAGTTTTGTAAATTATTTTGATTGGTATAAACAGCATCACCGTTATTATATTGTTGGGATCTTATATTAAATAAAGTTTCGTTTTCTATTTGGCCATGAATCATATTTTGTGAGTTACTTCTAAAATTGTTTTCAATGTGACGAAAAAAACTGATGTACTTTCGTTTTCGGAAAAACATTTAATGATAGAAAAAGAGGAATAGAGAACTTTACAAATCTAAAATCAAAATGAATATCAGAGAAAAACATAATGGGAATTTAAATGAATGTGAAAATCCAGCACCTTCTGCATTGATGCGTCTGTTATCTAGAATCAGCTGATAAGCCACCAATAGTTGATCATGCATATCCCCAGCTGCTAGTGCAATACGAACATCACTTTCTTCGACTTGGAATTTCTAAAAAGATTCAGTCTCTCTAGACTCAAGTTATCAGATTCTGAAAAGGCTTTAATAAGCCGAGCCTTGTGAAGTTATGGAAACAAAACAACTTAAAATCATGTGTCATTTCCTTCTTATGCAGTTTTAAACTCCAATCAACTCTTTTCAAGATTTTGTTTTTACATTTATTTTTTGCTTCTTATCTTTCCTAGCCGATAATAGCCTAAAGCTGAATTAACACAAAAAGCAACATGGCGCAACACGGCGCATCAGGACGCTGACAAAATAAGGTAGCATTTTATGCAGCTATTCGTGCTGGCGTGGAAATTTCGTGTACACACAGCCACCCTCCAAAAATTGATACTGAATACAATTTCGACATTGTAAATTATTTCATTCCTTTATACATCCTTTTTTATCTTTGCAGTGATGCTTTGGTATCCAGTTTAAGACAGCCAGGAGAAAGAGAAAAGGGATTGTGAAATAAGAACTTCTTGAATCACAGCTTTCAGTGAAACACACATGAAATTCTTAACATTGATAAAAGAAGACAAAAATGTGTGAAGTGATAAAAAGCCAAGATGAGAGCGGTATCATTAGATTCATCAAACCAGAGTCTTTAATGTTGGAAATTTAAGGAAAATTAAAGATTAATTACGAGTAAATATACCAAAGCATTTTGTAAACATACCTCGCATATCTCATTGATGGCATCTTCATCAAGGGAATTCCCATCATGATCAAGTGAAGGGAACAAATATGCAGGCAGGTCTTCTTTGAACCATTCATGCTCTCTGTAAAAATTTATACAAAAAATTTGACAAAAAATTTATAAAACTAGTTAATTTCTTTCAATTCTAGGGATCAGGTTAAAAAATGATGGGCTCTTGCTTCGTGTATCCAAGGTAAGTTTCTCTTAAGAATACTTTTTATGCACATGTAAATGCACCAGAATCCTTTGTAGTCCCTTCTAAAAATGTCAGTCTGCATATGATAAATTTACCTGAAACCTCACCGTAAATGATAAAGATAATAGAATATCTTTCCCAGCAACGCTGCATATTCATTAGCAGGAGTCCCTTATTTGCTCCTCTAAGACATCCAACCATTCAGGTACAGTATAGACTTCCTTGCTTAATCTTTACGCCGTTTTGGTTGACATAAAAGCTTTTACGTCTTGCGTCTCATGTCTTTAGTATTTTCAAAAAAAGCTTTTTTCTCTAGGAACGCATATCAGGGAATTTTATGCTTGTTAGTAATTGGGAAGAAATGCAATTTAAAGGCTTTCATAAACATAATGCGTACTCAAGTTATTCTATTCTGCAAAAAGAGAGAAACCACGCCTTTACGCAACCACCACCACCCCCCCCCCCCAAACCGTAGGAATCACTGCAAATACCAATATGTCCTTTATTTCCAAGGACATGCTAGTGTCTATTTCAGCCTTTGGCAAAGAAGATACTTACTTGATGAAATCCATGGTTGCTCGCTTCATTGGATCAACTTGAAGCATAGCTGTTACAAGACTTGCAGTCAATGGGGAGAGATGTGGTGGAATGCTGAAGTAGCCAGCTGTAAAAAGCAGAGCATCAAAGAAATCAGTTACCTGCATCAACATACGGAAGAGAAATATGAACAATTTTTTTGCGGTACAGAATTTGAAAATGGCTTTGAAAAAAGCAAACATTTTACAACATACTTAAAGCTTTTTCGTCTGACACTCCTCAGAGCATAAAACGTCAGAATAGGTTCCGAAAAAACACGATGGAAAAATATATACCCAGTTGTGGATCGAAATAGGCCAATCAGAAAAACGCAAGCACAAGACCGGTATAGTTGACCAACCAGTGCCGCGAGCCTAAAGAAAAATTACCAATGGAGTCCAAGAGAGAAAACGAACTCCTTTTGTCTACACAATGGCGGCTTTTTCGTTTTTATGTAGATTGACTCCAAAACTGCTAGATGGAAGGACGACCGGGCTCTGCCAATTATTCGAAACATGTCGTCATTATAGAGTTTTGCACAATGTGGGTTGTCTAAAAGATGTTGACCAATGGCAGAATCACTTGTTTTAACAGTGTTTCTAGACCTACAAGATCGAGGAGGCTGTTCTCTTTGAGGGGCAGTTTTGTTTCGTATGTTGGAAGGAACATGCTGTTTTATCCTATCCCCCAATCTTTGGGTTGTGCGCCCTACGTAGCCAGAATCACACTGGCACGTAAATTCATAAATGACGGAACTTTTTTGTTTGGTAGGGACGCAATCCTTTTGAATGGATGGAAGGGCTCTCCTAGTGCTGTAAACAATCCGAGGATTGACAGCAAAGAAACAATTGGAAGAGAAATATGTTTGCTATACCGAGCTACTGGGCAAGTCTAATAAAGCAATTTTTAAATGATAACGGACTCGATGACTGACTATTCATATTGTAAATTATTCATATTGAATTATTTAATGCACAAAATCCCTTCAGCATTAGAAAAAATATAAGAAAGCTATAGTACAATTTTATATTTAAACAGGAGAAAAAGAAGTTTCTATTAGGGCTTATTTGCTGGGCTCTTCCAGGGAGTCGTATTTCAAGTTTATTGCAGCTCTTTAGATGCTTTTGCAAATTTCTTTTGAACAAGGGGAGGTTAGTAGATCCCTGTTAGTGATAGAGATGCTGTTCCATGCAGTAAGAGCTGAAAAGTGAAAGCCTTTTTGGCATGTCCAAGGTTATATCCTGAACTCCAGTCAGTCAGGAAATACACCTTAAGAGGCTGGGAGAAGAATTGCCACAAAAACGATGTCATCTTTGACTTTTGTTCAAGACAAAATAACACAAATGTGAAACATAAGATGAATAAAGAATATCGGCTTTAAGATGATAGAAGAGGGAGTATAAAGTATGGATTGAGATTTAAAGCAACAACAAAATTATGGACCATGCAATTGCGTCACATAACGGTAACTTACATTTGATTTTTTTAAAGAGAGTTGGAATGTGTTCATCGTCAAATGGCAGCTGGGAATAAATAAAGCAAATATAAGTAAACAGTAAAATATAGCCTGTTTCATAAATCAGGTCTGAGTAAAAAGAAAAATTAAAAAGAGAAGTCAATCTTTTGAAATTCGAGAAAGCCCTACACGGTGCACCGTTGTCTTGTTATTCTTTATTTCTAAGTTTCAAATATGTTTCTTTTGAAATGAAAGCAGTTTATTTCCATTATTTTGATGTAACTGATTAACTCATTATGTATAGTCCAAGATTGGCCCAAAAACATGGCTTACTAGAATGAATTTACAGCTTCTAAATATAGTTCAAGTTTCCCACATAACACAAACCGTGCCGGACCGATATTAGACTCTAGAAACCGATTAAACACAGACCGGCATTAAACTCTAGAAAAGAGATAGGGTTTACAGTTTCATGCATCATAAACTTGGCCATCTGTCAGAAAAACAGTTTCCTTTACTGCAAACAAATATTGAAACTTTTGAATATTGCAATTAATTAAAGTGCTGAACAGCTGGGACATTCATAATAATTAGAATGGACTTACTGAGCCACAAAGCAGGGCATAGAGGATGATACCACAACTCCAAATGTCAACCTCAGGACCAGCATAAAGCCTGAAATGGCAATAGAAATAATTTAAAGAAATTTAAAGACCGAGACTGATTTAGAACACAAAAGTCAGCACATAAAACTAGGGGCAGTTTTTACAAGCTGCCATGAACCGAGTATAATCACAGTTTCAATAAGAATAAACTAGCTGATTATATCTCTGGAATGTCTGAACCCACTGATCTAAAAATTTGGGCGAACCCATTTACCTAAAAATTTGGGCAAGGTCAGATATTTTTCCTGCAAATGACTAAATACTGTCAACAAAATCTGGGAGGGTGGGTGACAAGTTACAAGAGAAACCCACATAAAAGAACTTTATCAACAGGCTGCTATTCTAAATTCCAGTCTAAAAGGTTCTTAACAAGGTTTCTATATACATACAAGCCATGCACACATTAACAATGTTTTCCACCGCAAGAATTCATACAGATACACCAAAGCTTTGTTTTTCATGTCAAATTTCAAGCAATCAAGTGAATTTGTGTTGTTAAATTGTCCAGTTTGAATGCAGCCTACCATAACCTGATTTATTCTAAGCTGAATAGCGAGTAAAGATACCACCCTAAAGACCATTTTTTATATATTTATATATAAGAACTGTTCCAAATTTCAGCCTCTTGGGGGTTTATAATTATGGGTTTGAAAAGATTAAATTTCAGCCTTAGGGCTCTTAAAAAAACAGGTTCTTTCATGCGGGTTTCTACTGTATGTTTTTTTGCAGAATATTTGAAATGAAATGACCCAAAATTTTTAGATGCATAAATGCTCAAATGCAATTGTTTTCTTGAGCCAAAAAATACTCTTACAATAAGAAAATTTATACCATTGAATCTATATATTTTTATCTTTCTCCCTGGAATTTTCTTCCTTGGTGTCTTCTTCATTTTATTTTGGTCGTGAATGTTTGAAATTAAGCTTTTTGCATTGATTTCAAAACTCTTTCAAAAAAACAATCATCACTTTTTATTTTATCTAAAAAAATTATAAGCAAAACATGTAGCAAAACTTGCTCAGAACAGAAGAGATATCAAATGAAAGGAGAGAAATTAGCATTCAAAATTGAAAAATGTCAACCTTGCCAATTTAATTAGAAATTATAGCAATGTATAAGAATACATGATATCTTATGAAATCTCTGTCAACATTAAAGTCTAGCAGATAGATAGATGGTACAATTGCAAGTGCGGAAATCAGTACTTACTTTCCAGAGATCACTTCTGGTGCAGCATAGTTAGGGGATCCACAACTTGTCTTTAAAAACTCACCATCATGCATCATATTAGAAAGCCCTTTTATTGAAACGGAAAGGCATTGATTGATATATTTCCTTATAGCAGCTATTTTAAAAGGAAAATCTATGAAGAGCTAGCAGAAAGATTCATTTCTTATTAATCTAAAGATGTTGTTTTCAGTAAGCTATTCTTCAAACAAAAATATATGTTATTTGATAAAAAAACAAAAATTTTCATTTTGATGCATTTTCAATGATGTGATAATACAATAATTCAGATATATTAATTAGTAATAGATTGTATTTCTTACTAAACAATATATTCAAACAAGAGCAAAAACAGCAAAAATCACAATTGAGAACAGTTTTTGTCTTAAGAGACTTTGGAATACAAAAAGAAAACTTTATAATAGACCTTACCAAAATCTGCAATTTTTACATTGCCATAGTTGTCCAACAATAGGTTTTCTGGCTTTAAATCCCTTAAGAGTAAGAACATAATCTGTAGAATACCAATTTCTTGGATACAACATAGGAAGCGATGATACTTCAGGCCTGGCCATTAACATTCTTCACACAATAAACATAAGACATAATACCAAATAGCACTTAGCTCTACAGACTCCTATCTCTGAGTAAACTTCAATTTGGTTGAATAAAAAATGAGCAAGGGAAAAAGATAAGTCTCGATTTAAAAAAGTTTCCTTCAACTTTTGAAAGAAGGATCTATAATGTATCTTTTACTTTGTTTGTTGAGAGGGCCCAGGAGGTGGTGATCCCAAAATTCCTTGAACACAATACTCCTTGCCACAGTCTTCATCAGATTACACAATTTCCACATGCACAGGAAAATTGACATACATAACAATATTTCAGAAAAAGGGTATGTAAATCACTTTGATCTAGTGTTGCCCAATAACCTTTTTTGATCAAATCTGAGCACTGAATAATAACAATTGCAATCAGGTCTCAGTGTAAGAAATATTTTAAGTGTTCAAAGAAGGTAATTTATGTGTTCAGCACTCATGGGTTGTAATGTAACTATACTTCCTCTGAAGCTTCTATAATTCAAACAGGAAGAAACCAGTAGTATTGCACAATTTTGATTATAAAAGTATTTTATTTTTGGGTACATTGAGGAAATTATATGTGAGCAAGATTTTAGCAATGAAAAAGTCTACTTTTGAAACTGTTACTTGCAAAGGGGATTCTCTGGTGACATACCCTTCCTGACCAAAATGAAATGACTTTCACTTAATACCTGTGAACAATCATGTGTCTGTGGCAATAGTCAACTCCTGATATTATCTGTTGAAAAAACCGCCTGGAGTCTTTCTCCGGAAGCTGAAAGGAGGAAATTAATCAACTTGTCCATCACAACAACCAAACTTTTATAGCATAGTAAGTGAAACCTTTTATAATGAGTTTTGCTCAGCACCATATGATTAATTTGAAATACCTTAAACTTTATATTATTTGCCAGGTGAAAAGTCACCTTAACACCACTTGCTATAGCTACCTGATTTGTGGCTTAATAAACTGTGGTTATTACCACCACTTGAGCTAAAAACAAATTATACTCATTTAGCACTGGCAAGGCCTCACCTTTCCATGACTTAGAATGTAATCAAATAACTCTCCACCAGAGACATATTCCATGACCATGAAAATATCAGATGGTGAACTGATCACTTGATACCTAAAACGATAAAATGGGTAGATGAGCATAGGTTCCAAATCTTTGATTGGCTAAGAGTTCTGATTACATTCAAATTCTCCATAGCCCTTTAGCCAATCAGAATTCAAGAATACGACAACAAACGTGCCTCGCAGCTAGATTTAGGCCTATTTTGGACGTTTTTACCACTACCCACAAAAAAATAAACGTGTAAAATTTGTTGCAAGATAACCTAAATTTTTTTTTAAAAATTTAGTCTTTGGTAAATTTAGAAAAAAACTGCCGTTGTACTCAGTTAAAAATTTTCCGCGATCGTCAGTTACGAAGGCTTGAAGTTAGCAGTTCACCATCCCCCCAATGACAGCGAAAGAAGTTTGAAAATTCACACTGCTTGAATGTTAAAATCTATTTTATCTACGTAATCAACAAATTAGAACTCACCATAACAAATACATGGCAATATCTTTGCATATCGGCATGAATGTCTATGAAACTTACGTGGAAAAACGCTACATTTTACCAAAACAATATGCAGCTCTTCTATCTCGTAAAATCGTATTAGCATCAGCATCTCAACTAATGTAATCCGCTTAAACTTATTTTCAACTTCTTCATAATTACTTTTTGCACTCAGTTACTTCATATATTTCTTTTAAATACTTGTAAAACCAACGAGAAACTCATGTCCACTGCCAGTCCACTGCTGAAAAGGCTATCGCAATGCAGAAGCTGACGCGATGATAAAAAAGGGCGGGAAACGTGCCTCGAATCTTGACTTGGGCCTTATTTACACGTTTTTACGATTGCAAAGAAAAAGATCAATCGTGTAAAGTGTATTTGCACGTTTTTACGATTCCCCAGAAAAAAATTAATCGTCTAAAGAGTGTTGAAAATGATCTATGATTTTAAAAATCGAGTGTCTGATAACTTTCCTTTGTGCTCAGTAAATTTTTTCCCAAATGATCCCCCCAATTAGGGAGGAGAGACCATATGATGCGCGCAAGCATGCTGTTTGGTGTGTGTTCAGTGTACTCGCTTTGATCATAATTAGTGGGATTCAATAAGTGCGGTTGTGGCTTTTTACGGCTTGTTTACACTATATTATCGTGTGTGTTGACGTGGATATTGTCTAATCGGCATTGATGGTGGTTTTTAAAAAAACCGTTTTATTCGTCGATGGCACAACTACTATGTGTGTGTTCCCTTTCATTTTGGGCCGGGAATAAGGCCCCAGCTGAAGATTTGCTGCTTTAATCGAAGAAGTGTACAGCTGATGCGAGGCTCTTGTTTCTCTAATTCCTCAACTCCACTCTCCTCATCCTCATCGTCACCACAGTTGGCATCAATTTCATTGGCAACAATACCGTCATCGTCATCTTCATGATGGCGTAGTCCATCGCAAGCTTTCTCGGAGAGCACCTTCATCGAATTTGCAAGTTCTTTTGAGCAAATCAAGCATACCATTTTTCCAGAATTTAGACAGCTTGTGTGAAAGGAATGTCCGCAGCCATGGAAAATATGGAATTCTTGGAACACATCTGAGCAATCTGGCCTATCACATTTCCTATAAAAAGATATTTCAAAAGGTTAAGTATTGTTTAAAGGTATATTCTATATTGATTATGTTGTCTTAAAGTGAGAAGAATAAAATGTAGTTGGTCAAGGGCGTATTTATAGGGGACCTGAGTTGGTTATACCCCAAAGTATAAATGAAGGGAATTGCTACTTTTACAAAAATGACACCTCTACAATGACATCCCAGAAATCCAGGGGTTAACCTCACAATTCCTGTGTCAAAAAAAGAAAAAAACTTCATCCTTTACCTGCAATAAGTGAATCCCCTGACCAAGATGCCTTATCTTAGTTAAAACAAAAAGTAATTACACAGACCTGGATGCATTTGGCTCCTTTCCTGGAAACTGAAATCCCAATGGTAGAACCTTTGAGGCAACAACATTTTCTTCTCCATAGATCTGTGGCAATTTCCAATAACTGAAATTCTTTTTCTTCCCTCTAGGTCTTGGTACTTCTGATGCATTGTTGGGATGATCTTTGATGTCTTCCAGAACTGTGATTAAAAACTTTGCTGCTACCATTTTCAACTGCTCAAGTCTTCCTCTCTTAAATGTGTACTTCTTTGGCACAACAAATGTTGATACGAAACTCAATGATGCATCTTTCCTGCTGTCTAGCCCTTTGGCTTTCTTCCGAAGCATATCACCACAGTCATGGTCTTGAGTCTCAGCACGAAGGTGTGAATGAAAATTCTACAGCACCTACTCCTTCAAGGTAATGCTCTTCAACTGGATATGTTGGGACAAACTTGACAAGAAACTCAGGAACAAGATAGAATGTTTCGCCTTTAACTGTTTTTGTCTGAAAATTCAAGGGCTTGGGACCTTCCTGAGAATCATCATCAATCTGATTAAAGTCAGAAGCATTTTCATCTTTTATGCTGAAAGCTGATTCTGTATCTTGGGACTGAGATGATTCAGATTCAACATCAGCAATTGCATTCATCAGCTGAAAATCAGATGATATCATCTTTGAACATATTTTCTTAAGTTTATTTACCTAAATTTTGTAATTGAAGACTTCTTTCAACCCTGTAGTCAATTCATTTAATTTCTTTTAAGGTCTGGTGCACAGTGGCATGAAACTGTGGCCTTCCAAATCACCAGAAAGCACCAGCATTTATCAGAAAAATATATTTGCCCCCCCCCCAAAGTATCCTTAACATCCTCCCCTGAAAAAAATAGCTGAAGCCCCAAAAAAACTTCTTTATGCCTCAACAATATCTGCAGTCAACCAAAATATCTATAGCTTTCTAAAATATCTTTAGCCCCTTAAGATATATTCAACCACCTAAATATATTTTGTAAATAGTACCCTCCCCCCAAAAAATGACCCCCGCTTTCCCCTGCAAATATCATAATTTTATCTAGAGCACCTCCCCCTTAACCAGCCACATATTTAATATGTTTTTTTATCTATTTGTATACTATTCAGAATATGATAGTTAAGTCTTAAAGAAGCAAAAAGTATAAATAGACAAAGTCAAAAGTGGCAACAGGAAGTATTGTGTACTTGGTATGAAATTTTTATGAGAATTGATATTCTTGTTATTTGAATACTTACTGTTGCATATGACGGGAGATTCTCGTATCTCTCTGGCAAAGTAGAAGTGAATTCGCGTTTCTTCCAACATTTTTTGAGACAGTCTGTACAGATGTGATATTTTGCCCTCTTCGAATCCTTTTGCTTGAAAGCTTTGAAAAAAGGGTTAGAAGTGCCGACTCTTGCTTTTAAATTAACCATTAATGGAGACATACTTCTCCAAACGTCGTGTCTTTCATTTGCGCAATTTTTTGAAAATTTTCCCATTTTAATTACATGCGAGTATAACGAAAATTTTCCAGCCACAACAAAAAAATTTTCGCAAGTGACGTATGTTTGATTTTCCCGCCCTTTTTATCATTACAAATCGCGTCAGCTTCTGCATTGCGATAGCCTTTTCAGCAGTGGACTGGCAGTGGACATGAGTTTCTCGTTGGTTTTACAAGTATTTAAAAGAAATATATGAAGTAACTGAGTGCAAAAAGTAATTATGAAGAAGTTGAAAATAAGTTTAAGCGGATTACATTAGTTGAGATGCTGATGCTAATACGATTTTACGAGATAGAAGAGCTGCATATTGTTTTGGTAAAATGTAGCGTTTTTCCACGTAAGTTTCATAGACATTCATGCCGATATGCAAAGATATTGCCATGTATTTGTTATGGTGAGTTCTAATTTGTTGATTACGTAGATAAAATAGATTTTAACATTCAAGCAGTGTGAATTTTCAAACTTCTTTCGCTGTCATTGGGGGGATGGTGAACTGCTAACTTCAAGCCTTCGTAACTGACGATCGCGGAAAATTTTTAACTGAGTACAACGGCAGTTTTTTTCTAAATTTACCAAAGACTAAATTTTTAAAAAAAAATTTAGGTTATCTTGCAACAAATTTTACACGTTTATTTTTTTGTGGGTAGTGGTAAAAACGTCCAAAATAGGCCTAAATCTAGCTGCGAGGCACGTTTGTTGTCGTATTCTTGAATTCTGATTGGCTAAAGGGCTATGGAGAATTTGAATGTAATCAGAACTCTTAGCCAATCAAAGATTTGGAACCTATGCTGGGTAGATGATACTTCAAAACAACAGCCATGCAGTTGATACATAAATTTAGGATCTTATTGGAGAAAAAATTATACATATGAAGAATTTCCAAAGTGACAAAAAGGGGGCTATGAGCACGCCTTTTAGCAAAGAAAATTCGAGTTTATTTCTACAATTTGACCTTTTCTTGCTTTTGAAATGGAATTTTTAGTTTCTTCTGCAAAAAATCAGTTATTTCATAATAGCAAAACCTGACTTGAAAATGCTGGATTTCATCATGTTGCTAGAACAAGCGATATCTTCAAAATTGAAAAGGGCCTTCAATGTCTCTCTATATCACATATATAAAAGCTATGACCTGTTAATCAAGAGGATTTCTAAACTTTCTATGGAATAGTTTATAAATATTTATCTTGGTTTAAGCCTACTTGCACAATTTTTCTATCCTTATAATAGGCCTTTTCGTTTGATGTGAGCGATCATTTTCGATCACATCAGCACTTGAGCAACCCCAACCGTGCAAGCATTTGATCACTGGCAGAAACTGTGAGGAATAAATGTCAAAAAATACATTTCCAGTCATCTTTTGTGACCCAAGCAAGTGACATAGCCCATACAAAGCTGGTATACCAAAACAAAGAAAACATAAGTAAGCTGAATTAGCCACACCTCAGCTGAAAAATGCAATTGAAAATCAATTCCTTCTCGAATGTGTGAATACTAAAGGCACTTAGCATTTGAACTACATTAGCCCTTGGAATCTGGGCATTGAAAGCATCTTAAAAAAAGGTCTGGAACAACATTTTGTGATCACCCAGCAACAACCTCTATAAGGCCTTTGTGATGTATATAAATTTATAATCAAAGTACAGTATATATATTTGGTATTTAATCTTTTTGGAGTAAAGTAAAGATCATCATAACCATTCATTTGTATTTGATGTTCTCTTCCACAAAATGGTTTTTGTCAACACTACAGACACTTGTCGTGTTGTTCATTATTATTGTCATTCTTAGAGCGAATGCTTGATGAAGAGAAATCACACAAGCACTGGGCCACTCACATGGGCCTTTTCTTACAAAAAGGCCTGTTATTATATTAAAAGAACAAGCATGCAAAAATAACCAATTTCCATTTCACAGCACTAAAAAAAATGGACAACAGTCTAGCATTTTTATATAAAATATTAAGCCATACTCACAATTTGATGATATGCGGATGTCTGAAGAGCTTCAGAAACTGAATTTCTCTTTTTATCTTCCCAACTACATCAAGACTTTTAATCTTTTGTCTGTTAAGAATTTTGATAGCAACTTGGTGACCAGTTATGTGGTGTTTAGCAACTGAAAAAAAATCAACATAATCATAGCATATATTTAACTTTAGCTTTTTAACCCTCTTACATTGATATGTATGGATATTCAATATGTGCAACATCTAATAACCAAGGTTTAAACAATAAGAGATTATGTGGCTGCTCAGTAGAAATTTATTAGAATGCCACGGAGAGTATCTTGAAAGATAAACTACGGCTGAACGAACATAACATAACAACTTATATGTTCAGGATATAATACTAGGCCACATTACATATTCAGCGTAAGAGTAGTAAAAACGTTTTCACAGCATGACTAAGCAAGGCTTAACTAAAAGTGTTAATCAATGATACTATGAGTCAAAACATGATAATAGTAAATGTCTTGTCAAAATTATCCCTTTGGATTACAAAAATTTCCTCTTCATTTTAATAGGGGGTATGTAGATATTTCATTATAAAAAGAACATAGAGACACCAGAGTGTATTTGTTATAAGTTGATGTAAATTTAAGGTTTTTGTATCTGTATCTTGCTATACAGCTTGCCTATCATATTGCACAAACTGTAACAGTAACAGTACATTAGAAACACAATATTTATTATTAATATAAATTAATTATCTGATTAAAATGTACAGAATTGTACTTGGCAGCACCAGTCTTAGCAGTTTCAATTTATGTATCCATAGCTTTCCTAGTCATGCATTATTGCCCTGACTTTAAAAATTGTCATTTTAAAGACTTGATACTTTTAAAAAATATTCCATTCCTTCAAGATGGCTACAAGAATAATGAATTAGATAAAAATAAATATTTCGTGTTTAATAAAAAGAGTAGCAAAAGGCGTTTATACTAAACAGGGTTCTTTTGAATTGATCTATGCCAAATGTTATAAATCAATCAATACTAGCATAATTTCAAACCGTAGGTACGTTCCATTGCCTTAACTCAAGCAACCTTCTAATTATTTATTGATTATTTCATAAATTCCATAAAAGCGTTTTCTAGTATATGAAATTACTTCTCGAGAAGAAGATCGAGAGGAAAACTTATATGCAAAAATCAGCTGTTTACGATGTCAAATAGTTGGCGATAAACTATTCAATACCTTTCACTTTTCCAAAGGTTCCGACACCAAGAGTATCTCCAAGAGCATAGTGTCCTATTTTGAGCAATGGTTGCGATTTTTCATCTCTTTGTTCACGAGTTTGATGGTGACCCAGTGAGTGAAACACAGGATCCATCTTGGCTTGTTGAATCTTTTTGAGGATTGGAGCTGCGTAGCCCGTTTTAGGACTCATTGCAAACTGACTCACTTTGAATGTAGGAAACGAGGCAGGTTAGAATCAAATATGGCGACTGGAACAGAAATTGACGAATTTGAGCCTCTTGCACCAACAATTGAAAACATCTTAAAACAGGACTCGTTGCAATGGATTTTTGTTGGTGGAAAAGGAGGTGTTGGAAAGACAACCTGCAGGTAATGCTTCAATTAAGTCGGAAAACATATAGATCTAAATAACTAAGAGTTAAGAAATACCTACCTAGAAAAGGAAATTTTTATCAATTTTTTACTACGTTAACGTTTATATACCTCCTCGATTTAGCCATGCCCTTCTGTTCCCAGTTTTATTTTGTCATTCTAAATTCCAATACATACACCAATAAAGAATAATGAAATATAGAATTACAACTGAGATGCGAAAAACACACAACTTTGTGCAGGGGCGCAGTGGGAGTTAACTTTTTGGGGGGGCAAAGCTGAAAATTTTCCGATAAAACTATGATTTTTCCGACAAATTTTTTCTCAAACATTCCTTGAAGATTACCCTTGCTGCATATACTACAACACTTGATACTACAATATCACGAATGGATCTGGAAATCGTTAACGAATGAATCGTTCGTTATACACCTTCAAGTTCGACAATAGCCTTTATTCTAACAAAACTTACCAAATATAAATCGCTATGAACAAAACTGCAACTAGTTATAAATTTACACCCTACAAGTCTTCTCGCTATACTAGACAATAAACTGCCAAGTTAGTGTTTATAGATGTTTATAGCAAAAAGTTTTTGGCAAGTTTTAAGTCGCATCATAATTACTTTGCATTTATTTATGCTAAACCTTAAATAGATATAACGCATCCAAAAGAATAGTTTTCTTTTAACTGAATTTATATAAACTGTTACTCAAGCAGCATCTTTCTCAAAAGAGGTGTGGCAGCATACAAATCGATGATATTACCATAGTCTATCAACTGTAAAATATCACTTTCGACATTGATTGTTATCAGAGAGGAAAGGTGGTCTTGTCCCATCGTTTACCGTAGCCGATTTTTTTACAATCCTCAGCTTTGAAAAAGCTCTTTCATAGTTTGTTGAACCTATTGGCAAAGTGACGAGAACCTTGTAAAGAAGGACCAGCTGTGGAAAGGCACTTTGCAGGTTATACTTATCATCAACTGAAGAACTGAATGGAACTGAAAAGTTTTCTCTTTCTCCTGCAGCCGGGAGAGGGTTGCTCTTTTCTCTAACTTTCCAAAATTTACGGTAATCATTGGCGAAAGAGCTGTACTCATCTCTTAATTTTTCGTCATCCAGGCCGTAATTCTTCGCAACCTTTTTGAATTACACTGCACAGAACTGCCTTTCAATTGTTTTTTGAAAACATTCAGGGTTGAGCAAGGCAAAATCTGTCAAAATTGCCTTATGAGACGTGAATCTTGTATTCATTGAGCTGATAGCTGTATCTACTATCACGATGATATACGGATTCCCTATTTCCCTCTAATTTATCTATGCAATTTTCCCCTGACATCTTTTTCTTTCTGTGTATTCGTCGCTCGACAAAATTTTCCTCTTCTAAGTCATGGCGTTGATCATGCACTATTTTACGACAGGTTTAAAAAAATATGCGACCTTTTAGACAAGATCGATGAAAACCTTACATTTTGTCTGATATTTCAAATTTTCCAACAAACGTTGGATTTTCCGACAATCCGAAAAAAATTTTGCCAGGGGGGGCGGCTGCCCCCTGCCCCCCCAGCCACTGCACCCCTGACTTTGTGACCCTTTTCTTGTTATTCCAGACATGCCAGTATGAATTCTGTTGCAGCCACACTCCGGGAAATTTTTTGTGAAACTACGAGTGCACTCTTGCACACCCGAATATAGGCGTCGTTTTGGGTGTGGATCAGTTAAAAAAGTTTTTTCATATATGGCAAAATGACTTTCTAAATTTGTTTGCAACTTGGATTGGAATGTCATTCTAAATTGAGCAATTCCCTTACAATCAGGGCTGCCAAAGAGTTTCAGACACCATTTACACTATCCTGTCTAAAAATGGAACTGGGATGGTACAAAATTAGTTTCCTTTCATAGCAGGGTAAAATCTGTGCTGGATGGCAGAGCAAAATCATATTGGTTCCACAGTGCCACTGAAAAGCGAAGGGGGGGACCACAACATTTTTGCTACAGTTCCAAACTTGGAAGCAACAGTGTAAATGGGGTCTTTGAGCCCTGGGACAAAACTAAAAGGCCTCTTGCCAGTGAAGCGAGCAGAAAATTTGTTTGACTTTTTAAATCTATAAGTCAGAATATTTTTTGCAGTGGTTTTCTAGCAATTGTTCAAAAGGTTTTTATTATTTCATAACCTGCGATTCAGACCCAAAACTTAAAGTATTGGGTCAAATGTGCACAAAACTGTCATGAAATCCAGACCGCCAATGATAGTGCCTCTTTGCAAACCTTTCTAAAACATCATCCATGCCCCATTAACACTTTAAATTCAACTTAGAAGCTCTATTGTCTTTTGACTTTTGAATTAGAAATGTGTTAACCCTACAATTAGATCTAGCTCTGGGACTTCCAGCAATGAGATCTAGCTCTCAAATATCCCTATTTTGTCCTTGGTCGTCCTTTGCAGCAGTTTCCCTGAATGATTCTCCTCAAAACATATTTTGCTTGTTATCCTGCCTCTGCGGGTCCATCTTCCAAACCACCATAGTCTGGCATCTGCTCCCTCTCACCTGTTCCACAATGCTACACATTTTCGGTTTTTTTCTCACATCATAATGTTGACTAATACCTAGGATGAACTGATCCTTACGCAGGATTTCATTGTAGCCAAGATATCAGACAGACATGTAAATTTTTACAATCTAAGTGACATTTGGTTGATAATTTAGAACAACCAAGTCAAATTTTGTGAATTCAGCTTTCATTCTAGATATAACATAAGTGGGCAAAGTCCTTAAGGCGCAGGTTGCATAAGAAAGAGAGATGGTAAGACAACCAGTGTGCTTCTTCATTGGAAATTTTATAATGGAACTGCTCTTACTTTTTTAGCTGCAGTCTTGCTGTGCAGTTGGCAAAAATCAGACGTAATGTACTGATAATATCAACAGATCCAGCACACAACATATCAGATGCTTTTGATCAAAAATTTGGGAAGACACCAACACAGGTTTCTGGGTTTGATAACCTGTTTGCTATGGTAAGCATGCAAGTTATATGTGTCAGCTTTTGTAGGAACACTCCATATAACAAACAACAATGACAGAGTTTAAGCAATAAAATTTATGACCCCAAATTTCAAATCATGACTTGTAAGAACAAAAAGTGCATATGTATTATTTAAATGATTTTGATGTCATATTAGTAAGTCTAGGAACAGTAAACCAGCATATGTATACCAATATCCTATATTTACCTTGCAAGAAATGCATCATAATAGCATCATACATTAATATACCAAAATGCTATATTTACCTTGCAAGAAATGCATCTAGCATCAAGAAATAGCATCATACATAAATATAGTTGGTTCCATCATTCCTTTCCATTGTTTAATATTTCCTATTAGTTCATGGTGCCAAAAGCATTCTTTTGAATTTCCATAATCTTATATTAGCAAAATGAACATAAACCATCCAATTTATTTCAAACTTTAACAGATTCATTATATTGTAGGAGATTGACCCTAGCCTTGGTTTTAGCAACTTACCTGATGATGTCATCGAGGAAAATGGTAAGGAAGAAATACTTCAAACTTTATTTACTATTCTCCACTGGTTAACTAATAGTTGTTGGTTTGTTAACCCTAAACAAACACTTCAGTTAAACAATTTAATGATTAATGCCATGCAAAGTTTAAATGTTGTAGCACCACCTAATGAAATTCTTTTTTTGCTAAAGATGCATTTGCTGGTGGAAAGCAGTTGATGGAAGAGCTTCTTGGTACCTTTCCTGGAATAGACGAAGCAATGAGCTTTGCTGAAGTGATGAAGTAAGCTTATTTATAAACAATGTTTGTTCAGTGTTAGATCGTTTGCTAGAACATGACCTACTTATGGTTTGTCACTGTAGGGTTTTTATGGTATTAGCATTTTTATTTCATTGATAGCTTGTTTTTGTATGTATGTATGTATTAGACCTGTCCACCCAAGGTCGAATAATCTGTATTCGGTTACCTGTTTCACTGTTTGGTTAGTTGTCCAAAGCAAATATTCGGTTACAAGCGAATAGTTGGAATAGTTCAACTATTTGGTTACAAACGAATAGTTTGAATAGTATGATTATTTGGTTGGAGACGAATAGTGCGAATAACCTCACTTTTGGAGGTCCACAATGGTTGTTTGAATAGCTGTGACTCATTGAATAGCGTTGACTATTCCAATAACTGTGACTGATTGAATAGCTGTGACTGATCAAATAACCGTGACTGATCGAATAGCAATTGCCAACCAAATAGCACTGACTGGTTGAATAGCGAGGATTGTTCTAAAGGAGAAAGGGAACTTCCTATCTTCAATCTTAGAGAGAGTTTCATGGATACGGGCCTTCTTCAAAAATTACAAACCCAAGAAATAGTTACAAAGCCAATAAAGCAAGATTGGAACAGGGCAGGGGGAATGGAGCGTGGGTTGCGGGTGAGGGTCATGGGGCTTTTCCTCAGGAAATTTTTGTGCTACAGTGCCTCTGACAAAGGGGAGGCCGGAGGGCTATGGCCCTACCACTATTTTGCAGAATAATATAACTTTTCACAAAATCTTTTGTTGCAAGTGCTGAATTTTCTTTTGCCCCCCCCCCCCCCCTCCACTTCCCAACTTGTGTTGAAGCCCAAGCTACAAAGCTTTTCACTTTTAAAAATGTTGGAAAACAACCCTTTTTGAAAACAAACGACTATGGTTTCTTGTTAATCTGATACTGATTTTCTGGCCATTAGGGGCAACTAATGCTAGAGAAGGTTCGAGAAAACATTTATTTTTGACAAAAATCGTTTTAAAAATTGCTTTGCAGCATACCCTTTAAAGTAACGTAAAACACAGGAAATATCAATAGGAAAACAAAAGATTAATGGTTCTGACTTATCGAATAGTAATGTCTGATTAGCTATATTCACAGGTTGGTTAAATTACAAGAAATTTTCAGATTGCAGTTTTTTACCACCACCCTGCCACACCCATTTTACCACACCCATATTCGCCGAATAACCGAATATTCGTAAAATTTTAAGCCAAATAACCGAAAAGGAATATCCGAAGGTTTGGACAGCCCTAATATGTATGTGTATGTAAAAGCATCTTTAGCATGAATTACAAACTAAGTTTGAAAACTTGTTTTCAGATTGGTTAACAAATTAAAAGTACAAATAATCTAAATTTAATCTATAAAAAAGTTTAAAAAAAAGTAAAACCCTTGTAAAAAATTTGAATACCATTAATCCTTGAATTAGCCCCCCTGGGGGCTTATTTTTTTTATATTTTTAGATGGGGGCTTATTCAAGGGGGGGGGCTTATATGAAGGGGCTTATAAAATTATTGTAGACATTAAGAAGTCATTATTAAAAGACCTCTTTTATTTTAGAAGGAATTTCTTTATGAGCATTTAATTGATTAATACCAAAAGTATGAATTTTTGTGGTAATTCAATAAAACGCGAAGACAACCTCAGATGGCAAAAATCATCAAATTGAGAGGTCCCATTCGATAATATACAGTAGCAGTGGGGGCTTATTCCAGGAGGAGGCTTATTGACAATTTGTAGTTCTAGGGTGAGTGCTTATTTGAGGGGGGGGGCTTTTTTGAGAGGGGCCAGTTCAAGGGTTTACGTTAATGAGTTATAAACCCATGATGTTAGTTTAAAATGATATTTTAAAATCCATCCATACTTATTAAAAGAGTCTGACTTAAGTTTGTCCAACAGTCCCATATCATTGCTCCATACTGTTTAAAAGACTGTTTATATAAGCAACCCCGACTGGCATTTCTTATTCTATGTCCATGGGTATCTGTAACTTTCAAAAACATTTCTGAAAGGTATGATGAAGTAGCACCTATAAAGATGTTAAACATAAAGGTACAAATGTTGAACTTCAAATGCTAGATAGTAACAAATATGAATACTTGATTAATATACATGAGGGCGTTTTCTCTTTTTAAGACATCATATATACACATCTCTGGCATCGAGTAATTTTTTTGTAGGCTGGTTAGAAGCATGAATTTTTCTGTTGTTGTATTTGACACTGCTCCAACTGGTCATACACTGAGACTGGTCTCTTTTCCTTCTGTTATTGAAAAATCTCTACAAAAGCTGATCAGACTTAAGTCAAAAATTGCACCATTTATAACCCAGGTAACTTTTGCATCTTGTTATAAGTTTCCAAATAATTATCATAATTACTAAATTATCATTTTTGTAATTATTATAATTATTATTATAATAAGAGATTCCTTATCTATCCATCTTTCTTCTTCATATGAAAATCAAATGAAATGTTCTAGGGTGAAACTGCTAACTTTGCACTCAGTATTTTGTCCTGAATATATTGTGTGCACCATAGTCCAATTTTTCTTGTGCCAAATCAGATGCAGTATTTTTAAAATAGGGCTAAATCTTACCTTTCAGCTTGAACAATAATGTGATGGCTCTAGGTTTTTGATAAAGTTGAATGTGCCATATACCTTCAGCTGCTTTCCTTCTGTGCTAAGGTGCTGCACAACAGACAATCAGCAAAACATTTGGGCCAAAAGATTGTCTCTCTTCTTATAGAAGAAGTGTTTTATTGTAACCAATAATCAATATATAACTTTCTTGCAGTTCAGTGGCCTTCTTGGTATGAGCAACTTTGACCCTGAACAGTTAGTTGGCAAACTAGATGATATGCTACCACTTATTCAGGAAATCAGTTTGAAATTCAAAGACCCAGTGAGTGAATCATAATTGCCTGTAAAATCATTTTTCCTTCAGCTGAAACAATAAAGGTCACAAACTAGCAATAGCAATGATGCAGGAAAGATGGGTGTTGACTTGACTATTAATCAACTACTGATAATGTTGCCCCCCCCCCCTCCACTGTTCATTGAACTAAGAATGAGACCCCAGACAACAGAAAAATTGTTCAAGTAGAGCATGGGACCCCAAAACTGCTAATTTTTTATTATTGCTCAAGAATACCATTCTCTTCATTTGCAAAATACATTTTCCACTTTAAAGTTTCTACTGCAAAAAACATTGTTTTAACTTATGGCAAAAAGAAAATGGTTTCTAGCTTGTGATCTGTTTCCTTTGGACGCAAAGAGCTGGATGCCTGGAAATGCAAGACACTAAAATGCTTTGATATCTTTTTTTATAACTCCTCATTATATGTTCAGCTATTATATGTTACTGATTACTGGTTTCTCTATCAAAGGGTACTAACTTTTTCCTCATTTATATTTCAGGAACACACAACTTTTGTTTGTGTTTGCATATCAGAATTTCTTTCTCTGTACGAAACTGAACGCCTAGTTCAAGAACTCACCAAAATGGAAGTAGATATACACAATATATTTGTAAACCAGCTGGTCTACCAACAGGAAGGTAAGCAAGTAATGTATCATGGTTTGTATTTTATTCTTTGGAGTGATCTAGTTATTTGCTTAGAGACTGTGCCTTTTTGAGACTTTCTGAAAATGTGAACTACAAATTTTTAATTAGCTTTTTTCCAAAATGTGAACTAAAAATTTTTAATTGAGACCTTTAACATTATCAAAAACTATATTAAATAATTGTTTTAGCAAAGTTTCGGATACAATATATTGTTTTGTGAAAAGATTTTTTTAACTGCTGTTTACAATTAAGTCAGTTATTTCATAAAAACAAAATTAAATAAGCCTTTGTAACCGCTGCATTGTAACGGTTTAAAGATAGAATAGAAGACATAGGCATCACATACTTTAGTACTTTCCTTCCAAGAATCCAGAGTGAACTAAAGCATATAGTCACAACATTTTTAAAATCTTTGGCCAAGCCAGGTTTGGTGTGACAGAATCTGTATACCTCCAAACAAAGGATCTGACTTATGTATACTTTCTCTCTTAGACTTTTCAAGTAGTTGTGAGGTTAAGAGCTGTTATCTGGTAAAAGACATATAACCAAACATAGTATTATTATTCTTCTTGTGTTACTTTCAATCTGTATCTGGAAAATCCAAATTTCTGCTTGAACATTCATTATTCAAAGTTTATACTCTGAGATATGTCAGAAGACAAGAATGCAATGATTCAGCTGCTTTGTTCTGTCTTCAAAAAAATGTCCATCTGATGACTGCCTAACTTTGTTAACCTTTAGAAGATCTATTGTTAAGAGAATCAAAATTATTTTGTATCTCTAGGGAAATACTGTGAATTATGCAAAGCAAGACATAAGATACAATCAAAATATCTAAAAGAGGTAAGGATAATTTATTCATGCCTGGCCTTTTCAATTTTAATTTCTAAAAACCTTTTAGTAACATTTCATTAAGTCCTTCTATTACAAAACTAGAATACACTGTTTCAAGAAATATTTATTTTTGCTGTTCCTTTTTGCAGTTTTAAATTTTACTAATAAAATATAAGCAGGAGAGATTTAATTGTAAAATATTATTATTGTATTTTACTAATAGTGTTTGATTTAAATTTTTGGTTGAATATATATCAAAAACTGGTTCAATCAATTGTAAAGTCTTGCCATTAAAAGAAAACATCTTTCATTCTCTTTTATTGAAACAATTGAAGATTATTTGCTATTTTGTAGATTGATGATCTTTATGATGATTTTCATATTGTTAAACTTCCACTCTTACCAAGAGAAGTACGTGGCTCAAAGTGTATAGAAGAATTCTCAAAGTTGTTAGTGGAACCGTTTCAATTTAAATAAAATTGTTTATCATTTTATTAATTTTCATTAACACAACAGCAAATTAAAACAGCGAATTAATGAAACTAGAGAGAATGCAACATCAAAGGCAATATAACTACATCAGCAATGTGATGGAAATGAAAAAAGTCAGAATAAAGGCATTTAGCAATCTATCATCAAATTGGAATAAACATAATTGATAAGCTTACAAAGTTTATGCCAGGAATCATAAGATAGTCTTTAAGATAACTAAATGGATGTTGTGGATGATAGTTTCCTTTCTACAACAAAACATCTTTGAAATTTTCTGTTTTGATTGTATTGTTAAAATGTTGTCTTATCAAAGAGGTTTTGTAACAGTTATCAGTGCATTACATTTATTTTTTCATTTATGTATGAAAATTGTATTGTTTAGAACCAAATGAAATTAGTAAAGAAGATATATCTTGTTCAAAGAGGCATTATCTGCAACCTGGTTTTTAAGTCAAAGGAAAATGTCTTTCAACTGACCAATACTTGTGTTAAAAAATTGTGTATAAGAAGCCCTTGGAAACATAGCACATCCAATATGTAAGGTGTTGCAAAATCAAAAAAATTGTTTTGGAAATATATTTAAACAAATTATGAATAACAAAAGCAAGAAACTATATTCACCTTATAACTTACCATGCAGTATCAAAGAACTAAAATTAGCATAGGTCAATAGCAAAAGGATGATAGGCATATCATCAAAAAATCTCACAAGTTGATACATGGATGTAGCTTCCTTACTTTAATTCCCATAACAAAGAATATCAGAGGTATAAGGAGTTAATTTTATTATAAAATAAAGCAGTAGCTCACCTTCAAGAACTTGTGAAAGTATTTTGAGAGGTTGAAGTCTCAACATAGGCCACACCCCTTATATCCGTATGAGGGGAAAACTGCTGTTTCTACACAAGTTATTGCCATATCTACGTTAACCAATATGCAACTGATACAGACCTGTCAACCCTCCCGGGTTCAGCCGGAAGACTTCCGGTTTTGACTGCTTTCTCCCAGTCTCCCGGTCTCCCGGTTTTTAAAATTTTTCTCCCGGTTTCAAAGATGCCTAGCAGAATGTCTAGGAAGATTCTTCACCAAATGTTCGACTGAACTGCGCATCTTATGCTTCAAAGATAGGTCCATTGTGTATTTTTCTTATTACAGAGGTATAATTAAGATATAATGGTCACATTGAATTCCACATGACAACAGTTTTTTTAGTGCTTACTGATTAACAAAAAAGCACTAAAAGTTATTATGAAGATACTTCTCATGATCACTTTTGTCATAAACTGTTTGCTGAGCACAATAAATATCAGGCATATTTATTCCCTCAACAAATTACCGTGATCTCCCTGTTTTTGACCGAATCTCCCTGTTTTTCTTTAGGAAAAATCTAAAATCTCCAGATTTTGAAAATTTAAGGTTGACAGGTTTGCTGATAGAAAAAATTAGACAAAGCATCATGTACCTATGAGGGGAATTCACAAAATATTGATGAACAAGTATTCTGTTGGCAGCTTAACATATCTGCTAGCCTAGGTGTCATTGAGACAGAACATCAAACTTGTGTAATAATAATATGGCAGACGCTGTCTGTCAGGATAGTAGAAATAACAACAGCAAATTATCTTTACAATGTTACTAATTGATGCTCAGCAAAATGTTCATGAATATTTTCTAAATTTTACTGCTACACAGTATTTTTAAGAGTTGATATCGATTAAAGCAATATTGTTATTGCTTGCAAAACAACTGACAGGTTACCTAAACAGCAGAGAAGTTAACCAAACATATTTAGATATATGGAAGAATATTCATTGTGCAAATCACAGGGTGGAGCTGGCGGTAAAGAAGGCCTTTATTGATACCGAGTTTCAAGCCATTTATGATTTTTATCAAGCAAATTTTACTCTCCTGAAGAATTCAGGATAAGTATTTGGAATAATAAAAGCGGCAGCAAGTGCGTTAAACATCCAATATTACAAACTTTCGAAAATAACAGGAACAAGATTTATTGGTCACAGATCGAGCGCCTTCAAGAAACTGCTAGATATGTGGCCAGCATTTATTGAAGGATATGAAAACATCATTGCAAGTCCATCCTACGAGGCCTCTAAAGAAAAGATCAAAAGAGTTCTCAAAAAGTCATTTAAGTTCTTGACCCTCGTCTGTACATACCTTGATCTGCTTGAAAAAATGAAAGAATGTTTGAAAATATTTTAAGGAGAGGGTCTTTTGCCCCAACAAGTTAAGCCTGCGCTGGAAGTCAGCTTGTTATAAGAATGCATCCACAATGCTGGAGGGGACGATAAACTTCTGCAAATCAACCGGAGTAGATTTCAAATTCATACTGATGGAAGGGAGTTGTTTGTCAAAGCAGAGTATATCAAAGAAGGTCACACAATCAAAGCGCCGGCTACATTTTCAAAGACTTATGCCATTTGGGTGAGAAAACCAGACAAAGAGCTGGCAAAGCAAAACGGGATGTTGGTAAAGTGTTAAAGGAGCTTCTACAAGAGAGATTCGCCTATTTCTCAGACGAGATTTTTGCATCAATGAAATTCATTGACCCTGCGTACTGAGACGATGAGAAAGATTCTGGGGTAGTGGCTCGAATTCTACAGTAGAGAGAACATTTAGTACACTACGCTTGATACTATCAGATAGGGACTGTGTTTATCACATAAACGAATGGAGATGCCATTATGCATCTATATAAACGATAAAAACTGGACTGCCCAAGAAAGATATTAAAATATACAGGGAGACCCGCCGGAAAATAAAAGCAGCAGAGGACGAGCCACCAAAGAAGAAAAAGAGAGATCAAGAGAATAACAATGAGCTGATCGCGAAATCAGATTATGATTGAAGTAATGACGAGAAGAATTTAATAATGGAAAAGTCTAGTCATGGAGGCATTTGTGGAGATGATGACTTTGTTTACAGCAATAATAACAGTAATAGCGATGAAATTTAAAACCTTATACATAACATGAAGCACAGAGTCAGGATTGCTTTGAATTTAATTGTGTATAATGCAGTTCTTATGTTCTTGTTGAGGTTTGTTAGTCGGTTTCTTGAAAGTTTGTCATGTTTACAATCAAAATTTTCTTAGTCGCGGTTGTTTCTAATTGTAACGCCTTCGAGGGTAGCTTAGAGTTAAGCTTCTTTGGAGGAGTTTCTTATTATATCTTAAAGCAACTTTCAACTGAATTGAACGCCATATCAGAAAATTCGTGAATCCAGCATGGTTTCAAATATAACTGCGCGACCTGGACACTGAACCTTCACAGTATAGGGTTTCTTTATTATTTTATCCATTCAGCCTGTTTGTTATTTTTTGAAAAACTGGGTCTTCATAGATCGAAGTAGTAAAAACCCATTCTTGTTTTTAACTTCGCTTTATTTCTAAACATTGAAAAAAAAATTTTGTCAAGGAGCTAAATGTCATCTCAGATCAACAGTGACAAAAAGTCTCAAAAAAGCTTTAGTGCCTTTTTGCCACTTTCATTACGCATCTCAGAATCTGAAAAATAAAGAAAATTTGCCGGGGAAACAACAAATTTTCGCCCTCTGCTATCCGGAATAGTTTTGAACCTGCTACGAAAACAGATGAATTTTGTGCCGTCATGGTCCCGTTTTTGAAGGGGACAGTGTAAACAGGGTCTGAAATAGCCAGATATGTAAGAGTGTGAATCGCACGCATGAAAGAAATAATGCGTCTGGTTTACCATTGTGATTTCCTTATGACGAAGACTGATATTGATAACTGTGAATTCATAACTCAAAAGAAAAAATACAGTGCAGTTATGATACAACACCTGATGAGTTCAAAGAAGTGTTATTTTGCTATATACAAATTCTTTTACTTACAAATATAATTCAAAATTGGTTAGTGTCTTTTTGAAAAATATATCTTTCAAATTTAAATGATAAAATTCAACAATGAGCAATTTATGCAAATATGGATAATGCTCCCCGTAATGCACTTAATCTCGCTTAATGTGCACAACAAAATTGGTACTGTGTAAATACTAGATGCAGCACTGCTAGGCTTATATGTGACCAGCTGTCACGGTTTGGTTAAATCATGGCATTTAATTAGCACAAAAGTCTGTTAAAATGCAATTGTACTGGATTGATTCAGAAAAAGCAAGTATGATCTGAATTTGAAGACAGTTCTGCCATCTTTTGCCAAGTACACTCAACACCAAATTTGTAAGCGTGTCAAAGAAGCTGCATATAGGTACTTAATAAGCTGACCCATCTAATTTTGTGTGTTACTTAGGTCAAGTTGAACAAGAAAACTAAAAGAGTTGGTAAGACATAAATGGATGTTTTGCACAGTTAAACGCGCTGTGCCCTCTCAGTCAACTGTTCAGGGGCTCTGAGTCGCTTGAGGGGGATAGTGATATAGTGCCTTAAATTGTACATATCCTCGACTGCCTTGTAGTGACATATAAAGCAGCCCCAGAAATGCATTTTCAACTTTTAACATCAAACTGAATCTTGACCTTTCATGATAGACTCTTTCAAATCTATAACAAACGATTTTCTTTCGACATCAAAACTTTTTGAAGCAATTTGATTTCATCTGTTTCGTTATATGTTTTGCTTGTGAGTATCTAAAAGTAAACTGTTAGGACAAACATTTGTGAGTTGTCATATGTTCACAAATTTATGAAGTGGATGCTTGTTCTGTTTTTATATATATACCATATATGGTTTTAAAGTTAGCCAGTTTCACATCCTTATTGTGGATTAATGTACCCCTTGTCGTGAAATGTATTATTGTATTTAATTAAAATTGGCAAGTTTTTTACTGTTCTGCATTACTTAACTTAGTTCTAGGAGTTGAAACTGCTTCCGCTTTCACACTTGAAGCCTTTTTATCTCTTCGCATCTCTTTCAGTTGTTGGTGGGCAGTTGCTTTTTGCTGAAAAGAAAATTTTTAATGATTTAAGACAAAGTATCCCCACATTTGCTGAGTTCTAATTCACTGTTTTCTTTATGAATTTAAATCATTAACACAAAATGTCTCATGGTTTTGTGACAAACAACTTGGTTTGAAATGCCTCTAAGGGTTCGGCTAAAACAAATACATGTAACAAACCTGTGACTCTAATAGAAGTTTTCGTTTTGTCTTTTGAATATCTTCCTCAACACGGTCCTTTTCTTTGTTTAATCTGCGTACTTCATTCTTTAAATTATTCTAAAAAGAAAATACCATGACGGGCTTAGAAAAGAAGAGTGCCAATTTCTTAGAAACAGTGAAATTGTGCACCACAAACATTTGTCAACAGCAAAATAAAGGTTTTATTTAGCATCAAACAACTAAAGTCTTGAATTAGTGAACTCACCAACTGTGATGGCCCAACAATCGTTCGCGGAGACTTCTGCTCACTTGGTTCATCTGAATCTATCATTGAAATAATATTTAGCTGAAAAAGGTTTGGCTCAAAATTTAGTTGATACGCTACTCTTTGAGACCAATTTCCTTTATCTATCATGCATCAAGCAAATTTTGACCACCTATCAAGCAAATTGCAGTTCTTTGGAAATATTTGCTCTTTTCAAAGCACTGCTTTTATTTAAAAATCCACTGTCAACCAACAAGAAGCCTCTTTAATTTACAGGGTCTCTTGTGCACTTCTCTTGTTTATCAACATTGCGTCTGATCAATTTCACAAATTTCTGTGTCAGAAAACAAAGAATGCGCAGTTGTTTTATTCTTGAAGTGCTGGCATTCTCAAATTAATTTCAAATTCCGTGCAATTTGCATAGGCATTAAGCTCTATCAAGGGACATGATTTTATGGGATGTCCGATAACAAAAAGCAGTTTCACATATCCCCATAGCTTCATCATGCAAATTGTTTTCAAACTTTGCTAATGGAAATATTTTGTTTCTCTCAGTCGAATCTGATGTGGCTGAGTTGGCAACTTTCTATTTGTTAGCATGCATTCTACAAAACAGCTCTCTTACTGACATCAGCTGCTTCGCTTGTTCATTATGTTTACCTTCCTGGTGTATATAACTGCGCATATTCTATTTTCTGACACAGAAATTCGTGAAATTGAGCAGGCGTGATGTTGATAAACAAGAGAAGACCCTGTCAATTATAGAGGCTTCTTTGTTGGATGACAGTGGGTCAAAAGATTTATAGGGATAAAAGGCAGTCAGATCACCAGCAGGTACTCGGTGTTTTGCATTTTAACATATTACAAGAAGTTGGCAAAAATGTCAGTAATTCTTAATCGAAAATTTTCAACAATAAAAGCCATTGACACTGTGAATGAATATATCTACCAGATATCCCAGCTCCTGGTCAACAGAACCCCTGAAGAAACTAATCAAATCTATTACCTTTCTGCTCCAAACTCTTCAATAGCTTCTTTTGGCTTGCAGCCAGTTCTGACTTCAAATTACCAAGCTCTTCCTCAAGGATGGCAGCTCGCTGCTTTTCTGCTTGATATTTTGATTCCCAGATGCTCATTTCTATAAACCAAATAGGTAAAAAATTTAATATCATTCAATAACCCAACATAGGTCTCTGTTATACACATAATGATTGTTTAGTCACTTGTGAGGCACTGCTTTCATAGACAAAAAAACAGGATGCAATGTTGAAAAGCCAGAAACTTATAGAAACAATATCAAATAACGATCCAACTGACAAACACGTGTATTCTCCTGCCACGAGTCTTGATACAAGAACAAAATTGGCCCGGAAAGAATGATGAATAACTAAAAAGTCGAAGCCCGGTAATAAAATCTCATAATTCGAAAATTTTCCTTTGGTAATTACCCCTCTTTAGGACCAATTGCTATATTTTGATATTTAATATTCTGATTTACCTTCAGAGTTTGAATCATAAGGCATTTGCCGTTTATTCAAATATCATACTGTCAATTTGAGATAACCAACGGCCAGCTACTTTTTAGTACGATAAGATATCTATAGGCATGTGTTTACAGTTACTGAAAGTAATTCGGAAACCCATTAAAGTCTTCAAAAAGCCACATTGTACTTATTTTCTATCCACATAACAAGACCTTGTTGTTCTTTTGCAAATATTTAGTTTGCTCTTGTTGACAGTTCAATCGAATTGCTGCATGCCAGTCGAAATACTATATTTACTTATTAGTCAACAGAATGTACTTTTCTGATGAGTCCAAAGAGCCAGCAAAGGGCAAATGGTGTTTTATTCACATGATTCTAACATAATGATTTTACAATGTCAACATCAACTCGCAAAAAATCAAACACTTTGTGTAAGATTGAATGATCAAAAAATTTCATTATACAATGAAATGTACCGTTTAAGAATGAGTACTACGAAACACTGTTCATACTCAGTTAAACATTGCCATGACAATATTTATTACGTCAAAAACAGGTACTGCAATGATGTGTGAGTTTGATAATAATAACCGTGCGTTGCCTTGAAGCTGGGTCGCAGCAAATCGCAAACGAATCATTCCTTACATAAATGACACTAAAAAATTAGCGTTTTGGGCAACAAAATTTGACTTGAAATCTACTAGTGCCTTATGCAATGTTTCAGCACATTTAAAATGAAACATGGCCAAGAAACGATAAGAAAGAAAACCTGGCTGTAAAAGCTTCTGAAAGAACGAATAAGAAATTTAAAGTGGTGTCTAGCAACACTGTGCTAGTGAAAGAATTTAAGCTCAAGTTATGCGGTGTGATGAGTGTTTATAGCATTTTGATTGTTTCATGGTTAAATGGTTAAAAATGTTACATCATTTTTTCCATATACCATTTAGTGAAAGTCTGATCATGATACTATGGACAGTATCTTCGATATGGCTGACAAAACCTGACATAAAGAAAGTTTGAAAAATGTTACAAAAGAGACTATAAAAATCTGAGAATGCAAACAGCCACCAACCTGGTCCACGCTTTGCTGTCACCTTGGCTTTTAGTTCTCGAGCATTCTTCATCAGTCCTTCCCTTTGTTTTTGTCTCTCAATCCTAAAAAATCAAACCATTATATTTGAAGAAAAAATTACTAAAATTTGTCTTAAAATTACGAAACTAAATACAAAACCAAAGTCTAAGGATAAATATAAAATCTTCACGCGATCACAGAATCTTATCATCCATGAAAAACCACTAAAACTGTTGAGAAATAACAATGCCCTCAACTATCAGCTTTAAAATATAACGAAAATAGCAAAATATACAAGAATAGATAAAGAAAAAACATAATAGGGGAATACTTCACAAGACGGGGAGAGCTCGTGCTCTTTATCGTTACATGTTTCCTTAGAGTATTCAGGCTAATTGAATAAATCACTAAACTCAGTAACTGAAATTGAACTTTTTCAGTATTGGGTAAGTGTTGTGAACTTTCCCAGTAACTTGATCGTTGTCTTTGCGCGGCCTTTTCTTGTTCACTTGCTAGGTCAAAATACTTTCTTTTATGCACATCGAATTTAGGAGAGGGGTTGCACCCCTGACCACACTACTGACTACATTCATAATTTTAATCATTCCCTACGCTATTTCCTTTATCGAACTCACCTTGCTTCCCGAATCTTGATGAGCTGATCTCGAAGTTGAGCAGCTGAAATATCATAAATTAAGTTAACATACATTAGGGTTACCTTTGTTTGGCTGCAAATCAATGAACACACTCGCAATAAAGTTGGATATAGCTTATCGATCAAATCCAAAATAACATCAGAAACTCTACTAATAACTTCATCAAAGAATGATAACTTATATCTAATTGCATTGTGAATGTGCACACACTTGGCTTGTCTGGCAAACAATATGAAGAAAATCACAATATAATTTTATCTGGCATTATCAAGCTCTTTTCTGCGGACATTTCAACAGGAGATAACTAACAGCAGGAAAAAGTAACTGATTTGACACCTTCGTTTTTCTTGCGTTCTGCTCTCTCTTTTTCTTCTTTTTTCCGCCTCTCCTCTTCTTCCTTTCTTTTCTCTTCTTCTTCCTTCTTTCTTTGCAACAGCTCTTCCATGTCTTTCATCATTTGCATCGCATCATTGTCTATATTCTTTTTCATCTCCTCCATTCTCCGTTTTTCGTCTCCTATCCTCTTCTTTTCCTCCTCTATTCTTCTTAAATCTTCTGGGTTTGGGGTCCTAGCAGGCTGCTGACTCTTATCTTCAGGGATTTCTGATTGAGGATCTCTGTTTTGAAAAAAGTTCAATTATTCTGTTATGAAAGCAATAATTCAAATAAGATATGCTTTTACAGAAACACGAGAGACAGCTTGACGTCTCTGTAAACTTGCAAACAAACTTTTATAAGTCGTTCACTTGACAATGAATAGCAATCTAAACACTCTTCAAGCAAAAATTTTCAAGCCATTTATTGGTTAACTGAATAATGTTGAATACTTTGTTTACCAAGTATTTATTAACCAGAGAAAAACTTCAATTTTTCGAAAGGTTTTTGACTCAGTTTCGACTGCTTGTCGATTCTTCAGGCATATATTAAATACGTACTTACCATAGAGACTGTATTTGAAAGAAAATAAAGAGTCCAGGCAACTCAAAAATTAATTACTCATGTTCCCTTAGAAGCACTTGTATTGAACAAAAAACATGGTCAAATTTGCTTCTAAAAATAGCCAATACTTCAAGCTTCCTTCTTTCCAACCTTTTTTTCCGCCATTGCAGTATCTAAACCAATGAAGGTGATTCTTTACTATTTAAAAGCAATGAGATCATTGTCCTTTCACCGCAACAAAAAACAATGAAGCCTCTAAAAGAAACATTCATTAATTCTAGAAAAACTTCCTTAGCTGATCATACCCATCATTTTCTAAGCTCGAATGTCGAAACAAAACAAGATTTACTTTAAGGCATTAGTGCATTCAAAAGATGCAGCTTTCTTAGCGTCTAGATCAAATAACAAAAACTTTGCTACTTACTCATTTTCATTTTCAATCACATCATTTTCCTGACTTTCAGGCCCCTCCTCAACCTCGATTGCAGGTTTATCCGGTTTCACAAACTTCTGTTCACTCGCCCTTCCATAATTATCCATGGTCAAGGTACTGTGAATGACATTTGCAGAGGGTATCGGTGATGGCCTGTTGAGTCCTAAAGGCGAAGTTTGGTTGTTTACTATCTCCGGGTGCAAAACTTGGATGGCCGGACCTCCACGTGGAAAAGTCTCACTACGTTGCCTCTTTTGTGCTTCATCTTTCTCAGCAGATAAAGAATATGCATCTTTCTCTTTTTTACCATTTCCGCCGGACATTTCACCTTCACTCAATGTTGTTCTAGGACTCACGTCAAACCTATCTGACCTCGAATTTTCGCCATTCGTATTTTCCTTTCTTTGTTTAGACACCTGTGGGCTTGTTTTATGTTGGGATTCATCGCGGTTCTCGTTGTTTCTCATATCCTTCGAGTACCCCTTCTTTCCCGGGTCTTCTAATCCATTAAGGCGATCAATTTTCATATCTTCCTCACTTGAGCCTACCCTGTTCACAGAACCTTCTTTATCATCCGAGGTACTACTATCATTGTTATTAGTCTCATACGATGGGCTTTGGTAACGCCCATTAGAACCTTCTGTCTCCTTCCCGTACCTATTGTTATTCTGATGATCCTTTCTGTAGTTACTTTTTCCAGGAACTTTTTGCTTTGCTTTGATAACGTCAATCAAATGACGACGATTTCTTTTTAACTGCGCACCCTCGGGAAGCATCTCCGATGGATCTCTCGTACCATCAGATGTGCCCTCTTGGGAAGTTTGATTATCGTAAGGAGGTGATGCGTGATCACTGACAGGACGCTGCGTGGGAGCATCTTCGCGTGAATCGTGTCTATTCGAATTTATGTAACCGTCTTCGCTATATTGCTCAGAACGAGGGTAGCTATCTGATGTTTCTTTTCTAAAGTAATCATTGCTTCCAAGGCGATATTCATCTGTAACAAATTGAAGTTGACACTTTAGGACAGTAAGGTGACAAGGTAACATAAAGAATATTTGGTAGCAAGAATGCTTATATATACTTGCACACGCCTAATTGTACCACTGAATTTTCACAGTTTCGAGTTATTTCAGATATAAAAATGAAGACATTTAAGTAATAAAAAATTCTGCATGCTGATCCAGAAGTAGCTGAAAATGTAAGGTCAATACTTGAATAAACACCAAATGACGTCATTTTCACTACGAAAATCGCGTTTCATTTCTAATGTGACGATCTGTTTTGAAAGAGTCTCCCAAAGGAAAAGCTTGTACTTAAATGCAATTAGAATTAGCGAGATACAAGATCACCATACTCCAATTAAAACGTCAACATACCCTCAAGGGCGATGTCTCCATTGACAACGATGCTTTTAGTCTGTTTTCTCAATGACGCAATCCACTCGTGGGTGCCAGGCAAAATAAATATTTCTGGGGAAAATGCCTGGGATGTAGAGGACAAAATTTTTTAAGAAATCGCTCGTTTAATTTCTGTTACAACGCTGAAACTGATGTTAAAAAAAATTGCCTAAAAACACAACTGGGCCTTCGCTTGAAAAGTTATACCTATTATAACATAAAAAAAGTTCTTTATTTTATCTTGCTATTCATAGCATATTCTAAAGCTCTTTTAGTGACGTCGAGATCGGAAAAAACGGAGGGGGTGTAGTGTTCAACATATTTTGATATGGTCAACCATTGAGATCAATGACTGAAATATTCATAAGCGTGGGGTTCTTACTAGAGTGGGTTGTCAAGGACTCTCAACGACAGGAATGGACTACGTAGATTAATTAATATCAGATTCAATTTTTGAAATATTTTGCGGAGGTGTGAAGCCTGGTTTTATATTGAATTAAGAAAACGCAATTAGTTTAGATGGTGTGATAAGAAATTTGTAACAAGAAAAAGGGAGCATGCCAAGAGTTCAATACAAGCTTGGAACAACATTGAGAAAAACTGCACATTCAGAAATTTAAAACCCGATATACCTCTGAAAAATATTATAACTTTTATTAAAACGCCACCATCTCATTTTTCATCGCAAAATTGTATCTACCGTTTTCTCCTAAAACTTTTTAAATTGCTTGAATATTTCTGCTTTCTATATAATCGTGAATAACCACAAGCGATCTATGTCTAAATATGTGCTAGAATCAGTCTTTAGAGTCTGTCTCGAATAAAGGCCCTCAGGTGCTCGCATATTTGTCGACAGTGTATTTACTGTTGTTACTTTTCAGGTCTTTTGTTCGTTTTTACCCAACGAAACCAGAAGTTAATCTGCAGACTGTTTTTAATCAATGTTTTGGTGAAAGATGAGATTCTAATTGACCAGGTCATAGTGTTTTGTGTAAGTGAGGTCATCCAATTTTTTGCATTTTCTTATTAAATTTTGTCAAGAATGACCAGAGTTAAAACTAGAAGGGGGTATACCATTGAATTAGCCTTATTGTTTACTCCTAAACAAAAACCAGGGATGTAGGGTGATACCCCGATTATTGCAAAAACTACTTAAAACCATACAAAGAACATATTGCTTTTGGATTTTAGCATGTTGATACCCCACCTCTTCCCCAAAAAATCTTTCAGCTCAAACCCTCACTTTCCCACCCCTAAAATATTTTAATGTTCCCTGTAAAAGAACTCTGTTTCGTGTATATTGTCCAATCTCACAGTATAGATTATCATAATCTGTGCTTTGAATTTCGGAAAGTTTCAAAGTCTATGTGAAAAAGAACACTACAATGTTTAAACATTATTCCCAAGACATAATAACTAAGTTGAATTATTCTTGATGACATCTTTAGGAAGCAGATTATAAAACAGGCTATCCTCTATGGTAGGGATTTCAGTCACAGCTTGATGTCATCAGAAAATTCATAGAATGTCGGCTCCATGGTCAATATCTCAAATACATGCATTTTTATGAAAATCCAGTAATTATGATATTCAAAATCTACATGAATTGTAAAATTTTGGGTCAGAATCAATGACACACACATTAACCATATGGTTTTGTTGATATAATGACAGGCTTGTAGAAACTAAGCTGGTTCTTTTCAGAATGACAAATAGGATTAAAAAAATGAAATGAAGGCATACCACAGGAGGAAGAAAATGTTTTGCTTTTAATGTCTTTTCTTGATTTTGATTGACCTGTGAAAAGACTTTTTCAGGAAAGAAGACCACAGAATTCAATTTACTAAAATGCTAAGCACAAAAAAGGTATTTAAAGGAAAGAAAGAACAATTTTTAATGAAGTTTAAGACAAAAATGGCAATTTGAGGAACTTCAAATAAGTATTTGAAAAAAGCCTAAGTTTCAAAGCAGACAACAATGTCTTCATATTATTTATAAAAAAAACTCTCTAACTCTCACATAAAAGTCCAAAACTTGAAATAAGATAACACATTAAAATTATAGAATGTAGAACAAAAATTTCTTACATATTAAATTTGTTTGGCTAGGTGTATTCTGAGTTTGTTTTATATAATACTTGCACACTTATTTGATAAGGAAAGCAGCCTGACCATGCAAACATGGAACAAATAAAAAGGAAACAAGAAGAAACTACTCACAATAGCAAGGCATCTTCCAACACTTCTTAAGAACACATAATGATCAGGGATTACATCAGTTTCAAGCTGCTCTTCAATCAGTTCTCGAACGATTTGTAAAGTGGCATGGGGGTAAACTCTAAAAAAAATTCAGCAATTGAAGGCATTGAGTTATAATACAAGGAGAGGGCATACTGAAGTATGCTGCACCATGGTGTTCATGCTGCAATGATTTTGGTGGGCTGACACTGGTCAAATGAACTCACACATTGATTTACAAAAGAGCAACTGTCAATAGAAATCACATCAAACTAAACTAAAGTTATCAAATAAAAAGCAAATGACCATCTATAGTGAAGGCCCCTCTACCATGACTAAATGTCTTTTTGTAAGTGATTTGGGCCAAACGGAATGTGCTGTGAATGATACCAACTATTAATAACAGGCCCGTCAGAACTGGGGGGTGGGAGGGGGGGCTGGAGTATGTTTCCCCCCAATAATTGTCAAACTGTAGTATGTTTCCTTTATAACAGTGTACTGAATAAGGAGGAAAACAATGGGCAGCCCCCCCCCCCAATATGAAATTCGTTCCGACAGCACTGAATAAACTTTTAAGAAAACATAAATAACATACGACATATAACAAGAATCTAAGGTGATCCATTGGGTTGACAACAACCATGTTTGGCTTCAACCCAACAATGTAGCTATAGATGTCTGCTAGGGTGGGCAAACTTGAGCACAGTGACAGACACTTGGGGGGCGAAGGGGGGGGGCACCCACCCCCAATACTTTAGACAACAATGGTATTTTGTTCTAAAACAATGGGAAATGTGAAGTCATCTTATTAAAACAATAGGCTTGCCTCCCCAATATTTGACCAAATGTCTGCCCCTGCTTGAGCAGGAACCATACCTGAGGGGGGCAAGCTTTAAAACAAGGAACCAGATATATAACAAACAGATATATTTGGACTAATTCAAGCTCACAGAGTTATAATTATGCCAACTTTTCAAAATATCATTTGGAAAAGCTGTAGCTAGAGGGGGCAAATTGTTGTCAAAATTTTCATTCAAGGGGGCACAGCCCCATGGGGGCATCTACCTACAGGTAAGAGTTACAAATTAAAATTGGAAAAGAGATACAGACCTAATGAATCCACCAGATGTTGACTGCAATGCAACATTGTTGTATGCAACACTGTATTTTCCTAGCCAGGATTCAATTGGAACAACAAATACATGAAGATCAATCAGCTAGAAAAGAAAAAATGTTCACCATGATTGATGACTCTGATTTACCAGAATAGAGAGAGTATAGTATACTTTTAAAAATCAAAAAACCCCCAAGGGTGGCTGGTCATTATTTGATATTTTAGCAAAGAGACAGACATACCTTTGTAATAATGGTTACATGTTATAGGCTTGAGGGTAGCTCAAACGAATTCCATTTGGTAGAACAGAATCTTAATTCAGCAAAATGACAAAATCAAACTCTTAGAAAATAATATGGCATAAAGTAATCAAGAAACAAGAATGCCTTTATATTGGAGGGTATGTCACTTATTTTTCACTAATTAGCCTTCACTTCGTTGGAAATCTTCACCGCATTCTACAGGCAACATAAATTATTTATTGAAATCAATATTCATTGAACCGTTTTCCTTTACAAATCAAAATGTCTATAAAATCTAATTTGAAAACTCTTTGTGCTGAGACTATTCAAATGCAAAAGGAACATAAAAAATTCAGCACCCTGCTGCCAACATTCAGCCCCAACAAAAGGTTGTAGAACGACAGGTTAACTTCACACACTTTGACCAAGTGAGATTTCGGTGATTTTTAATTCGCAGGTTAATCCCATTAATAAGAGCAATGTCGATATGTAACCACTGAGTTATCTTGCTTAAAACTGGCCAAATAACTAGCAGTTTTTTCTTTCATTTCTTGATTGCGGTATTCGAACTAACGCGCCCTATTCATGTGTACGCCTCAGTTATGATTCAATATCGAATGGTTTGATAAAGTTGAAGCGAAACCAAGCGTAAACTGGATTTTTGATGACAGCAGATAAAATGTACTGCTAATTGGATTACCAAGAACAGACAGAGATAGATCATTTGATCTATCTACAAACCCATTTGATATTAATGAAACTTTACCAACGGCAAATTGTACTTTCTGCCCAGGAAGAAGTTTTACTTAAAAGTTTATGTTCTAAATAAATTTATAATACCGTAAACTTACATCTTCTGAAGGAGGCCTTTTAACCATAATATTAGACATATCCGAGACTTATTCTTCATATTCTGAAAATTGTAAACATTTCGGAAAACCTTCACCAAACGGCGATTCAAATCAAAACAGCGTGTAATGGTATTCCACGTAAATTGGTCTTATCGTCGCCATGGTCATTTAATCTTTTTGTTGCGGTTGTTGTTTGTTGCTGTTACTCTTTGTTCCACTGTTTCACCTAGCAACCAGCTAAAAGTTTCGAATTGTGTTTTCAAAACTTCAAACATCTTCATTTAAAACAGCGCAGACACAAAACTAATAAATTATTTAGCGCACATCAGGAGTCAAATGAACAGCTGCTCTTAACAGTAGGAATCAAGATTTATGCATGGCAAAATCAGGACCATTGGTTCTGGTGGGCCGGGAAGCTGCGATCATAACATCCCTCCCCCCTCCCCCGCATATCCTTTGTCCAGTCAGAATTGAGTTTTTAAGAGTATTTCTAAATGAAAATTTAAATTCAGCAATCAGCCGATTTTTTGTATTTTTTAAAACTTGGGTCTTTAAAGCTTGAGCACCAAAGCCAAAATGATGAAAATTGCAAATAAAAAAATTAAACATAGATTTTTATCTCACAACAGCTTTCAAAATGCTGTATGCTTTTACATGAGGGGCAATTCACTCTTGCAAATATTGTGCAAGATTTCCAAGAAAACGAAATGATTTTCAGGGAGCTTTTGATGAACAATAGTATTTCTGCCCAGAGGTAAATATAATTAAATTAAATTATTTGCCCCTCACTTTGACAGCTGAATACACAGCCATGCCCATCCTTCTCATTACAATGTGGTTATAACCATGTCTGACTGCATTCTCAAAGCAGCACAGTATTATAGAGGCTGGTCCAAAGGAAGAAGTAGACCCAATGCATTTCAGAGGGGGGGGGGGTGTCAGGACGCACAGATCCGGGGTATTTTGCACAGGATTTTTGCATTTCTGTTCCATACAGGCAATTAAAGCAATGGAATGCAATTTGAATGTGGAGCAAGTAGTGGATTTGCAGAAAATGAGGTAAAAATTAGTGGATTTGCCATTTATCTATAATGACTGATGATCAAACTGTTTCTGCTTTATACCTCCTTCAGGCACTGTGGAGCATTGAGAAAAGTGGGGAGTCTAAAAAATTTGGGGGCTCAAATTGAAAGTAAATGGTTTGACTGGTGATTCATTGGTAATCTTTTTTCATCTTTTGCAAAAACTATAGCCCCCTAGCCCCCCTTCTTAGTGGTGCCTTCTCCTTTCCACATTCTTAAAGCTTGAGGTACAGCACCTGTATTCTACACTTTGTGCTTTTTTTGTTTTCCAGGAATCTAAAGAATACTTTTCATAGATAATTTAAAATGCTCTTGTCTATTTTATTGTTACACTAAACCTTGTTCTTTCTTTATTGATAAAGAAAACATATGAAATTGAATTCCAACTACCATATCTAATTTGTCATGTCATATTGAATGAAAAGTTGAAAATGTATACTCTTTTAAAACAATGCAATATGAATTACATATTATCTTTTTCAAGGACAGTAATTTTTTATTCTTTTCAATGAATTAACTAACTAAGAGGGGATGGAAATAACATAAATTTGAAGGATGCCTGAAATGAATTAGTTAATTATTTTCTTGCTACAAAAAAATCTTGTGAAAAGATGCCATTTTTGCACAAGAAATGGAAAACACTTTATATAAAGTTCAGTTTTGTAATATTCATAAATGTTATGAAATCCTGAGACAAATGTTATAGTTTTTTACCTCCCATGAGATATTTCAAGATTCAACACAAGCTTTCAATCTAATCTAATCTAAATGTTATCGTACAGTCCCCATAATGGGTATTGCGTACTAGAGGTTAATAGGTTAGTTCCAGTGTTCATCCAGGGATGAAGCCGTGCATGCTGGCCATAACTCTGGCAAGGAGCTGTTCCCTATACCAGCCAACTAGTCAGAGACAGAGCCTGTTTTTTGGGGACTGCTGAATCTTTTTAATCACAAATATTCAATGTTTTGGCATAAAGGCATTTATCTAGACAAGATTACCGTGTTGAAAAAAAAAATTCCACGTAAGCCTATTAAAGGATATTTTCGTTCAAGATACACCAAAAAGTCAATTAAAGAACAAAAACTTTCTAACTATGTTTTTAACCATATCAAGAATATTCTGTTTCTTTCATGTTACACTTAAGACACGTATAAAAAATTGTTTGTCCTTCATCTGTTGATCGTGTTTGTCGTGTAATGAATGTCATTTTTTCGTATCCACAATGAGCGCATTTTCTCTTTGTAACAGGCCCACTTTGCTCGATTTCTTTTTCAAAATTCTTCAATTTGACACTTTCGGCTAAGCTGATTTTCTCCTCGTTATACGTCTTACAGGAGTATATCTCAACTGATTCGAAATTCGACAACATATGTTTATGCTTACATATCCTGCATTCTAAATAATCTTCCTGACCTGGAAGAGGCAAGATGCTTCCGCACTGTGGGCAAAAATTAGGATCAGCAACAAAGTCATGTATAACATGTGCCTTCTTCTCGGAAGCCATGTTTAGGATACACCATTCCGAGGCTGGAAATTAGCGAACTCGAACCATACTCTATGACTCGAACAAAGACACAGGTTTTGTATTTCGTCTAAATTCGACGAGAAAATATTGGTTGAGGGGTGATATTTTGGCAAAGTTTTTTTGGGACGTGGCTCTATTATTTTGAAACTGCCTTTATGTAACCAAATGTTAGTAGTCATTGATGTTGGCAATGCCGTACTAGAGGGCTGCTTAAAAAAGAATTCATCCAGCAAAATAGTTGAGCACCTGTGAAATTGGCTGAGTTCCCGAAATCTCTCTGAAATTTAACAAGGGGCCCCATCCAAGGCAACCCCTGTGATGTTATGGTCAAACCATGTAAACAAAAAAGAATCAACGTACACCATTTGTGTGAATGAAGAAAAGGCCACTGTAGCAGGCTGCTCGACGGGCTCCAAGGAATTCTTGCGGCGAAAAATCGATAAAAATGTAGCAAATATGAAACACCGCAATACGCCGAGAATAAACAACAATAAAAACACGTAAATCAGTAAAGGCTAGTATTTCGCCCCGGCATACGGGGCTTCATCAGAGCTTCATCAACACCCATTTGCTATCAACAAAAATATTCACAGGATTGGATTGGTATTTGATTTCTTGATTTTGCTGTTGATGTTAGTACAAGAAGTTTCTCCTAATGTTTCTTTCATAACAAAGTGATAAAGAACTACATTTTAATTGGATGTAAAAATAACATGCAAACACACAAGGTAACGATAAATCTTCCAATCACTACAAGTGGGGTATCTGATTTTTTAAGGTAATATCGTATGAAAGCCAAGGTCTCAAAGGAACAGTCATGGAAGCCTGCACTTGAAGAGGGCAACGGGGGCAAAGCGCCAAGAAAAAGGTCAAAACAGTAGTAAGACGAAGAAAAATGCTCGGTTTCGCGAGGGCAACTGCCCCCGCTGCCCCCACTGCCCTGTGTCACAGGCGTCTTTGAGAACAGCCGAGTGCTTGAAATATTCTTAAAAAAATCCTATCATTCTTGTTTGCAGGTCTTCAAATTTCTCTTGGTAGCATGAATAAATGCAATGACTAAACAAATACAGCTGACTTTCTTTAAACATTTCTTTAGGTGCTTTTCATCGCAAAAGCTCAAACTTGTAAAACTTCCTTTCTGATTAATACTATGTTTGTCCAAGAGCTTGGCAAAAACAGTCACATGCTTCAACATACTTCCAAAGCTTGTTTAATTCTACTGTATAAGCTCATTTTGCTGAACTTTGAGGCTGTCCTATCTTCCTACGGGACTTATACTCTCCCCGTCTGTTTTTTTTCTGGCCTTGCTTTTGATATCTTGGTGCCTTTTTCGAAAATTTGACCAAACCACTTTGATCCAGCGTAAGATTCAACATCCAACGACCCTTTGCTTATACATAACAAGAGTAGAGAAGACAACGTAAAAGGGATTGCCGTCAGAAGCGGGAAGGGCCTTAATATGTCTAAGCAGGCCCGTCGTTAGAAATATCTGTCAAACTGTAGTATGTTTCCTTTATAACAGTGTACTGAATGAGAAGGAAAACAATGGGCAGCACCCCCCCCCCCCCCCCCCCAATATGAATTTCGTTCCGACGGCACTGCTAAGTAGCATTCTATCGTAACAACCATTGAATATAGATCTCTATTCTTGTGTCGTAACCAAGATATTAGCGATAATTAATGTATACCTAGCTTTTCTCCTAGCCCCTTTTGAGCTCCCAATAAGAATTTCATTCCAACTAAGAGCTGGGTTGGATGAGCTCCCTTGCAAATGCTAAACATTGGCCCATCCCTACTTTTGCTATCGTTTCTTGAGAAAGTTTTCGCGATTGCCCGCCTCGTATTTTTCATAGCAACATAGCAACATAGCAAGTGCAATTATAAAATGACATTCAGAATTTTTACCTTTCAGGGGATTTTTAATGGCACCAAGAGACTACTTTTAATAAAGATCAGGAACACTTATTTTTTAGCAAAAATTTTTTTCTGATTATATCATGCCCCGGGTCTTCTTAAATTTAATAAACTAACGATAGATTAGTAACGTGGATGCAGTGGCGGAAATTCGCTGCTCTATATTACGGCGCTCCGCACCACGGCTGTTGGAAATTCGGGCTTTCCTTTGGGGGAGGGGTTAAGCCTGATTTACACGAGACGAATTTTTTCGTGCGAAGCGAATTTTTCGCCGCGAATGCGCGAAAAATATGCGCAGAAGTGGAGATTAGAAAATTCGCAGCGAATTCGCAGCGAATAATTCGCTGCGAAAAAGTAGAAACCATTCCTACTTTTTCGCTGCGAATTTTTTCGCCATGTAAAATAAACCAATCAGAACAGCAATTGAAGACATCTGACACGAACCCAAGGAAGGGCTAGGCAATGGTGCTACGCAATGTAAACATATCTAAATCAAAAGTATGCAAAACGACAGAAAACTACGCAATGGTTCAAACAACAACATGGGTGAAGAATGAGTAACCTATGACTAGGCCTAAACAATGCTGGGAAAATCCCGCACCTATAACATAAACAATGGAATGGGACGTTTCTAGCAACAGGCGTCTTTGGTGCAATAAACGATAAAAGCTCCTCATATGTAGTTGGCGACATTCGAAAGTAATTATTCCTGACAATGTAAGCGTAAGTCACTTACCAAAAGATGAAACTCCCCCTTCTGCAGACGTTCTGAATAAATTTTCCGAACCAAGTACCCATTTATTTGCTTTTTTGCTCGCTTTTTTTCAATAACAACAATCTTCGAACAGACGCCATTTTCTTTGGCATTATTCGCGGCGAATTCGCAAAAGAAATTCTGCCAGTGGAAATTAAACTTCGAATTCGCAGCGAATTCGCAGGAGAAAAATTCGTGGCGAAAAATTCGCTTCGCACGAAAAAATTCGTCTCGTGTAAATCAGGCTTTACTCAGGACCACGATTTTCTGACAAGATAACATCTTGAATGGGCTTTCGGCACTCTGTCATGCCATTCATTGGTTTAGAAAAACAATTTGCTCTGATGAAGCCCCGTATGCCGGGGCGAAATATTAGCCTTCGCTGATTTACGTATATTTGTTGCTGTTCTTTCTCGTCGCATTGCGGTTTTCTTATTTGCTACATGTTTAAGGGTTCTTGCCACGCTCTGATTGGCTCGCTCTGATCGGGTTTTTAAATTCCTAAGTAGTTACTGTTTGTAAATATTTGTCAGAAAATGTTGCGGGTACTGTAGAGCATTGATCCTTGGTACTACTGATTCGACTCTCTTGCTGTAAGACATTAATTAACCATTTCAAACATAAAATTTTAAAGTGAACTTGCAGGCCCTGCCTCGACAATAGCACAACTTTTTGATGAAGGTTCATGACGACATAGCTTTTCTCAATTCCTGACAATGTGTAGTGTTTCCAAAGTAGTAATGGTTTCAATAAGAAAGATTCGCGAAATAATTAGCTTTATAAACCAGCTGAAATCTATTTTGCACTAAAATTCAAATCCTATATGTTCATTGATGAAATAACTCGAGATGCCCCTTCTCCAGCCCCTCCTTCTCCGATCCCCTCCTTCTCCGATCCCCTCCTTCTCCGATCCCCTCCTTCCCACCACTCATCCCTAACCAAATGATTGGAGCCACACCCCTTGATCCCCTTGATCCCCCTCTTTCTCAAACACGACAGCAGTCGAGATGAAAAACAACATTTTCAATGCTCATGATATATATGTTTCTGCATAAAAAATTAACAAAACTTATTGAAGATACTTCAACATTCAGAGTCGTGTAAAACATGAATATGAAATTTAACAGAAAGAATTATTAAAAATTTTAAGGATATTAATCACGAGCTACTGGCAACATTTGCTCTTTTACTTTTTTTCATCTTTTTGAAAAATGAAAGTTTGATATAAATTGATCGTCAGACAACAGGACAAGAAAAGATGATTTTCTTAATGTCTACAAGTAGCTCAGATTGATAGCTTTAAAATTATTTTTAACAAGTAAACATAAGTTCAAATGTTTTTTTAATCGTTTTGAAGTTCATAGTATCTTCTTGGGAGTTCATCGTTTTTGAAGTGTGATTGAAATCAATTTCTTGTTAAATTGTGGTAGACACTAAAAGAAAGAAAGAAATTAATTAGCAAATGACACTTTTAGAGCTGCAAATATGCAATTGATTAAAATTATAAATTGGAGGATTCTTCAGACAAAATATTAGCAACAGTGGCGGAAATTGCGGGGGTGTTGGGGACAAGTGCCTCCAGATTTTGCTGAATTGACGGTTAAGAAACGCTTTTGTCCGTAAGTTATGTCATATGTCGGCAAATTTGCTTGTTTTGTGGGCATTGCCCCAACCTGAAAAATGAGTTTCCGCCATTTTTCGTAATATGAACTTGGCACATGTTTTTTAAAGGATTGTCGCCTGAAATATTGTAATTAAGGGTGAACTTAAGACTCTGGCAACTAAAAATTCCATGCGAATTTTTAAATGAATACGAAAGAAAATATCAAAGTGAAAATATAAATTTATAATGGAAGTTAGTTTGTATTTCTACAAGCAACTTACAGTTTAGCAGGCAGCGAGATCAGTGGTCTTGCACTTGGGGTAGTAGTTCAAGCGACAGCACTGCACGCCAGAGTTTCCTGTGTTCAACTTGTCCAACAAAGCATCTACAACTGCGGTAACCATGATTTTGCTTTCGGTAGGTCTGAACTCGTTCCTAAACATGCCACCATCACTTACGCGCACTAACTTGGTGAATTCGCTCCTTGGCATTTTGTAGTCTTCAATTGGCACGGCTAGGTAGTCTGGGCTCAAGTAAACACGTGTTTCAGTCTGACCAATGACACGGCTCTTTCCGTATGGCATGAACTTGAAGTCGTCAAATACGATCAATGTTGCGTTTGCTCGTCCTTTCAAATCAGTCACAGTTTCGTCCAAAGTGGGTCCAAAGAATGATGGCTTGAACTCATCAAAGTTGAAGAGAACGAAGATCTTTCTTGCTCCTGGTCTGAAATGAAGCTTAGATGCGAGAGAAATCGCTTCATAAGCATCATTGTTGTCAGTTGATTTTCCGTTGTATTTCATCTCCTTGATTACACTAGATACCAAACCAGCATCAGAGAAGACATTGCCTCCGATGGTATGTACATGGGCCTCTTCCATCATACCGTTGCCTCCAAATCCGACTAATGCGTACCTTGTGTTGAATCCTCTCTTTGCCAATCGTCTGTTGATGCTAAATAGTGAATAAGCCAATGTTCTTCTCAGCTTGTGGGACTTGGCGCGTTTTGACATAAGGACAACAACATCAACATCTTTGCTCACAGGCTCAATCCATTTGTCTCCTAGCTTAGCGAATTCTCCATTTGCTCTTTTGTAGACCACTGAAAAAGATTGAAAACAATTTTCATTAATGATTATATTTCACTTGTACATTTATCAATTTAAAAGCATAGCTTCTTTATTCAAGCTAGTAGTTCGGGACATAAAATCGATGCTTCTAGCTAAAATCTTAGCAAATAAATTATGTTCAGTTTGTCTTTATTATAAACTTTGCGCTGATCGTTGAAAAATAAGCTGTTCTTGCATTTGTAAACAGAGAGTAGTTGCATTAGCTAGTTGTTGAAGCTACTTACTGCATTCATCAATTTGTGGAGTGTAGTGTCCTTTGATCCTCAAGGCACGAATGTAAGCTTTGGTTACATTGCAATGGGCAATGATATTATCCTGCTTTGATTCACAATCGGCAGTGTCAACAAGACAAGCCCTCAAGAATGGAAGTGGGTCGACAGCGCTGAATAGAGATGAGAAACGTGATTCCTTATTCTTAAACAGAGCAAAGCATTTCTCAGATGGAGCCTTGTTGCACATTGGTGCCTCGTTGTTCTCTTCCTTGATCATGCAACCTCTTTCGCGGGTAACGAGCCATGAGTTTACGAATTCTGATACAGAATCGGTGATTGTGTTATCGGGGAGTCTGAAGTCATCGTAAACCTCGTTGTTGTTTGTTCCAAGGAGACCTGAAGGTAAATTATACATGATTCATAATACTGGAAAACATATTTATTGTCTCAGCAATAGATTTTAACAGATATCAATTTGAGATTGGCATAGTATGACATGATATGTCTAAAAGGGGCCCTTTCCAGATAAGTTTCTATGCATTGCAATTACTAGAGGAGTGAATATTTCAAGTAAAAATGACCCCTTATCAAGTGACCCCTTATCAGATATTCAGAAGAGCTTTTGTCGAAAAGCCTAGCGCAACTGGCAATCTCCAATCAGATAAATGTAGTCAGCATACACTAACATACCTTGGGTGCTTCCGTAATGCCATGAAGACAATTTGATGGTGCACAAGAAATGCTTCTTGTCGCATTTAACAGAAACTCCCTGTTTGAATTCACAGTAGACTCCTTCTCTCTTCGCCTTGCACATACCAGATTCAGTCTCAACTGGGAGGTCTCTAACTTCCTTCTTGCCGTTCTTAGATACCTTGACTGCTGATGTCACACGTCCGTTTTGGTGGATGATAACTTCCATGTCAGGTGTCTGGATGATGAGGTTTTCTTTCTGGCTCAAGATGGTGAAGTTGCCGTTCTTGAAGTCACGTGCTAGCAAGTATGTGCAGCTGCTCTTTGGGAAACTTGGTACGTCATAGAATTTGCCATCGAATGTCATAACATGGTTCTTGCCAAAGATCATTGCAACACCTGTGAGAAAAAAATCTCAATTAACCAACCATTTTATAGAAGTGCTTAGCAAAACGAATACTTTAACTGTAATATTGACCCTCTCAAGGGCAACAAGATCCCTTTACAGGAACATGTATTATCTAAATCCTAATCAATGATAATTAAAGTTTCACCTAATATCTTACAGTTCACAGCGTCATATGAAATACAGTGATATCTGCAATGGCGAAGTCAATACAAACAAAATTCAAAGGCTAAAAAACCGAAACTTACTTTCAAATGGAGAAATTGGCTGCTTTTTCCACTGTTTTCGGAGCATCAACTTTCCCTTTCTCATTGCTCTATCGAGTCTAACTTTGCCAATTTTAAACAATCTGTATAATCTTTTTGCGTACTTTCCAAGGATAGTTTTGTGTGATTTCAAATATTCCTTCACAACTCTGACATCTTCCTGTTCAATTGCAGCCAAGGTTGTGGCTTTGATTTCCTCAAATCTTTGCTGGAGCATGTCTGAAGCAGATTTGTATGCTTTTCTCAGTTGGACCTCGACTACTCTGAAGGCTTTTCTGAATTCAGCTCCGTTTCTCCATTCCTTGATGGCAGTGTTCACGATAAGATAGTATGGTTCAGTCTTGTATACAAGCTTCTGGTACTGAAGAGTAATGTCACGGTATGAAGCTTTTGCGTATGCCTTTGCTGCTTCGTAAACTGGCTTCATTTCGGATTTGATGGCCTCGACTGCAGTCTTTGCGTATTTCTCGGCTTTGTTGTAAGCATCACCAAGTCCATTAGAGTAGGTGACATCAACGACAGCCTCTTTTGTGAAGTCAATAACAGCAGAGGAAACCTCTTTGCCTTTGTTCATAGCAATCTTTGTGTACTTCTCAACGGATTTTTTGGCATCCTGCAATTTTTCTCTCAGGGTCTCATTCAGCTTGCTTCTGATCATCATTGACCTGTCCCATATTCTTGAAGAAATGTCAGTTGCACGGCTGTAGAAGTATTTGCCGAATTCAGAATGAGCAATCAAGCTCATGTTGAAGTCCTCGCGTACCTCAGCTGTCTTGTTCCTTGCGTACTCGATCATCCTCTTGGTGAGTTCAATGGTATCCTTTCTTACTTTGTTGGCTGCCATTCTGACTTTGTTTGCTGCCATCCTGACTGTTGTGTCTGCCTTCTTGATTTGGTATGAGAAGCTGGGTTCGACAATCTTGTAGTGTGGGATCCTGAACACTAATTGGTTATCAACGGTGTCCACGATGATGTACTTGTTGAATTCAGGGATGTACTTCTTCAGCATTTTGATCTTGGTGATGTATGGCTGGACATCGAAGTTGTCAGCATAGACCATTGATGAGTGTACAGATTTCAGGGAAGCCTTGGCGAATTTCTGTGCATACAAGCGCATGGTTGGTGGTATTTTAGGTAGCACCTCCTTCACTCTCTTTACAGCGTATTCTTTGTATTCCTTGGCATATTCTTGGCATTTCTTGGCATTCTCCTTGATGTATTCCTTTGCTTCAGTCATCTTCTCATTAACAAAGTCCCTGGCTCTGTACATGTTACCTGGCAAATCGTAGTATCTGTAGATGAAAATTCCAGTGGCGTTGACTTCATCAACAACAGCCTGTACAACCACACGTACTTTCTCAACATGCTCCTTCAGATTTTTGTCATAGTAAGCTTTGATTTGTTCAGCCTTGGTCTCAGCCATTCTTACAGCTTTGGCATACATTGCTCTGGCCCTCTGTGGCAGCCTTCTGATCTCTGCAACAGTTTCGCCAACAGTCATACCTTTCAAAGTGATCAGATTCCTCTTAAGCTCGGATTCATTCCAGGTTTTGAGTGCCTTGATTGTCATTTTCTCCTTCATTTCCTTGCTGTATCTCTTGATGTCTTGCAGAGACTTCTCAATCTTTGACTTGGCCTTTTCGTACATCTCGTTGACTCTTTTCTCAACCGTTGGGTAATGTTTCTTCCACATCACCTCAGCTTTGGCGTAGTATTTCTTGTAGGCGACAGTGCACTTCTGCATGCAAATTGCGTATTGCTTTCGTGCCTTTTCATAAGCCTTGTTGAATTGTTCCATTGCCTTCTGGCGAGTCTCTTCGACCTTGTTCATTGCAGTATTGTAAGATTCGACAGCCTTATTGACGATATCCTCCAAGGTTGTTTCATCCAAGAAAGCATTGACTTTGGCAACAGCAGCATTATACTTGGTCTCCATTTCTGCTCTCTTCAAAGACACGTATTCCTGCACTTTCTTTGTGTATTTGATTCTATATACATTAGCCATATAGCGAGCTTGTTTGGCAAGGGTAATCAAAGTGTCGACAATTTCGTGATTTCTGACCTCAGCGGCAAGTTCTCCCCATATCTCGTGGTTGACAATTGGTTTGAGAGGGCATCGTTCCCATGCAGCTTTGAAATCACCATAGACCTTCTTTGCCATCTTGAGTTGCCTATCATAGACTTCTGTGGCCTTATCCTTAATCATTTTTGGTACGGCTTTCACCATCGTTTCACATTTTCTGTAGTTAGAGATAGCAGTGGCTCTCAACAATTGAGCAAATTCCTTTGTTCTCTCGTCTGTGACATCAATAACAAGTTGTTTGCTTGTTTTCACAACATCGATTGATTTCCAATCATAGCCACGAATGTCATTGATCAGAGATTTGCAGTTGGCCACAATTACCCAAATGCACTCTGCTGGGTCGCGTCTGAATAACTGAGCATGATAAACGATTATGCTTGGTACCTTCTTGCCACTGGTCTTTGCGGATTCGATGTATGGCATTGTCTTGCTCTTGATTTGCATCAGAGTAAACATACCACTTTCCTGGACTTGCTTCAAAACCTCGATTGCCTTCAAAACATATTCATTTTCTCTCAGAGCCATTACCTTTCTTCTGTATTCAGCAATTTTAGCCTTGATTTCAACAACTTTTGGGTGTGTCTTCAGCTTTTCGATCTCAGCTTTGAGTTCAGCAATTTTTGGTTCCATCTTGGTCTTCAACTCTTCCATTTTCACCTTGAGTTCAGCAATTTTTGGTTCCAACTTTGTTCTCAGTTCCCTGAGCATTCTGATTGTTTCCTTTGTGTATTTGTGTTCCATTACTTCTTGGTATTTTGGGTGGCTCTTGATCTTCTCAATCAGTTCTCTGACATATTCAGAAATCTTCTTGATTTGGCTTTCCAGTTCAACCTGTCCTCTCTTGTAAAGCTCTACTGATTTGACCTTGGCTTCAGCATAGTACTTCTTTGTGTAGGCAACACCATCTTTGTAATAAACTTCTGCAACTTTCACACCTTTTCCGTAATAGTCGACAACGTATGCTTTCACGATGTTGAAATGTGGAGTGTAGGCCTTGACAGTTTCGTTTGCAATGATTACAACAGCACGGAGGGTTTGGTTCAGCATGCTTTCAGCTTCGAAGAGAACAACTGGCATTACAACCATGACATTAGCTCTGATCTTATTGACTCTCTCCTTCAGATCGGTGAATTTTGCGTTGACAGTCTTGTAGGCTTGGTTATAATGCTTATTAGCCAAAGATTTCACAAGTGTTACTTGTTCAGTTACTCTTCTGTAGACAATTGCAACGATCTTCCTGTACAACTGCCTGATGCTCAAAGCCTTGTTTGCATTGTAAATTTCAATGACGTCACCTTGGATCTTCTTGTAGAGGGCTGTGCTGTATCTGACATATTCTTCGTACTGCTTCAGTGCCTTTGCTTTAGTTTCCTTAAACATGTTGATAGCCTTGATGTACATGCGCTTCATCTCTGGTCTAACTTCGTTCTCGTATTTGGCCTTGATGATTGCAACATACTTCTTAACCATGAGATCAACCTTGGTGTAGATTTCTTTTGCTTTTACAACAAGCTTGTCAGTGTGCTTGCGTGCTTTTGCAATTTGAACCAATGCCTCATCTGAAGCCTTTTTGTAGTAAGATTCAGCAACATCATACAATTCCTCACCAATTTGCTCCCAGGTCTTGTCTTCCTGTCTTCTGTAAAACTCGACGGCCTTCTGGTAGTATTCATTGTATTTTGCTTCGGCATATTCTCTAGCCATTTGGTATCTTTTCTCTGCCAGATCTTTCAACATAGCATATTTAGTTTCAACATATTTTCTTGCAACTGAGTACCTTTGCATGGCGATTGCCTTGATTGTGTCCTTGTAGGCGCCAAAAACCATCATGCACTCCTCCTCGTTTTCAGCACGCACAAGAGCAGCACGGTTCTTGATTACCTCATAGGCCCTGACAACTGGCTTACCATACATTTCAAGGTAAAGCTTGTAGGTTTTCTTTGCAGTTCCAAAGCATTCATGAACCTGGCTCTTCCTTCAATGATCAAATTCTTTGCCATTTTGTACATATCATCCTGGTTCTTCAAGTAGAAGTTTTCCACCTCTCCGTAGAAGTCGTCGAAGCTTCTCTTTGGGATGGCCCTGATGTATTTGTAAACAGTCTCAACTTTCTTGATTGCCATTTCCAATTTTTGTTCAGCAAGCCTGTATGCTTCAGTCATTGCCTTCTTTGATGCTTCAATAGTTCTGAACAAGGCTTGGGTCAGGTTAACATTCTTTGCAGTGCGAATGGCATTTGCAATCCTCGAGTTAAGACCATATCTCTCAAGGTGGTTTACAAGGTCCATTTCTCTCCATGCTTCTTCCAATGGCTTAGAGATATCCATGCTTGCAATCTGGTCAACAGTTTTAACGAACTCTTTGAGGGTGCTCATAACAGCTTCACCCGTCATCTTGAAGGCAGTATGTACCATCTCTTCAACTGGCTTGGAGGTTGCAAAGGCATAGATTTGCTTCATTTGCTTGTAATAAGTCTCAGCGCGAAGTTTCCATTGCTTCATAATCTCTCGTCTAGTCCTGTACATGTCACGTGCATATCGAGTGGCATCTACACCAAGTTCAATGCTCTTGTCAACAGCAAAAACAACAAGTTCTTCTGGTGTCATTTTAGCAAGCTTCTGGTATTCTGCTTTGATCATGTCAACACGGGCTACTACTGCATCTTTTGCTTTTCTCAGTTTTCCTTCAACAGCAGATTTCAGCTGATCCAAGTAGAAGTCAACCAGTGGGCCTAGTTCCTTCTCCAACACACGGATTGCTCTTAGTTGGGCTTCGATCTTCTGGTACAAAGGTCTCATTGGCTTAACAAATGGCTTAACAAATCTTTCGATGATCTCAGTGATGCGCACAAGGGTAGCTTTCATTGGCGTGTATATTTTCTTGTATTCAGCCATGAGACGAGTTCTGATTTCCTGTACAGCCTCGTTGACCAAGGGTCCAAAGTGTTTGTCGACAGACAGTGCAACTCTCTTGAAACATCTGACCAAGGGCTTGGTGAAAGCATAAACAGTCTTTGCCATCTTCTTCATCTTCTTCATGTACATCCTTGTCTCTCCAATCATTTTTACAGCAGTTTTCTTGATGTCTTCAGGGAGGTTGTTTAACATCTTCTTGATTTCAGCTTGGATTTTCTTGACTCTCTTCACCACGTCAGTCCAGTGTTCTGATACAGTCATACCCTTGATCCTGTAGTTCATGACCTTGCTTTTGAATTCACGAGTCTTCTCTTCCAGGTTGAAGTTTGCTCTGAATTCATTCAACTTATCCATATACATGGTGAACAGTTCACCCAACTTTTCCTTTCTGTATGGCACAGGCATTTCCTGGAGGTATACGATTACATCCTTTTTGGCCTTGATAACCTTGGCAGACAGATTCTTCCTCCATGATCGGGCAAGTTTCTCAATCATGGTGCTGAGATCTGACACAATTTGTTCCATTGTTTTTCCACGGACTTTGAATTCTTTTCCCAACTTCATTGCAGTTTTGACAACTGGCATTCCAGATTCAGTGAGGTTCCTGGCAATTTTGTAAGCGAACTGAGCAACTTGCTTGGCTTGTTCAATCATCACTCGGCTTTCCTTCAGAGCTTCTTGTGCCAATTCAATGCTCTTGCGTGCATAACTGCGAGTATTTTCCATGACTTCTGGCAGTTTGGTGTGCAACTTGGTAATCATCTCACTAGTTAGCTTAAGTGCCTTGTTTGTAATCTCAGCGGTCTTCTTCAAACCTGCAATAACCATTTCGCCAGTCTTTTCCTTGATTAAATCGAAGTCAATTTCATCAAATCTCCTATCAGCTTCGTTTATCAACCTCAAAAGCTGAGTGGTGCCATTCTTTACAAGCTCAAGTCCAAATTTGTGGCCAGCAGTGGTCATTTTGGTAGTGGCGTCTGATACCTTCTCCATGGCCTTCTTGATTTCTGGAATGATAGTATTCCTGAAAGCATTCTTGATCTTGTTTGTGGTATCTTTGTTCCAATGGAAGATGAGTTTGCTTGCGTCTGCTCCGAGTTCATATTTGAATGAGGCCTCATTTACAATCTGCTGTCCGAATTTGCGTTGAAGAGTGATGGCAATGATTCTATCTTGGATGACTTGCATCATAACCTGGCCAGAAAGTCGGGGTGTCAGGGTGACATTGTAGGCAACAGCCATGTTTTTAGCATCATAGAATGTGGTCCAGCCTGCAACATGCTTCTGGAAGAAGACGTACATTCCAGCAACATAGTTTGTTGGATCAAAGCGGCCAATAACACCAAAATGACGCTTCAAGACTTCAGTACTAAGGGTCAATTCCTTTCTTTCTGGGTTCCATTTGGCAGCAAAAACTGCATTCATATTTTTCTTCAAAGCATCAAATGAGAGCAAAGCAGTCATTCTTTCCTTGTTGTACTTAGCAACAGTTTGGAATCTTTCCTTGCCAAGAACAAAGAGCCTTCCCACAACCATTGCGTCTGATTTCTTCACTTCACCCTCAACCTTGAACATGCTCTTGTCACGGATCAGCAATTCAAACGATGTCAAATATTTGCTCTTGTCCAATGTGGCAATGGTCTTTATCACTCTCTTGCCAAGAACAGATACCTCGAATGAAGACCTGCCCATGGCTTTGTCACACATGCTGACGATGCTGATGTATCGGATGTTCTTTCTTCTCAATTCAAAAGCAACATGCTTCTGGCTGTATCCTACGACAGCTTCCATGACCTCAACTGGGACAAGTACGTTGCCTTGAACGGAGTCGTATACAACTCTCATGCCAACAATCTTGCGCTCCTTGAGCCAGAATCCGGTCAATCTGACAGTTCTTCCCAAACCTGAGATGCTGAATGTCACGGTCCTTGTTTCCTTGTTGTATTCACTGGCAACGGTGAATTGCTTGTTGAAGGCCAAGAATTTAAAGCTCAAAGCCTGAAATTCACTTCTGTCAACGTATGCTGCAACCCACGTGAGTACTCTCTCATAGTTGACCCAGCTGAATTTCATATCGGTTGTGAGTTTCCATCCATTTTCTTTGTCAAGTCTTCCCATGAATTTCACAAACATCTTGGGGAGGAATTCAATGGAAACATCAAGTTGTCTTGTTTGCTTATCGTAGCTGATGACGTGGCTGACTTGTCTGTTTGGAATGTACATGAAGTCAATAACAAGTGAAGCCTTCTTCTCATCATTGGAGACGGTGGCTGTGATTGATGAGCGGCGGTTCTGTGCATAGTCAACACCAAACGAAAGGGTATATGCAGATTTTGTGTCAGTGCATCGGTTGACAAAAGTCATGTCCCATCCGTATCTCAATGTTCTCTTACCAGCAGTCAACCTCAATTCACTCTTGAAGAATTTTGTTTCCTTGTTGATAGACAGGGTATCAGAGAGGTCAGCACTGAAGATGACAGCGTCTTTCTTTGTGATTCCAAAGAATCTTGTCATGGTACGCTTGCCACTTGGAGCTCTCCTCCATGCCATGTAAGAAGTCATTTGGTAGTCCTTAACAGCAACAGTTGATCTCAGTCCCATTTCTTGTTGTCCGTATGTTAATTCGGCAATGTAGCTTGCTGGCAGCTTCTTGTTCAACCATCCTTCAACAGTGACAAAGTAACTTGTTGCATCAGCTTGAGATTTTGTTGAGTATGTTGCTTGGAGTTTGACAAATTTGTCGTTTGCCTTTGCTTCAACACCAAAAGCGATGTCTGAGTTTGCAAGTCTCTCAGTGAAGAACCTTGCAATCAATGAACGTTGGCCAATTTCAATCACATTCTTGAGTTCATTGTCCAACATGCTTTGGTACATGAATGTCATGGTGTTCTTCATCAGTTCCTTGTCATTGTACTTGACAGTGGTGGTAAGTCCCTTGGATGAATCAGTGTTGGAGAAGTCGAAAGACACAGCACCAGTCCTCTTCAAAATCTCAGCACTCCATTCAAGCCTCCTAATTTCTGATGAGACCTTCTTCAATTCAACACATACCTTGGCAGGCATCTTTTCGTTGTAGTACACTGTCGAGCAGGCTAAACCCTCATTGTCAGATTTCTTATCCAAAGTGCTCAAAATTCCAACCATCTTGGATTCATATCTGGCACCAATGTCGAGTCCGAACCAACCATCCTTAGAGTTTCCAAAGTCAGCAAAAATAGCAGCAGTTTTGTTCATAACCTTAGCATTAAGCTCAACAACGTGGCTTATTTCGCGGCGGTAATAGCCAAGGGAAATCGCGTTAACTTTTCCGCAAAATGCTGTTGTGTTGACAACGAATTTCTTGGTGTCTGCAGCATTCACGATTCCAAAGTAGACTGAGGCATGTTTTCCACTGCTAAGATGTTTGACAGTAAAGTTCAGGCCTTTTTCAACTCCAGCCTTGATGTATTTGCCATTCATTTGGATAGCCTGTCTCAGCTGGTTTGCCTCCAATTTGATCATAATGTCCTTTTCATCTCGGGTGTATGTTGCGCTTGCAGCAATGAATTTTCCGGGCCAGTATGTTGTGTTGCTACTTGCACCAATGATTTTGTCGCTCCTGGTGAAGTCAGTGACGTGTTGCATTTTGTACCAGTCGTATTCTGCGGACACAGAAACTCCAATCCTCTTTGACTCATCGCTTGTCTCGTTAAAGAAGACAAATCTGGATCTTGCAGTTTTGCTGGTGAAAAGATTGCTTCGGAAATCAACTTCTACCCTGTTGGTCTCGTTGCGGTATTCAACCATGAGTTCAACTGAGTTTCTGTTCTGGAATTCTCCAACAATGAGCCTCCTGACTTTGTCGGTTACTTGGTATTTAACAGCAGTAGTCATGCCTCTGGAGTAAGTTGCACCTGGAGTACCAAACTGGATGGTTCCAATCATTTGATAGCCGTTGTAAATGTTCTTCTTGTTGAGTGAAACCATAGCCTGGTAGGTTGTCAGTTTGGGGTCGGCTTTGATGATCTTCATTCCGTAATGAGCTGGACCAGACAGAGGGAAGTATGGCGATTCGTATTCCCGGAAGGCAACTGGGACAGACATGCTGGTGCAGATGCCAAGACCAAGGACCATCTTTGATTTCAAACAGAAGTCTGGGCTGAGTCTTCGTGGTGCTCCTTGTACCAATTGCATTTCCTCATTGGCATACAAGAATGGGGTTGATCTAAAACCAAATAAAGTCACATGTCAGTTGGAAACATTGTTGTATAAAGATCATTGTGTAGCTACAGACAGCTAAATACGTAAGAAAACACCAGCCAAAACAAGTGCATTGTTTATTGTGAAATGGCTAGTGAAATCAGAAATTCTTAAACCGATAAATGAGTTGCTGTTGATCAAAGAAGGCTACTTACGAGACATTGAAGATCTCAATTGGCTCCTCTGGGGCATCAATGTTGACCTTCAAGAGTTTTCCTTCCTTGTACATAACTGAGCCTTTGATCATTGAGCTTGTGAACATTGAAGAATTGACAAGTACACCGGTATCAATGTAGTGAGAGTTGACACCCATCTGTCCAGATACTTCGACAACAGCGCTAGATTTAAAAATATGGATAGTAAATATCATAGACATAATAAAATAACATTCATATCAACATTAACAATGATTCATGCAATATCAACATAAAGAATATCTTTGCAGCAGATAAAGCAAAACTAAATCATATATAACCTTTAAGCTTGAAGAATAACACAGTTAGTGACAAAGATCTTTTTCAAAACAAGAAGATTTCCCCTATCAAATTTAGCATTCATTTAAACTACTTGCTATTGACATTTACCAAACTGAATGTTGAATAAAGTTTTACAGGCTGTTAGTAGAAATAAGCTGTCTTCTATTTGCTTTTCAATCACCTTGTCACAGAAGCTGACCTACATACTACAGAAAGTAATGCAAAGTATTTTAACTAAAATCAGTACAACAGTAGCTGCGCCTAATAAAGCTCACCTTGGCCTCATGAATCCTTTAATTTCCATAGATCGTGGTCCCCAGAACATGTTCCTGATGTCGAATTTTCCATTCAATTCAACTGAACCAACAGCTGATCCTTTGAGGTTGAGCTTGATTGGAAGACCAAGACCGGTTGGTACTGAATGTGTCATTTCCATGAATAAGACGCTCTTGGTGAAGGTCTTTTGTCCACCCTTTGCTACTTTGAGCAAGATATCAATCACGTTCATGTTGTCGATTTGGTCAACTGCCCAGAAGATGTCATCATAGCTGAAAACCTTCATTTCATGTCCAAGAACCTTGACAGAAACACTGCCACTTGGGTTGACACGCTTCTTGTTCACCTAAGTCAGAGAAATTTACATATAGATCATAGCAATTTTAATTCAAATCATATCACAGTTGATGGTATTTGTATATAATTGCACTCCTTGTTAGTTCGGAACAAAAACAGCTTGGAGCCTCAGCAAGAAATGCGTCGAGTTGATACTACCAGTAGTGTAGTAAGGATGAAAAATTTAGCAATGTAATGGAAAAAAGCAAAGCATGGTGATTTAAGGCAATCAAAGCTAGAAATGTACCTGCTCATGAAGTTTCTTAATGTTGTTGTTGACGTTGTCAGTGCTCCTTCGCTGTCTCAGCTTGGCTTTCTGTTCAGCAGAGAATTCATAGTTGAAGATCTTGACAATGGAATTGTCTGGGAACATTCCTTCAGGTCCAAAGAGATCTTCGATCAATGTTTCAATGCCCTCAACTCTGGCAGCCATTTCGAAAACATGGACGGGTACATCCAAGATGTTGGCAGTCATGTTCAAAAGGGCACTTTTTGGCAGAATGCTGTCTGGGTGGTAGATAAGATGTCCGTCAACAGAGGCTCCGGATTTCAAATACTTCATGTAGACAGATCCTTCAAAAGCCTTGGAGAAACGGGTCAGTGGCAAGTTGAATTCTTTCAAGTCCTTTCCTTTGAGTACCATGGCAAGGGCCTCTTGTGTCCTGGAAGTTGTATGAAAATCGTTAGATTGACATAGAAAAAGAAGCGAAATTCTATCAACGAAAATAGTGAAATATTGTCGTACTGTAAAACACTAATAATATCAGACAGCCTTGTTATAAGATGTGAAACAACTAGAAGAAATACTTAACAGTTCCTCTATTGGTACGAAAAAAGTTTGACATAAATAACATTTCAAAACATGAAAAAAATACAATCAGTTCAACTCACTTTGTGTGCCTTGGGTCAGATGACTCGTTGACATTACTCAAGTGTGACCAGATGAAAGATCCAACCTGTTTGCTTTGTTCCTTTTCCAAGTGGTTTACGATCCTCTTGATGCTTTCTACTGTTGGGCATCTCATCAAGGCAACGTATGACTGGATTCTCTTTTCTGGGTCCATGTTAATGTTCTCATGCATCTCATGAAGGCGTTCCTGCATCTCAGCGTTGCATGGCATACGTCTTAGTGCATCAAGAGCAGCAGATGTGATGTTCATGTGAGTAGCTGATTTGGCGCAAGACAACAGGGTTTTCCAGGATCTAAATGGTCTTCCAGCATTTCCAATTGCTTTCAATGCCATTAAAATTTCTTCAACGCGCTCTGAGCTTTCTTGTCCATTACAGCTGTTTCCGAGCTTTCCCTCAAGGAACAATTCCACAAGAGTGATTGGGTTGTTCTTGCTGTAGACACATTGCTCCTCATTGGCACTGCAGTATCTGTACATCAGGATACCAAGAGTCAAAAAGGCCTGTCTAGATGGCTTTCTTGCTGCAATTTCCTTAACATCTCTGATCATTCCTTTGGTTGGCTTGGCCACCATGGAAATTCCCTGCAAGAACATGTTCATGCTTTCGCCAGTGATGACGTCATTCACGATCATCTTATGTACAGCAGACACGCAAGTTGGAGTTGCGCAGTAGGTCAAAGCATCAAGGAGGTATTGCCTGTTGAAAACAAGAGATAAAGTCTTTATTTGTCTCTCCTATATTAACTACAGCCTTGAATGAATTAACCCAGATTAGTAGATACCTACACCCTCTCTTAAAAAATATGCACTTTTAACTGCGTATCACTTTGAAATTATATTCTTTGAGTTTGCAGGCGTAAAAGTTGGAAGTCATAGTCTTTACACTTTATACACTCATAAGCATATAAGAACTAATAAAAATTCATAATAACACAATTTAATACCTTTTACAAGATTTACAGTTTGCAATAACAAAATGGGTACATATACTAGGCCATGTCTATTTAGAAACCAACAAGTGGAAATAGAGGAAATCAAACTTTTTTTACCCCTTGTTTTATCCTTAGAACAAATTACAAAAACTAGAATTTTTCTTGTAGCTTTTTCGTAGAAAGACTGACCTGTGAACATTGAAGTATTTTTCCAAAAGTGGGGTCATTCTCTTGTCATCAACTTTCCTCAACAAAGTGACCAACTGGGTGAACTCGTGGGCAGATTGCTGCTTGGCTCCCATGTTGTCCTTGCTCACGACAAGTCGTGCCATAACTTTGTCAATGCGTTCAACAATGCTGTTTACTGGTTTCATGCTCTCAGCGTCATGTTCATACACCAAGGTAACTCCCTTTGATTTTGGTTCTATTATAAAAAGTATTACTTGATTATTACACTTGCGAACGAAAAATAAGTCACAATAGATGAAACAGAGCTAAAAATTTCTGTCTCTACATAAAAGTACATTGTAATTCAGAGTTTCTTTAGATGTTCATAGATTTTCTACTCTGATATGGTGCATTAAGATAGAAGTTGAAAAAGCTTTGCCTTGAAGCATAAAATGACAAAGGCTAGAGGCTGTAGAGCCGATAATATCGTAACCTTGGATAAAACAACGACTTGGCTTTTAGAAAAACGACACCAAAACCTGGACAAATGAAAGAGTTGCTTGGAAAGGGTTAATCTAAAAGTTGCGTGGAAAGTACCTACCAATTTCAACACTTGAAGCAACTCTTCCTTTCTTCTCTCCAATAAATTTCATTCTTTGTGCTACGAGTGTCATTGCACCAGATGGTGTTTCAAATCCAGCAGAGAATGGCCTGAAAATGTGAGTTTCTGAGCATTCAACGTCAACAATTCTGTCATCTTGAGTCTTGATCATACATTTGCTGGTCGAGTCCAGGGGTTTCAAGGGCTGTAGATCAAGAGAAAATCAAATTAGATAAATTAAAAGGAATAGTGGTTTGAAAAGTCACCAACCAAAATATCTCGCACGAAACAGAGTAGTGCTTCTTGCTAAAAGGGGATGTGAAGCCACAATCACAAATGTTGCTAAAAATTTTCTTGTCACCAATTCCCTTTTTCAAGGGTTTGGTATTTTGATGTGATTATACACCTAACGAATAAACTAAGACACGGGCAAAATTACTTATCCACTATCTATTTTAATTGCCATTGGAAAAAAAACAGAATAGGGCGACTATTCAACATTTTCATAATAATAGATCTTATGCCAGAAAAATAATCGATTATGAGGTCATGCCTGTTCAGGAGATTCACAATAAAACAGAAATTAATGAAAGGAGCAGTTGACTTTTGGGGAAAATTTTAAGAAAAATGTGGAGGTATTTAAACATAATACGAGGGGTACGAAACAATAGGACGTCGTATTGCAAAAGGTAAATTGTCACATTTTCAGGAAGGGTAAGGGTACGGAGAGACTTGGAATAGATAACAACGGGGGTTTTCAAGGAAACTGAGAAACTGTGGTTATTCAAGAGTCTCTATAGGAATTTTGAAACGAAAACCAACAAGAAATTGAAAATGTGACAAAGCACTTACCAATTCCTTTCTCTCAAAAGAAGCAGTGTGGAATCCAACTTCGCTGTGTGCTCTTTCAGAACATTCTGACAGATTCTTAGACTTGATAATCATGCCATCTTGTTCAGTGACTGAAACCTTGCAACGACCGTTAACATCTACTTCCTCAGCATTGTTTTTTCCAAGTTGAAGAGTGCTCAAAATACCTCTCTTGATGTTCAAGATGTGCATAGATTCGGCACTGTTTGGGAAGAGTCTCTCGATTTTGCCATCAGCTGTTTCAAAGATGATGTCATTTGCTTCAAGTTCTCTGGCAAACTTGCGAGATTCTTCAGCGGGTGAGAATCCATTGGTGTTCTTGCTCTTAACGAGGAGCTCTGCATTGTTGATCTACGAAAGAAAAAACCTTTTAAACAAGAGCTAAGATGAAGCTATGTAGGTGCATCTAAAAGAGCATTAATAATCTTTGGCAATAATTTCAATATCAATGCAATAGAAAGAGGCACTATTAAGTCATGGACTGCATAGGCTTGCTATTTGTCTTGTCTGTCCATAAAATATTATGGTGAAATTCTAAGAGAAAAAAAACAGCAACAAAAGTAACGACAGAGAAAACTGAAAGAATCATTTGATAGGCAGGCGTTTTTGCACAGCCGTATTCAACAGAAACTTCACACTTGCACAGCCGTATTAAAAGGCATAATTCAAGTCCAAAACTCTTGATAACGTACAAGACTGAAAGCCTATAATGATAAACAAGTGAAAACAAACCTGCATGCTGAAACGGCATGCTCCTTGAGGATGAATGTATACCCGGGCCCTCATCCGTATACCCGTACTATCTGGGGTTGATCCCTGGATTGTGTTCAACGTCTCTCCCTCATAATCAAAAAGAGTAGTGGCATGTTCAGCCAATCTTCTTGGGTCTGAAAGGGAAAATTCCTTGTTAAAAACTCAAGTACTTCTATGACAATTCAGTTTAAAAGCAACTCTGAGATTTTAATATACTACAAGATACTGCCTTGTTAAGACATTAGGTGTTGGGAAAAGAAACGTTCAACGATTCTGAACAAAAACTCAATCAATTCACAAAGTCGATAAAATATTGATAGATGATCCATCAAATCGTTCAAATACGGGAAAAACACCAGCGTATTCTAGAATTAATATAAGAAAACATTTCTGGCATCATTTTTTCAAAAAATCTAAAAACATTATTAAAAATAAAATGTTGAGGTAAAAAACAGTCAGATACCAGCAAAATGTTGACTTAAGATCGTCAAATTTCAGAAAAAGGCTGCTAAAAGTTTCTTAAATCAGTTTTTCACAAAGAACTTTAGCGGATATCAAAAGATGCTTTGATGAAGCCTGTCTGGTGATTAGCGATCATTTGATTATGATTTGAATGACCATCGATCATTAATCACTTATGATCGTTTGGGATAAAAGACCTTACAAGGTAGTGGCCGCGGTTGTAACAATAGCATTTACAATAAGCATTGTCATTAGCATTAGATATCGCATTTCCTATTGACTATGTAATAGGTGAACAATCACTTTAAACAGCGGGGGAGTCTTAAGGCAGCTTTCCTGCAGTGTGACACAGCAGTGGATTAGTGGTCACACGCAAAAGTCACGGGTTCAGCATGCGCCTTGCAGCAAATATTTTTCATGTACATTTATGACAGCTTCTCTGCACAATAGTGATTATAAATAGCAAAGGTCACTTTCGTGCTTGGGTAGAGCCCGCGGCTCTACCATTGTTTCTAAAATCATGTACAGCCAATCCCCGCCCTTGTACAAACAACAGGAACAAGCATTTATCACATGACCTTATGCGAAAGCCAATGGCAACAAATATGATCTGCACGCAAGCCCAGGTCAGCCTGCAGGGCTTCGGTGAGATTTTCGACTATGAATGGGGTATCCCCTTTTGCTAACAAAAATTTTTTAAGACCAGCAACATGAAAGAGAGTATAGAAGATGTAAACGGTTGGTATCGTGCATGAACCGCAGAAATACAGTCTCAGAAATACAGTTACTTATCAAATGGTTTTCATATCTTTAGATGCATGGCATTGCCTTCTTCTGCACAGGTAACCGACGGGGTAATAAATAAGTTTGTTCATAACAACATGTGTAACATATAAAGGCAATGCAATAGGCTATAGGAGATTTTCTAGTTAAAATTTCTCAGAAAGTATGAATTGAAGAAGAGAGAAAATGAAAAACTTACTGTCGCATTTTGATTCTGAAACTCCGACGAAGTCGTAGTATTGGTTGAACGGGGCTGCAACAAAGAACAAAAAATAAGTTTGTTTCTTGAAACTTGGCGTATAAACTTAAGTTGAATAAGACTGTACCTCAAGACAAAAGAAGGTACCTAACATAACAAATATCTAAGTAATATGCTGACTTGCTTGTAGTCAGCAAATCAAATAAGTTTGTTAATGTTTTAGAGTATTTGAGCATCATAAGATTGAAAGTTATGTCTAGTTGGAACAAAAATTGACGATTATAAAGCAAAGAACATAGAATGTCTGAAGCTAAATGGTGACTGAAATGCTTAAAGTTTTTGAAAATGCATAAATGTTTACCTGAAAGAGCCCCGGCGGCCAACAAGACCAAGAGAGGAAACTTCATCCCTGCGATTGAACCCTCACTCCAATTTTAATTATGGAACTAAGCAGATTTCTTTCCTTGTGATTTGAATGCTTCTCTATTATCGCTATAGTCCTTTAACCCTGCTCTCTGGCTTTGCAGCTGTGGAATAACAACTGCTTCTTGCTGGGGAAAATTTATAGCAGCTTGGAGATACAAAGTTCAAGAGCGTTTGATTGACATGACAACAAAGAGGGCAGCGCTGCATGGACTTTGAGTGTTTCACCTTTTGGACCCTGCAGCCCTCAAAGTGAATGCCGCAAATTGCACCAACATGAACTTCGATCCATGAAAATGTATGGTTATAATTATAATGTATCGTAGCTGCATGTATGTACCAAGCAAACAAACGTATTGTGATAGAAACCATTACAGGGTTAGAGGTTCTTCGAGGCAAATAACTCAGCTAAGTGCATTTGGTCTTATGACTCGATGAGAGTCATTGGGTTGGGTGCAAGGAGAGAAGTGTAGACAAATAAAGCAAGAAATGAAGGAAATCATTGCGCTTATGATGTACTTGAAAATTCAAGGACTATCCTCTAAGAATCGTTCATTTATTTGCTAATTTGAATTTCTGGAGAGCATTTTAGGACTCGGGAGTAATCCTTGCATTTCAAATTTGAATAAATCTGACAAAGAATGAGGACGTAGCTATGGAAAAGCAGTCTCTGGCTTGTAAAGCTATGTTTGGTCTTCCCGTTTCTCATCAAGTATTGATAAAGCCTTAACTATGGAAAATATATCCGATGAAATAGGCTGAATTAGGCCTGAGTATGATTAAAGCTCACTGGAAGTGACTAACAAGGTTAGCCTCAAGCAGGGGTATGGTGTTATCAAAAGAAGAAAAAAGAGAGAATCTTGCAAAAACATCCCCCAAAAAAGCAAAATTCAAACATTTGTTACCTTTTAGCAATAACAATGGAGGCTGAGCTAAAACATCTACAGAATATTCAATTTTACAGTCCTTCACCGATATCTTTTTACATGCAGCCACATTTATTACATAAAATGCGTTGTAAACAAGGCTGTATTAGGCTAGGAAAACGCTACAATTCATATGCATCCTTTGAACCCTTAATACCCCGGTTTCTGTTCACAGAGTTGCGAGTTAAGCAATATATATAATAGGTTATGCCTAAGGTATTGCAATACTCTTAAAGCTTCGTCTTCGTTTATAGATATTCACTGTTGAAACTCTGCCAGACTCTCTTTAAAATTGTATATAATTATTGGAAAACAGGGTGGATGAAAAATAAAAATATTTGATTTTACAATCGTTGAGGTGCTGCTATGATTATGACTTGGTTTTCACACCGTGTCCACTGTAAAATGTGATTTTTCAAGTTTTAATACACGACGTTCCAAAATAATAAACGAGGGATTCGAAATAAGGGTGTCCTGGATGAATTTTTTCTAAAAAAAATTAATAAGCGAGGAGGAGGCGTTAATTCCTGACTCAGCAGTTTGTAACCAAATTTAGATTTCAAAATTTCGATTGTAACCAACCAGGTATATTTCTTTGCAGCTTGTTTTGAGTTTTATTTGGTTATTGGATAGCAGTTGAGCTCAGTTTCTGCAAAATGATCACCCCACATTATGAAGCAAATATTAACAAAGAGGCGAGAAAGGAAAAGGATTAGCTGGTTGTAGATAAAATGAAATTCGATGAGCCTACAAAACCACAATGTGCAATATTCATTCAAGGTTTAGATGATTACGAAATCTGATCAAAGACCTTTAAGCTAAGCACTGATTTCATTTCGCGCCAAAATTCAGGAGAGCGGAGAGTGTACAGCCGAAAGCTGTTCCTTGCACAGAGACAGGATTCGCTAGTGGGTACATTCAACAAGCAAGACCGGTGGAACCATAGCCAATAACAGAAATGGTTGCTGATTGCGAATTGAAAGACCTTTCCAGCGAGCAAAATCTGAGTGTTTTAAACGCAAAATATGTGGCGAAGTACTGTCAATTTCTTGGACTTTGCTGCCATCTTCAAGGACAAGCTAAGGAATGACAGAGACACTTACGATCTAAAAATGCACGCCCCTAAAATGTGCTGGTTACAACTAAAAGCGATACGAGTCCCTTTCAGTTCTTTTGGAGATTCCATACTTTAAAGCCAACTTCCCAGTAACGGTGCCAGGGTGGTAAGATTGGGGGTGTGGGCAAAGGCGAGTTGAACAAGGGAAAAATGGGGTTCAACACCCTTTGGACCGCAAAAAAACGCCCCTTTTCAAAGATATTTTTTGCCGGCTTGGAAGAGGGCATCCGCCCCTCTTGCCACCCCTCGCTACGCTATGGTGACAACTGTACAGTTTGCAATCACTTTTCCAGTGCTAATGGATAACGATGCATTTTAAATATTCAAGGTCCGAGAAAGGAGCCTTGTAGGATATCTCACTTGAAAATGAATATATTATTGCAGGTTTTAAAATCATTCTCCTGTGAAAGCATCAGGGTAAAGCGTAGGTTGAAAGGTCCAGTTTGCATGAGCCAATTTTACTAGATTCTGCAATCTTTCTGAAAAACTGACCAGAATAAAGTAATAATTCTAATGGCAAGGACTGATTAGAAAGGTAGAACTATACCGCTTTATCTCACCAATACTGATAATTATTTCCTTCATTTCAAATCTGGATATCAAATTTGTTACCTTTATATTTTATTTTTATATCGTTTTATATTTTCTATTCTTGTTTCTTTTATGCTGGGAAAAGATTGTTTTTCTTATCATGTGTTTGACTGGAATTTTCCGATGGATCAGGATTGCTTCAAAATTATCATTGGAAGAGAAGCAGTGGATTTGTTGTTAAAAAAGAAATACTTAATACGGTTTGCGAAAGGATTTTTTTGATCCGAAGTAAAATAGTTGTTGCGGACTATTAAGCTATAATAATTATCATTTTCTAAATTTTATGCGATATTACTAGAGTCGAAGTTTTGAAGAAAAGTGCATAAAATCATTAATTACATCTAAATTGCTAAAAGCAAAAAATCGAAACAAGACGATGAAATTCTCATAAATTTAGTCTTAGTAAGTGGTATGAACTGTAAAGCTTTTGGCTTGGAACGTATTTTGCAAAGAATGAAAGTTTTGGAGAAGAAAGGAAATTTGGAGAGGTAAAAAGAAAAAAGTGCGCGAAAAGGCAATAGCGTTGCTAAGGCTGCCTTAGAAAGTGATGTTTATGACGAGCAAGAAAGAGTAATGATGATTATGATGCACGAGGTAACTACCCATAAAACACAAACAAGCGGCTCCTCGAATGGGGACGATGAGCTTATCGGGGCGGGGCCGCAGATTCAGATTAACTCAATTGCCTGAGGGCAAAGTATAACTATTGTTTTAGCAGGCACATGACCAACCAAAATAAACTTGTTGTGTGACCAAACGGGAAAAAGTGTAAATGCAATGTTTTTCTACCGGCATTGCCAATTTGCTATAGTGAGATGTCGATTTGGAGAGGAAAGAAGTAAAGCGAAGAGAACTGAAGCTTGGAACTGTCGTTAGGCTACAAAACAAAGTCCAAACATAAAAATATATTCACAGGGTTGGGAAAGTTCTGAGGCTATCACCTCTTCCGTAGAAATCACGTCTGCTTTTACTCAGGAAAGTTAGGGGTACTCTTTGATGACAGGCGATTTCACGAATTCATCAATATTGAGTGTGATCTAGAATATGATAGACAAAGTTGACATCGTTAGCCAGGGGTTTACAGCCAACTTAAATATTTGCAGATTGGGTGGGTGATCGACGAGGCTGTCATAATCGATAAAATCTATTCTTTTTTCCCGATTTAATTTTAATCGCCAGCAACTACCACAGAGAATCAGAGACGGTGTCCTATCTTTGTTGGTTTGAAAATTAAATGGTTGCCTCTTCGCCTATTACATTTTTCTTTCATTATTTGTTTGCAATATTTATAGGGAGCCAGGGAATTAAGAGCCACCTGAGACCTCTGGGGAAATCATGTGATAAACACTGGATTCAAATCATCAAAAGTAAGCATAGAATTTTCTCAGGAGTATTTACCCCAGCTGCGCCCCCTTACGGAGTCATATCAAGCAGTGAAATCAATGTTGTTGGCAGACGCCCAACATTGCCTGAAATCAGGTATGATTTATTCAGAGAAGAATAGTCACAAATAATTTCAGGCTTCTATAGTTATTTGCTTGATTATTTTGATCAAGGCTCACTTCACTTATATGACTTCACATGTTTACTTATGTTATTATGGTTGGGTACAAAACGAAAATATTTTTTGACATATAACATACCATGTGGATTTCTTTACAAAATCATAACTTCATAGATTTCGATAATTTCTTAATTTAACACCCTTATTTCCTATTTGTCAATTTATCCTTTTGGCAATTTTCAATCCTTTCTCATGTAGCTTAAATGTAAATAGGTCTTTCACTCGTGTTTTGTAAACGTTAATATTCTTTGAAATATACTAGTAATTTGTAGTATGTTCCATATGAAATATAAGTTAACTTGCACTCCTTTGTCTTTTTCAAGAAAACATTTTTTACATACACCAAGGCCCAATATGGCAAAAAATCGAGAACAATGTATAATATGCGATGCCTCAGATTAAAATTGGAAATAAAAACAATTGTGTGCATTACACTCTTTTTATTTATGAGAACCAGACAATTTTTGCCAAGCCTCGATGTTCTTAACTTTTTGATCATTCTAGGCTAAAATATTCTCAAAATTGTTCTTATTTTAAGAGTATTTTTGCAAATATTTGAGAAGTTACATGCTGCATATAGTTTCTAAGACGTTTTACTGGGTAAAGTTTAAAAATAAAGCAATGACTGCTAGTGTTTATGGACAAACTCGTCAAAGTTTTTTGTGTCTAGAGAACCTCGGTACAGTAGTTCAGTGCTCGTGAATTTCAAAATGCGAATTCAATTCAATTGTTCGTTTTAAATTTCTCATCTGAAGCTGAGCATGTTCTCATTTTTTGAGCAAATCGAGCCTCGATGTTCTTATAAAAAAGAGTGTATACTCGTGCGAACAAAACGGAACAGATTTTACAAACCAATGGACCCTGCTTGCAAAAACAATTTACCCAAAGTTGTTATTTAGTGTTATGCGTAACAATATGATACAGAAT